CAAAGTGCAGCGAAGGCATCGCAGCATACTGGTTGCAGAATTTGTTCTGGGTCCACACGCTGCTCTCGCCTTCGGCGCCGTGGACAGTGTCGACGAAACCAAAGCTGCGCGCTTCCTTGCCTACCGAGCCGGGGACCTCGGGGTCGGAGAGAAGACGAGGCGGCATGCATGGCCATAGTGTGAAGACAATGAAAGCAATCAAATTACAGGTAGCCATTGTCCTGCGCCTTGCGGCATACAACTTTGGACCTGCAGGGCTGCCGTCTGCCTCGCCCATCGGTTTATTATGGAGGGGAAGATCGATGCGGTTGCGGGTTGTGGTGTAGTAGAACAGCCATACTAGGAACAAGATTGTACCAGGAATATGGATGAAGGAGTATGTGCGGTTCGTCCAGTGGAGGAGAAAGGGATGCTTCAGGAACCATGCTTGAACGTCAAGCTCGAAGAAGATGTGTAGCTTCTGTTCGAGGTGGATAAGTTGGAGGGCGTGGCGGCGAGCGACGTTTACGGTGCCTTCGACCATCGTTACGGCAGAGAATGCGCGGCCTAGCTGGTAAACCTATTGAAGCGAAAAGTTAATAAATTTGTACAAACATGTCAAATGGTGCCTCCGCAAGGCTGCTTACCCAGTAGATGAGTGCCCAATACCAGGCCTCCACAAGAAAGGGAAACTTCTGCAACAGTCGACTAAGGAAGTACTCCTTGAATCGCCTAGTATTCGGGCTCATGACATCTTTCTTTATGCCTAGAATGACAACTTCTCGTTTCCTCCATTTGGGCTCCTCATCGACGTTGGCTAGAAGCGACACGCTAGAAGACGGACTAGATCGACCGGAATCTGGGGAACTTGAGCGAGGCGAATTTTGATACACTCTCCGTCGCCCAAAAAGACGGTATTCTGTGTTTCGGTTTACCCATGTGCCGCCGAACAATAGGGTAACCACTACAAGCGGTTCTATGAAGGCTCCAGCGCCCATGTTTGGCGACTATGCGTGAGGAGAGGCAAGGATGGTGGGTGCAGGCGCGCGACTCTCAAAGGTCGCAAAAGATGATGCAGAAGTTCGAGGCTTGACTGCCTAGAGGGAGCTGAATGTATTTGTAGGGATGACGGGGTGTTTGACTAAGATGACAGCCGATCGATCCGGATATGTTTGCGCAAATGTCGAGGCGCGAGACAGTGCCGTGCCTTGTATGTTCTGTGCGACGGTAGGAAGAAGCAATTCCAGGGTTTTCTGAGAAGCAGAAAGGCTTAGCTACAACAAACTTTGAGGAACAAAATAAGGAACAGGCAAGAAGGACGCCCGATGCCGAGGACTACATCCTACACTAAAGGCAAGATGCATGGCGCGTAGTGAAGTCAGCGGAACGCACGGCATGCGAGGGGTGACTAAACAGCAGCCACTGAGACAGACCAGCCATGGCAGGCGGATGGTGTCGGACGAACCTGCTCTGCCTAGCATTTGGTGCGGCGTAAACCTCCAAGGTGCTGGATGCAGGAAGAGCCGGCTTTCCGTTGTGACTGCTGGGTTAGTGTCGCGTGCTTACATGTCATTTGCTGCAATTTACGTCATTAGAATTTCAGAGTTCTGACAACAGCACTCGGTTCCAAGCCAATTCTGCGCTTTGATACTTGCAAAACGCGACCAACACTGAAGACTCTTTCACATCGCAATGTGCGCGTCATGCCCGAAGTTTGACGCCGACTGCTCGCGTGCTGGAGTTTCGGTGCCTGGTATTGTCGTGGTTGGTGGCACAAGAACACGCGACCGTCGACCACAGGCTTAGCTTCCGCCAAGTACCGGCGCTAGCCTCCTTTAGATGTACGAGCATTATCTTTACTGCTCGTCGAGATTAATCCTGGTGTGCTTCATAGTAGTCAGGACGGAGCTTCGCGTATTAGAGACCCCGATGCGCTTACGGCCTTAGGGTCTGGTGATCATCTTAACACTGACCATCTTTCTCGGGCAGCGTACTTTTCGCTGTAGCATACAGGTGGCTTGACCCATGTAGGGTATAGACAAAGACAGTTTCACACCTCGCCGCATTCGTTCGTCCCTCAATATATTCCGTGTCTTGAGATGAAACAAGTCCTTTGTACACGACTTGGATATAGATACCCGACTCTACGCATCGAAATTTCCGCCCTCGAGCGCCAATCGTCCGTACGCACTTCTCGGCTCGCTATCGCCTTGCATACCTCGTACCAACCACATCAAAGACCGGAGTAAGCTTACGAAAGATGAAACTCACCACCTACGCCTAGAGCATGACATATATGGATCACATTGGACCGCTCAAGACTTGGAGATACGCCACACATGAAGACACCAGTGTCAAGTATGATATTCTTGATTTATATAACGGCAGCCGGATAAAGTGTGGCCACCAGCGCGACAACGCTCCTGCGACGGACATTGGTCCAAAATGGACGCAACAATGCCGCGCAAACTAAGGGAAATATGATGTACAGCGAATGTATCGACTGCGGGGCGCAATGAAGCTAACAGTCTTTTCAACGCTCAAAGATGCCAAATACAAAAGGAGAGCAGCGTTTCGCTGTGATGATCAGGAGACGCACGATTACGAATGAACCCCGGGTTTCCTGGACGCCTCGCTGAATAGGACAAGAGAGAGGAAAGGTATAGTGGTACCAGCATATGGCCAAACAAGATCGACAGAACAAAGGAAATAGGTTGTAGTCATCGCTAGGGACGACTTGTGGTACGCATGGCTCTCAGCAGGCGACGCTGTTGAAAGGCGCGCTCTCTTGGAGGTCCTCGACAAGAGCGTCTACGTTACTGAGGTATCTCCCCAGCATATGTTGCTTCTCTTCTTGCGATCGGATATGTTTCTTCGTCGCACCTCCACTATCGTCGGTGCTTCCCCGCCGCTCGAAAGCATTGGTCAGCTTGCTCGGGCTCCGCTGCGGGCCAGAAACTGGAATCTCAGGCATGAGGTAGAAGTACAGAAACTCTAACAGTTTGACCTTGACGTTTTGTGTAGTCTCTTCGTCCTTGAAGAGGCTTGTGACGGTGAGGAGGCCGTCCATGTGTTCAAACACTCGGGTGTTTTGTGGTGTTGCGAGAAGGGCTGTGACGAGGACGAGGAGGGCTTGCGATTGGATGGCGGGGCAGTTGTAAGGATCGAGCAAGTCGAGGAGGAGGTTCATGTATACTTCGCGACCGAAGATGATGCGTGATGGTGGGTGCAACAACAGAAGACCCTGTATGTTGGATAACGAGGAGAGGATGAGGATGTCGTTTTGGCCATCTACAGTGGACGGTTAGCTATTGTTCGGTATCCCCTAGCACAGGCTTACCCTTACTGCTTCCCATACCCAGCAATCGATCCAAACAATCGGCTACCCGTGTGACAACTGTATGATATTAGTCAAACTCTATATATGCTTGTATGTTCGCACTCACCATTCCATTCAAAGCCCTCCTGTAATCTGAAGAACTCCCTGAAGGCGAGATCGTCTGATAACTGTCCCAGCTTCTTCGGCGTTGGTTGTTGTTGATCGCCCAGATTGAGTGCTGAGGCGTTCCGACGGTGGCCTGGTGGTGAGTTTCTTGGCTTTCCACTGGAGAGACATATCTGCGCCAGCATGCCCTCGATCTGGCGTAACCCTTTGCGAATCTTCTGCGTGTCCTTGGACGCTATGTTGTCGAATGCGAGAGAGAGTAGGGCCTCCATTTTGATGATGTTCCGGGATTACTGTTGCAAGATAGTAGTAACAGCTTTATCAACAAGTGTCAATATATGCTGCGACTAACAATGCAGTCCAGATGTTGTTGAGACCAAGCGTGGCAGATGCAGGAGTCGGTAGGGGAAGTCGGGAGGGGGGGTTGTATGCAGCTAAGAGGTCCGAAAGTGCGGAGTAAGCAATATTTTGAGCCTTGTGTGGGCCGCAAGATTCAGGCTTAATCCTTCTGTAGATGGTCGACCACGGACTTGCGATTGAGCGTTGTGTCATCGATAAACACCCGCCGTTGTCATGGTAATAGAGACCCACCGGCGGCGGATCGAGCCGTGCACTACTAGCCTCGGCAGGGGATCACTACCACAACCCAACGCTCATCTTGCGCGACACCCTTACCTTGTCGCGACAACCATACTACCCCTTTGCTATGTTCATAGCCTCTGCTAGTAAGATGACAGCGGCACCGCGACGAGCAACGTGCGGTCAAAGCAACTGAGAACTCTGCACCGCACCTGGACCCACTGTGCCAACTACGTCATTTTCTTCTTGCGATGCGTGTCTGGATGCATCGCGTCTTTCATGGAAATAAAATTGTGCGATGTCGCTTCTAAGGGGGGGGAGATACGAGGACGCGTGACGAGATGCGTGCAGATGGCCGAATCACAGCCTTTCCATTGTTCTTCACCGGATCTTGGCACAGCAATTCAGCTATGCCATTATGGCTGACCGCGGCTTCTTTTTCGCGACGATCAAGCCTTTACAGTATGAGGCTTTCACACGCCAAACCTCTTTCTTATGGTTTGATGTACAGTAATGCCTGGAATTGCCAGTCGCGGTTTACCTCTTCTAGGGTCTCAGCCGCTCAGCCTTGTGTGCCAGGCATTGTTCGCTCCGGACGGTTGTCATATCTTTCCTGCTGGCTGCCGTGTAGCCCTCAACTACCGCTATAGTTGGAACTTACTACCTCTCAGCTGCAAATTCGCACCTGCATCCATTCGACACCAGCGAACATCAGGTTTTCGCCATTCTCAGCATGAAAGATAATGCCTATACAGCTCTATTCATGCCTTGTTTTGGAATTCGCTTTATATTAATATTCTTGTCTGTATTCTACTGGACAACCAATCACTCCCAATTGATCCACGACAATGTTGAGCTTCACAATGGTACCTACGATGCAACTATTCCCATTGGCGAGGAACTTGTAGACAAATGGGGGTTTATTTTATTTTTCTGGCATATGATCCTTTGGTTGCCTTCCATCATTTTTATACCGCCTCTAAACTTACCTCTTACGATGGTCGATACTGCCTTTACTGTCTTCATAGCAAAGGCTATCCATTACCAGATTGGCTACACGCCCCAGAAGTTGAAAGCCTGCCACGATCCTGTAGGTCTGGAATTGCGACGACCTCCAGGCACGAATGAGAGCTTTTTTGCTGCTGCTGGAAGGCTGAATGAAACTGTCGCAAGCCCGACTCAGATGTGCGTCGAATTTGTGAAAGAGATGCAAATTGGGATCGCATGTTGGTGAGTTGTAAACTAAGCATGTGGACGAGCTTCGCTGACTGCAATAGCTTTTTCTGTGCCCTCCTGTCTTTTCTTGGTTACATCTCAACCTTCGTTTCTGCTCGACAGATGAGGAGGGACAATGAGTCCATCCTTGATTTGATGAAAGAGGTGTCCACTATGGCTGGTAAATGCCTGTTTTGTCCAGTAAGATGGGCAGCACTAATCGTGGGGTGGATTATATTCTACACCCCAATTTACTTTTTCCGGTGCCTTCCACTGAGCTTCAAAGCCCCAGTGCGATCAGGACGTCGGTGCGTCGCAAAGACTGCAATAGGCGCAGGGCAAAAGGTGGAAATCATGCTGTCGGAAGTCAAGAATGGGTTCACAAAGAGTAAAGATTTAGTAGAGCCGTATCGGAATAGTTACGGGACCCACACTCCACTGGCACAGTTCCTTGGGGTGTATGATATGCTGGTAATGGTCACCGAGCACCTGCACTACACCGACGTCATCAGCCTATCAACTGTTTCCAAGTCAGTTCGCCAAGCCGTCTTACCTTCAAACGAAATCTCTCGTCGACTCGCCATGTTCAGGCTGTACACGTGCGAGCCTGACAAGAAAACCAACTGCTGGAGCTGCACGAATCAAATCTGCGAAAGCTGTGAGGTGGATTTTCCAGTACTGGAATCGGTTGCATCCCGTCACATTGAAAACTGCATTCCATACTGCGCATCCTGCTACCGTACGTATACTGTTCGGCATCCTCGCGCAAGAAAAAATCGAATGAAAGGGAATCCACCTTGCAAATGCGGCAGGTCATCGCAAGAACAGACATTTCTCGGGCGTTTATTCAAAAGAGATGACTACTACACCGAATCAACAAGTTCTTTTCCGATTGACAGACAAGTCTGTCGTAACTGTAGTCAGTTTACCAAAGAGGAGCTCTTCTTGCGAAAGGCAGAGGAAGCAATGATGATGCTAAAGAAAGGCTTGAAGGGTAATGGAGAAAAGTGGAACAAGTGTGCAAATCTGGGATGTTGTCGCGGCCTAGGAACTGGACCGAGGTACTGGATATGCAAACGATATAATTGTGACAATGAGTGTTCTAGCACTCTCCATCGGGCATGGGGCAGTAAGACAAATGATAGCATGCTTGGCGAAACTTCAGTATGATCGCATTTAACATAGACTAGCAGATTAATCACATCTGGCGAAATAAGCTTATAGGCTCAGTCATATTACATTACGAGTATCGTAATTATAGCTCGATAAAATGAACTATACTACTTTTTACATCATCATCGCAGCAAAGACACCGGCCGCGAGCGCAACAACACCTCCACCGAGTTTGCTCGCCGCGCCAGTGTACTCGGCTGGCATACTGCTAGTCGGGCTAGGCATACCCATGGTGCCGTTAGGAGCAGAAGTACCGTTGCCACCTGACACAAGCTCAAAGTTCGCACAAGTGATCCTCGTGGTGTTACCAGTGTGAAGGACAAACGCCAATCCACCGAAGAATCCTGAACTACCCTCTACAACACTGAGGTACGGGTCCACAAAGCTGGTTGAGAAGCTTCCCTCCGTCATGATCTTGCCGCCGTGCTTTCCGGCCAAATCACCGACCTGACAAGTCTCTGGCAGTGCGGAATCGCACATGACGAGCTCGCCGCGGTTGGTGGGATCCAGGTGGCCCATGGTTGCGGTGCAGTTTCCGTCAGCAGGGACGGCGAGAGCGTGGATGTGCCAGGCGAAGGGACCGAACTGGGCTTGATCGGGCAGATCGGATAGGTTAACGGTGAAGTTCACACCACCGGCGCCACCGACAGCCTCGATGGATCCGGAAACCGTGCTGCCAACGAAGGGGTTGTATTGCTCCTCAGGCATGGTTGCACGGTACGTAGCTGAAGGCTGGTTGGAAGAGGCTGCTGCGGTACCCTTGAGCCCTCCCGTCTCACCTGGAAGGTAGCCTGGCGCAGGAGGGAGAGGAGAGACAATGGCACCCTGGATGGTATCGACGCCCGTGAAAGGTGTAGCTGTTGGGGTCGCGGGGATGACACCAGACTTTGCGGTTGCGAGGACGACAGGTGCTGGAGCGCCCTCTTGGACCAGCTCCTGGCCATAGGCCAAGGCGCCAAAAGCGAGAAGGGAGAAAGACTTGGACAGCATCTTCAGATTTTGCAATTGGTGTTTGAGATGAGTGAGGATGTCGTAGGCGCGGGTGCTTGACTGCAGGCCGTAGACGCTACCCCTTTGGACTTTATACCATTTGAACAATCGACATACGCTTTGCCTGACTTGCAAGCAGCACCTAACGCCTCCTCCCAATACCCGCCCCTGAGCTTGTCTCCAAGTGACATCAGTACGCTATCATCCTACTCTCTTCGCTTCCTCCACCAACAACACCCGTCCCTTGAGCGCCTCCAGTCGAGCCAACACGGCTCATTCCCCCGCCGCGACAACAGTGCCAGTACGCCTTCGCCTGCGCATGCCAACCACAGCGATGGATTCAACGAGCTCCATGTTCGATGCGCCACTGGGTAAATCGTGCCGTTAGCTGCTCCACGCCTCTCTCGCGGCAATACACAACTATTACCGGTAGTAAGATTAGCGAAGCGTGAAACGCAACAGAGCCTGCAGCGAAACCTTGAAAACAAGCATTTCACAGGCTAACAACGTCCGGATATTCTACCAGCCCGCATTAGTGCCATCTGGGGTGCATGTCAGGACCGTGCCGGATGTCAGTCTGTGGAGAATTTGGCATCGATGGCGGTCTTGGTCCGAGATGGCGGGTCGTAGAGGGTGATGTCAACACTCGATATATGCGGGGTGCTAAGCGAGACTATGACAGCGTCGCGCGCTATAACGTGGACTAAGTTATATCGTTGCTCCGCGGAAATTATCGATGAGGTGACGCGTATATGTAGACAAAAGGGAAACTGTATGTGTTGGCGAGATGAGGTGTTGCTGCTTTCTTGATTGTGTTGCAATACAACGCCGGGGTAGGTGGCTTCCGTACGCGTTGAGAGGTTGGCGCGACGGGTACCTTGCTTCCGCGAGTATTTGGAAAACACACACCCTTTCGGTGGTCTCTCCGACGGTATCTGGCGCTTACTGGATCCCTTGTTTTCGAATCGTTTGATTGCTGTCTTTCTCCAGGTTTTTCGAACCCACGTCTGCAAAACCCTATAGTCTCATCTTTCCAACAGTGGCCAGGGAGTCAAGGGTGACATCGTCCCAAACCAAGAATTCTTTTACACGGTGCTCGAATTTCCCCTTTCGTCTAAAATGAGATGGCTGAGGAATGATTGACGGGTGAAGGGTAGTTGTTGTGGCTGGAGTGATGACGATTGAAGCTTTTCAATGGCAAAGCTGTTTTGACTGAGATGAGGATGGATGTCGGACAATGAGAGACTCGGTAGGTTCAAATTTCGGACTCACAGAAAGGTGCTACGATGGAGGTCGTGTCTTAGGTTTTGAAGTTCTCGGGGAAGTGCAGTTGTGTTATGGCCCCTGTAGAGAGGTGAGTACATCATAATCTGCTCAAAAGAGCTCCTTATCTCGCCGAACATCTCCTTCGCCACGTTGAGCAGATTCAGCCTCACAAAAATACTGGAACGGTGATCACAGTCTACTCAAAGTTTTGTGCTCCTCTCACGCTTTACCGTCTATTTGTTGGGTCAGCCTGAATCGCACTCACGGCTGCGGGGCTATGTAAACTGCGAAATACTATTGGGGGAAGACCAGCTTGATGTGTACAGCCTTGTACCGAGCAAGACCTATTGATGGTGGTTGTTAAGAAGAGATGGAAGGTTGGGTCCATTTGAATGTGGAGAGTGAGGGGATGCTACAGTCGGTGCACACAAAACTCAACGGATTTTAGCGTGTCGTGGTCGCGGTTTCCCCTACGACGCGTTTCATCGTCCACTACCAAACAGTACGCCGCCAAAGTCCTATGTGAACATCTGCTACCCTAAGCGAGCACTCCAAATACCGAATTCGACCAAATCGTGCGGACCATGTTCTAGAATAGTGGGGACTGCGATCATAAGAATGCCGCCACCAGCCCAGCCTCGGAAGGTCAGCACTTGGTTTTGGCCGAACAACAATGACCGATCCAGACATGCGAATGATGCCAAACTACGCAAGCTACATTCGATGCGAGATGAACGCGCGTTGATTCTTTGCTGAGCAACCTCGTATCAGAGGTAGGGGTTCGCATCTCATGATGGCGGGGTTGAACAGGTATGAGGTAAGATGCTCGTCAGGGAGTAGCACGCAGCCTTTTGAAAACCTGAATTGTTTGCACTTCGGTCCGAACAACTTCATAATATTGCTTAAGCCATTCGTTTCACGAGGAATAGATTACATCTGTATCTATTACTGCATCATGTCCGAATGTTTCTCCTATTGTCATAAAAAGCGCACGATTCAGCAGCTTCCCACCCCGGCTCGGAAAGGACATAACGCCATACTGAACTCCAACTATTTGGACGATATTACCGATGAAATTGGCACATGGGGCCGTCAGCGCACGCTTATAGTGCACTCTAAAGCGCTAGGGGAAAACACAGATGTTGTTGAGAGGCTGAAAGAGAAATTGGGGTCGTTCGTTGTGGGTACCAAGTCTGGGGTGGGCGCTCATTCCCCTTACGAAGATGTACTGGAAATTGCAAGGCTGCTACGTGAGAAAAAGGCGGACTGTTTGATCAGCATAGGAAGTAGCAGCTACTCGGATGCATGCAAGATCGCGCGCTTGATGCACGCGAATCTCGCTCCAGACAATCTGACGGTAGAAGCTATGGAGGCCTTGGTAGACCAAACCAAGGGCAGCGCCGCCGGGCTAAAAGATCCTACGATCAAACTCATTCTCATCCCAACGAGTCTGTCAGCAAGCGAGTGGAACAGCAACTCGTCAGCAACGAACCCTCAATCGAAGAAGAAGCAGCACTTTTCGAGCGAACACGCGGCGCCAAATCTTATCCTTCTCGATCCTGAAGTCGCCTCCACATCACCAAGGAAATTATGGCTGTCGAGCGGAATGCGCGCTGTAGATCACTGTGTTGAGACGGTATGTATCCATATCAATGATCCTCGGGCTCACAGGCATGCTTACGCTACTTCTGCAATGTAGATGATCAGCGACAAATGCACAAAAGAGGTGTTCCGCCATATGGAAGACGCGCTTGCAGTACTACTCAGAGGCTTGACGGATTACATGAATGGCGAGAGTGACAGCAATCGATCTGAAATGCTCGATGGTATTGCCAACTGCCAGGTAGGAGCCAGAGACGCCATGATGGGCCTCATCCTGTGGAACATACCAATGGGCCTTTCGCACGCCATTGGGCATCAGCTTGGTAGTACGTGCGGTGTTATGCACGGCGTTACATCCTGCATCATGCTCGCCCCAGTCCTACGCTACAATGCGTCTAAATCAGAGAAGCAAAGACATTTACAGCAGAGCGTGCTGGAGATCTGGAACAAAGTCCTCGAAAGAGACGAGTCCAGCCTTGCGGATGCGGTAGCCAATTTTGTGAAATCTCTAGGGCTGCCGAGTACATTGAGGGAAGTAGGTATCCAGGAACCAGCGGACATTGAAAAAGTAGTTGATAGCACCATGACTGACGTTTTCGGAGCTATGGAAGGTATGGGTCAAAAGCAGGACGTGTTGGCTATCCTAGAGTCGGCGAAGGGTAGAGAGACCGAAGATGGGTGTCTAGATGGCGACGCACCGATGTAGAACTCAACAGTCCATTTCCTCACGAAAATAGCTCACAGCACCTTGATTTACTGCTTTCTTCGTGAAGTATTGCGTTCGTAAGTCACACATTGGCAGACCTTCGAACTTTGCAACATCTTCCATGATAGCATTGGCCAGCTCAGCAGGAAGCTGGCCGTCGCCCCACCGCCTCAGAGTCCTCCAGACCTCATGAATCCTGGTACTCTGATGTAAAAATTTGGTCGAACGCCGGAACCAGCCAGCATCGAAGTACCGACCCTGAGGGTCCAGGCAGTTCAATTCCCACCTCTCCCTCTCTTCCAGATCAAGCGCGTGCCATAACGGCATCAAACCTCGAGCTCTGGATAGCGCTGGTAAGATGGGTGTCGTAGCTATATCCCATGGGACTGCTTGTGGCGTTGAGGATGAGGATGAGGATGAGGATGGAGATTTATGCGATTTGGTAGAGGGTGAAGATGGTGTGGTGGGTTGCGGTGGATCCCATTGGTCCACACAAATTCTCAACAACGCATCATCCAAGATCCAATAGAGACTCTCGCGTTGGCTGTGTAAGAATCGCTCCAATCTGACCTCTTTGTGTCTTAGAACATTCACACTCCAATCTACCAGTAGGCATGCCGCATGTGCCCACGACGCAGGCTCAACGTCCACTAGCTTGCGCACAGTCGTGGCGAATTCGCGGGTGCGATAGAAGAGCGTTTGGTAGAGGCGCGGGATCGTAGAGAGACCTTCGAGATCGTCTAATATGGTAGAGTTCATACAGCGAATGTCGCGTTCGAGTTCGCTGGAGCCAACCACGAAAAGTGGATATGTAGTAGATTGACGGTCTCTATCCCTTTTCCAATAAGGAGCGAGACCTGGGCCTTGTGGGAGCTCAGTATCGGACGGTAGGATATTTTCAGGTATCATTGTTGAGGTTGTAAACGTAACGATAACGAAAGTAATGCTCGTGTGATGGGATCTATCGCCTGGGGTATGACGTCATCTAGTCTGGGCTCGGAATACTCCTGAGACTGAGCCGAACCCATAACCCTGACGGCCAAACAATGCAGTGGCCAGAATAATGTATGGGACATGGATGAACGACTCAGAGAGAGCATGAAGGACTCTCCACGTGGGTGGGTCGCTCTACCCCACTCTACACGCTAGCGCTCTCCGACCCCGAAAGGCCGGTGCTTCTGGATGTGTCCCCTCCATCATTTGTCCACCCTTTCTCCGCAGCATTCTTCCAGAACAAGCGTATCATTTGACGATCGACTGTACAGTAAGGGTCTCGGTACCCTTCTCCCACAGACCTAAGGAATCAAGATGCTACTCTCAGCCTCCAGGTCCTGTATGATGGTAAATCGCGCTCGCTACCCTTGCTGACCATAGCGAACGATGACCGCTGTATGCCCGACCAAACACCTGCTGGCGAATCTTCTGCGACTGTGAGAATAATCAATGGGTTTTATAGTGTCTGTGTGGAAATGTTGAGTAGGTTTGTTCAGCATGAAATAGTGGGAACACTTCTCTTGTCTTCAATATCATGACTGTATTTCGTAGTCATCAAAGACCGTTCTATGGTACTGTTCCACCTTCCTAAATATTACCGATATTCCCTTCTTCGCGAGAAAAATTGAGGACGTGTATAAATACATACTCGTTCCCTCAAGACCTTCCTCACCACACCATCAATCTTCCCAGCCGCAAACTCAAAGTCCGAGTCAGATATAGTAAGACATATCTTTAACCATCTCGATTAGGCATCTATACCTTCCAAAACGTATGTGGCTATAAGCACAATTGTAAAAGACGTAGGCTAATCTAAGATAGGTCCACGTACAAAAGGCCAACCAAGATGTTGGACTTTTTCTTCTCCACCACCACCATGTTCCTCTTCGTCGGTGCGGCCTTCTCTGCTGTCTTGCCCTCTGCCGCCAAGTCCGATATCATCTTCGCCCCTATCGTTCCCACTTTTATGCCCCGTTCCGATGCTCTCTGTCTCTCCCGGGGTAACAGCACCGCTCCGGAGCCGTCTTCCAACTCTCTTTCGGGCTTCGCAGAGGACGCCAAGTACAACTCGTTGGCCTTGTCTGCCCCCGTCCCCACCGGCTACGCTCTCGCCATGAGCAACGCAAACTGTGCCTTCTCGTCCACCAAGTACATGCTGTATGTTCAACTAAAATCATACAGTCCGGAGACATGTGCCGAACTCTGCAACAAGTATGAAGGTTGTGACTCCTGTAAGTTATGTCTCCTGACACTTTCATATAGCCCTGCTAACCTTCACCTTTCTATGCAGTCAACATTTACATCCAGCGCGATCCGTCCGTAGTTCCTGGACCTGCTTGCCCCAATCCTACTCCCATCTTTGTCACCAAGTGTGCCCTCTATTCAGAGCCTGAACAGCTTTCTTCATGCACAAATTTCGGTCAGCACGTTGGCCCAGTCGATGCTGACGGTGAAGCTTTCAAGATTGCTATGCGTGGCTCTAATGGTAAGATCCTCATACGTTCATATACGAACCTATCCATATTAATGCATAAACCTAGCATACAAGAAAGTTTCCCCAGTTAGAGAGGTCTTCGTAACTGTCACAAAGACTGAGACCATTTTTACTAGCAACCAGAAGGACCGGAGGACTCTGTTTGAATACCCTACTCCCTCCGAGTATGATGCCACTACTACTGTTAGGATCCCCAAGACTACCCCTGAGTATGTGCATGTTGGCCCTGAGACCGTTATTACTCCAGCTGGTACTATCACAACGACCATCACCCTATCTGGTCCTGTCGCTACCACCACCATCATCACCCTACCTCGTCCTGTCGTTACCACTACGACCACTACCACCCTCGACAGCCCCGATCCCACTAGCACTACCACGACCACTATCAATTATCCCGGCCCCATGGTGACCACCACCTACGCTGGCCCTGATAGTACAGTTACCGTCTACGGCAAGCGAGACATCGCCGCCGCCCATTTCAAAGGCAAAGAAGAAGGAGAAGAGCGTTGGAATGCTTGGACCAAGGAGTGGAGGCCTGCGCCACATTGCTGCGACATCACGACCACCGCCACTCGTATTGGCACCCGCCGCCCCCATCACGTTCTTCCAAGCTACGTCCCTCGTAGTGTTATTGATCCAGAAGTTATTATGGTGTACCCTACTCCTACCACTTTTTCTGGTGGGAGTAGGACCTGGACATTGGAATTCGCTGGTCGTACTTCAACCATTACCACAACACTTACCCACGAATGGCAGCCCGCCACCATCGAAGCTGGTACTTACACTGCGACCCTTAGTTCTATCGATCGTTCCAAGCGCCCTAGCGCCACTGCGACAGATGCCAGTGACATGATTAAGGATAGGCCTGAGCCTATGAAGACGATCACTCTTGATGACTCGTACACGTACACTGAACCTACCGATGTACCTATGAAGACGATTACGCTTCGGGCTTAGAGTTATACGGTATGAATATCGTTTATACATCGGGGTTCTTGTGCTTCTGGGAATATATCTAGACTTAGCATAGAGTCCAGCGTTATTGCGCAGTTGCGCAGAACAGCGGAGGCATAGCACATGGCTTGGTTCCAGACCATATTTTCAATATAGTCACCTAGCAATGAAACCTCGTTTTAATTACATCCATTCCTTGAAATGTACATCTGATGTCAAGTTGGCAGCAGTTGTGCATCGAGCAAAGACGAACTTGAAGTGAGAAGTCAAGCATAAAGCCCCTGTGCACAAAGGATGATGGCTTTCCTACCATGATCATGCTTCCATTTTCTACCATGTACTCAAAATCTTTGAAAGATACTAAATAGATGGCACATTTGATGAACCAGCACCAATACACACCCACCTTCCAACCCCCCCTCACCTCTTCCTCTTCCTCTTGCCGCCATTTCCCCCCTTATTCTTCTTCTTTTTGTTCTTCTTCGCGTTCTCTCTAGCCAGCTCACACTCCTCACAAAACCATTTCCCCTCGGGAATCGTCGCCGCCGTCAACCCTACGCAGACATAGTGGAACCACTCAGCATTGCAACTCGGCCGATCGCAAGCGATCATATCGTTGTCTGCCGGGGTACCGCAGATGCAGTACTCCGGAGTGTCTTCGGAGACGGGAGATTGGGAGGATGTAGGAGTCTGCTTCGACTTCTTCCGAGGCGGGATGTCAATTTCGTCAGACTTACGCTTCAAGGGAGAAGCGGCAGCAGGCGCAGGCGTTCCGTCATCTTCACTTAGGAAGACACCCGGAATATGGTCCGGAATGTACTCTTGCTGCTCGGTCTCATCCTCCTTCTCCTCATCCCCAGCTGCTCCATCGTCCGCCTGCGACAGCTCCACCACTTTCTCCCTCTCTCTTTCCTTCTCCTTCTCTTGCTGCTCCGCAACCCCTTCAATCACCTCTTCGACCTCCTCACCATTTGCTCGGCGTCGCTCCATCTCCTCCTCACGCTCTTGCTGCATGATCATCGCGACCTTGCACTCTCCACAAGTCCACTCCGTATCCTCCGCGCCAAACTCAACGCCAGCGCACGGCAAGTGGAACCATCGCGTCTTACACAGCTCATGCTGGGCACACTCAACCATAGGCCCAGTGCGGTACGGCGCATCTTCACAGATGCAGATGCGTGGCGGAACGGGGGCATCAGGTGCACATTTAGGACAGAGCCATGAAGATGCATTTTCGGGACGGTGGAAGAGGCCCACGCAACGGAGGTGGTAATATCGGGGGCGGCACTTCTTGTTTGCGCAGCCGATGATTGGGGTGAGGTAGATTTTAGAAGAAGGTGTGGTGCAGATGCAGATACTGAGTTTCTGGTGGCAAGCGCCAGCGCTTGTTGGGGGAGTTGGAGAATGGAAATGGGAATGAGATGGCGCAGTGGGCGCGGTAATGGTTGGGTCCATGATTATTATGGGATTAAGTGTGTTGAAGGTGTAGGTAGTAGAGTGTCTGGAAATTACGATTGTGTTGTATTGGAGATTCTGAGTTAAGGTTGTTGAGGGACAGTTGGGGAGATCAAGACGTGAAGATATACCAGCAGCGCACTGCCGTTGTTAGAGTAAGTGACACAGATCTATTGTACCCGTAGAAACAACGACCAGGTGAGCGCGTCGAGAATAGCGGGGAGACAATAGTGAGACGACAATGGCACGACAATGGAAGTAAGGTGAGAGTAGACTTCTTGGCACGCAGTGTGGTACAAATCTTGTTGTATATGCAGGGATCGATACGTGAGTGTTTGCGATAGTTGCAAATACGTCAACAACACGATGCGCCTAGTACTGTATCAAAACGGAAATCCAGTGCGTTCTCATGCGAGTCATACCTCGCGACGCAAAGCTTTCTACTCCCCGTGACCGACCACCTGCCTTCTCCCATGCACACCTTCCCACTGCTCCCAGAGACCCTTCCAGGCGTCTCTCTCACTCCTGCCTAAACCAGCGAACATGGCATCGAGCCCCTCTCTATGCAAGCTAGCTGTACCCAACACTTCCCAGATGCCCGGCATCAACTTCTCCCTCACCCCCTGATCCAATCTTCCATTGAGCTGGTAGCGGCAGAAAGATGCGAGAAGCGGGTAAAGGAAGTTGCTCGCTCGGTCACGAGCCGCTTTGACGGGGTCATTGAGGTCTTTGGACTTGCGGGATTGATGGTGTTGATGCGCCTTCGTGATGGATGATTGAGGCGGATTGCAAAGAGTAGACAAGAGACGTGTGAATTGCGCTGCATTCGTAGGTGTTAGGCGAACGGGCTCAGTAGCGGTGACTGCGCGTAGCCATGATGGTAGAGCGCCGCTGCGACTAGCATTTGGAATGAATAGGCAAAATAGTAGGCCTTGTAGAAGGGGTAGGAGTAGGTGGAAACGTCCACCTAGGCGACCTCGATGTACAAGTAGGGTCAGGCGACTCGTCTGGCAGAGCCTTGAAAAGATCTCAGGAGCATACTGAGATGACAGTGCGGGACTGCTTCGTGACGTGAGCTTGACAAGCACGCTGTAGACGCATTCGATGCTGTGTTGTGATGCAAGCGAGGGTTTGTCGTTCAGGATTGTGTCAATGCAGTTGAGCAGAGCGTTGAAAGACTCGAAATCAGGACTCTCGGTGAGCAAAACGCAGATCCTAGGCAACAGTGCGAGCTGCTTTTGTCTCATCTCTGCGTTAGATTCTAGCTGATCGTCCATAGTGTCGATGAGATCACCGAGGATACGGTACGAGGCAGCCAGGTTTGGCTGTTTCTGATCTACAACCAGTGTTGTGATAAGATCCAACTTCTCGTAGAAAGGAAGCGGTTCGAGTGTGGTCTTGAGTGTTCTGTACACGGCGCCTTGTACGTGAACTGAGCTTCCTCTAAGCACAGTAAGCGACAGACAGATCAGCCACTTTGCATCTTGGTAAAGCTCGTATTTGGCGACCAATGCATATACCCGTGCAACGTAATCAACAGCTTCGCTCGGAACGCTGACCTCTGAACCAATATACTGGTCGAGATCGAGAGCATCCTTGAGCCACGTACGAAGCCATGTCTGGATACGGCTGAATTGCTTAACGTCTTTCAATGCGTCTGTTGACAGCTCGTTGAAAGCGTCCAACGACCCTAGCAGCAACGCCATGTCCTCGCTTCCAAGGCATTGCTTCAAAAGTTCGACGTAACGTTCGATATGAAGCAGAGAGTTTTGCTTTTGGACCATCGACGTCGCTCGGAGGATCGAGAGTCTCGCTAGCGAGCATTTGCTCGTAGCTTTAGCCACAGATAAAGATTTTCCGGCGTAGTCGATGAAAAACTCTTTATTTTGCGCTTGTGACTGGTTCGGAATGATATGTCCAAGGGTTCTTTGCACAAGCTCTCGTAGCAGTTGCAGCGCGGAGTCTGTTTCGAGTTGTTGGCTATGCAGCTGTTCTGCGATGCTAAAGATGACGTCTGCATCCGTAGAGACCTTGGCTGTTGCATTTGGAACTTGCTGGAGGTGTGCCATGATGCTCAGTACTATCATCGTACTCGTCTGCCCAAGGTCCAGAAGTTCGGCTGTGCGGTCCAAAATTGCTTGTCTCTGCTCACGGGACAAAGCAGCAGGGTGGATATGAAGTATCGCCTCACCAGCCACAGCGTGCATCCTTATTCCAGCTCCTTGCCCAAGTGCTTCCAGAAGGGCTACACAGTATGCATTCTGTATGACGGAGTTTCCCTCCTCGATGATTGATTGAGAAAGTGACCGACAGACAAGATCACTAGTGACGCCGTCAAACTGTGGAAGCTTTGATAATATGGCAGAAAGAGATTGGCGGCACGCGTCAATCTCCACGTGCTCAAGGAGATTGACGGAGTAGGCACAGAAGATTTCGATCATCGACCGCTGTCCTTCGGTGTCTAGCTGACTGGAAGAGAAACAGTCCATGACTCTGGCTAAGCCACTGCGGATGACAATCTTGGAACCAGGGAGTGTCTGCAGGCGATCACATGTGTTGAGCCAGAATAGTACTGCAGCTGCTCGTATGGTTGGATCTGCGCCCCGTCCAGCGTCGTTGGATGTCGTCGACATAACTTCTATAGCTTGTTCCAGCAGCGGGTAAAGCAATTCCTGTTGCAACTGTGAAGAGGCGTGAAGTTCGATGGGCCACAGTTTCGCCAGCAATTGGCACAGTGTGAACCAAGATAGATGGGACTGTGTGTACAAGCTGTAGTGACGCTCTTGGACCCACGAAGCGTAGGTGAGAAATAGAGCACGAAGGTCGGCTTTTAGTGCTGCAATGTTGTTTTCAGACTTGATAGCTTGAAGGAAAGCTGGAAGCAAGATAGCACTACTCGCGGCGTTCTTGTACGCAGCGAGTTTCTTGACTTTGACACTCTCCTTGGTGGCAGTCTCGATCGCACCAGCGAGCTGTGCCAGGCGCTCCCCGTGCTCCTGAATCACTGTAGTTATCTGGCCTTGGGTTAATGATGACTCGAAAGATTCAGCCAAAGTATTCCACAAAGCACGATCTTCCCACACGATGTCCTGTCGCCCTTCAAGAGTCTTGCGCTTGCCGTGTCTAAAGCTCTTGACTAGTTGGTCATCCCATCTTCGGACAAAGCCTAGCAGGTTACGGTTCCGCACGAAAGCCAGCATCAATGGGTTGATGATTCGCTCCAAGATTGCGGATCTTCCCAGCTGAGCATCACTTCCGTCATCAGAGAAGCCTGAGCCCTCTAATTCTGTAGCTGATATTTTCTCAAAGACAAACTCGGCAAGATCTGTGTGGTCTTGCGAGCCTCTCGCTCCAACTTTGGACTCTACAGCAAATACTGACGAATCAAGCTCAATCAAGGATGCGATCAGCGACCAATGCACCTGCTTCTCTTGACGTTCGGGATATTTCACCCCGCAATGGTACCAGAAGATGTTCTTGATGAGGTCCGAAGAAAGGCTTACTTCATGTACCTGCAGAATACGAATAGCGCCACTGAGAGCAGCGACGGCGGTTGGCCGTGTGATATACTCGGGTGGAGTGACCAGCGAGCATCCAGCGCACTCTGCAAGCGCGGAGAAGACAGCCTGTAGCCAGGGCTTTTCCATAGCTCTGCTCTTGGGTGTCCGCGACGGAGAAGCGCGAATGGCTAGATCTAGCACATGAGGTACTGTGTCGAAGAGCAGCGCGAGTTCTGCAGGTAGAGCATCTCCACCATCTTCGATCTGCGCTGCCTGAAGAAGCTTTGCGCGGAGCGGCTCCAGGTTACTTGCAAGAACCGTCGCATCCCGTGTCTTCAGTCCAGCGCTTGTAGAGTTTGCACCGATACTGGCAGAGGGTGCGGCGGTTTCGGCATCGTTGAAGAAAGCAGCTCTTGAAGGCGCAAGCAAATGTCTCGCCAACAGCTTGTCGAGCACTGCAATCGCGCGGTCCAGGGTACGTTGGGAAACCTGCGTCGTGTCTCTGCTGCGCAGGGACTTGAGATGTTCCAAGAGTAGCAAAGTCGGTACTAGGCACTCTGTGTTGAATTCTTCAGCGGAGGCTCCGGACTCGTCTTTGGTCTCCACAGCGCGCAAATCCCACATCTCAAGCGCAAGTGACAATTGTAGATGCTCGTCCAGAGGGGTATCATCGGAAGCGCGAGAGCGAGCTGCGCACAATATTCGGACACCAGAAAGCCAGAATCTGAGGATGCGCGAAGCCTGGGTACTTTCTGTCCTCAAGACCATCTTCATGAGCTCAGCCTGAGTGACGTCGTCGGACTTATCACTCCCAGCCAGGTGCGCGATTGAATCAACTGCTGCCCTGACCACGCGGAAAAGATGGCCAAGATCGACAGGACCAAGTGCGGCCGATGTCGAAGGTGATGCCTCAGCTGTGCCGCGTTTTCGTTTCTTGGATGGCTTGGTTCCTTCTCGGATAGTCGCACTTGATTCCGAGTCGTCCTTCATGTCGACATCTTCCGAAGTGGCTGCGGGTTGTAGGGTCGAGTCTGTGTCGAAGTTCTCCACGAGCGTTCTCTCCAATATGCTGGGGAAGCTGGCGTCTCGTAGATGTGGCGCACTACGAGATACAGGCAGAACGTGTATCATCCAGTCTAGAAGCTGCCATGCGCTGACGTTTGCTCGCGCCGCCCGCCCAGTTTCCGTCTCATCTTTTAACTTGTCGAGAATCCAGCGCAGGACCCATTCCGCCCTTGCGCGCACAAGTCTTTGTATGATATCTGATCGGACCTCCTGGTCTTGTATCGTACTCCAGTCGTCAGGAAGGCCTATGATATGCGCAGCTTGGCGAATCTGCTCGTCCAGGTCGGAGAAGTCCTGGTTGATGGCTTGCAGTCGCGGCCGGGTGGACGCAGGATCATTCTGCGAGGCCTTCAACCGTGTCAGCGCTTTCTCAAACTCGGAACACCGAACACACTTACTGGCTTGCTTGGCGCCATCTTGTCACCTCTTTCCCCGTTTGTGGATGCAGAGACCTTGAGAAGATCGCGCAGCCCTGGTATGCGGAAAAAGTTTGGGCACGGACCAGGCCATCCTGGTCGTTCCTGCCAAGGGCCGGCGACGTCAAAGTTCCGCTTGCAGCTCCGCCCAGAGACGCTCAACACCACGTCGAACCGCTGTCCATCACTCCAAGCACACCGAGTGCGCCGTTGAACCCATCAATTGCCCTCGAACACATACACACACCATGGCCGACAACACCCCCCAGCCCGTTGCCTCCATCCCGCGCACCACACGTCCCATGAGCGAAGCTCTCCTCAACGAAAAGGTACGGCCCAGGACATAGTGATAGAGGCACACGGCACACCGTTTTACGGCTTGAGAGAGAGGGATCGGAATGTGGTAGAGGCGAATTGGGCGGTCAATGGCAATCTTGGCCCGTCTCACGCGACTTCTGCCCACTTTAGTCGACTCCTGCCCACTCTCAAGCCGATTCTATACGGAGATAAGAGCACTGGACATCACCGGACAGTAATGCTAACATGTTTGCCTAGTGGGACCGCTGCCTCTCCTCTATGCTCATCCGCTCCGGCCTCGGTCTATCATTCGGTGTTGTCTTCTCCGTACTCCTCTTCAAGCGTCGCGCGTGGCCCGCATTCGTCGGTCTCGGTTTCGGTGCCGGAAGGGCATGGGAAGAGTGCGACAACGTGAGAACCCCCCCTACAGAGACAAATGTTCAGAATGTCAAATGCTAACATATAGAACAGTCATTCAAGCGCGCAGCATCACCCCCAAAAGACGGCCTTCGTGTTATCCGACCATAAGCCATCCATCCCACACGAACGACGAGACGGGACAGAACTATTCTATGTAATTCGAGCTTTGCATGCGAAATATGCATTGTACAGTAGGGCATGGTATAGATCATTCTGGCAATCGAGTGCTGTACATTCTTCACGATTCTTTAAACCTATGTTACAGTTGTTATGTTCACTCTAGCATGTGCTTTCTCTATCCTCATACCCATACCCTCCGATCATTGCCCCATGTTCTCTTACGCCTCTTCGCTCTCTGAGTATCCTCGAATACCGTGACTGGCGTTACGCACCTTTCCCACATCCAAAATCGTTTTCTCAGCCTTTATAGTCCTCAAACCCATATTCCTCTGCCCCATCCTTGATGATAAGCTGGTAGGTACTAAACACGATACTCTCATACAACTCCCGTCCTGCGGCTCTTGCCTTCTTATGCCAGGGACCGAGACCGCCTTTGTACGCGTCTTCCCTACTATGCCAGAAGCCTGTTCAGATCGTCAGTCTCAGTTCATTAGATAGCACCTCACGAGGATGCATGACTGAAAAGAAAGAGAGAAAGCAGACACAACGTACAAGTAGCCAGATTCCTCCTCTCCTCGTCCCCTTTCCCGAACCAATACTTCAATAGCCCTCCACTCTCACACGCCTCACGATGACTCTCCTCATCAAGTCGGTACAGCCATTCTTGATCAATGTCCTCTTTGAGCTGCGAACGGAAGACAACGACGTAGAATGACGTTTCTTTCCATTCGTACTTTTCCTGCGCAATGAGGGTACGCAGAAGGGCTAGTACGACAGAGAAATTCAGGGCGAGAGGGTACGGCGCAGTTGCGTAGGTTGGGGTAGCCGGTTTGAGCGCTGTCAGGGCTAGTGCGAGAAGACGGGAGGGTATGGTTAGGTGAGGGGAGGAGAGGTCGAGATAGTGGTTGGGGATATTGTATGGGGAGGAAATCAGGAGTGTGGAGAGTGTTTCGGGGTCTTGATTTGGGGTCGAACGTTTGGAAGTATCATCTGCAGTTTGGTAGAGCTGTGGGTTGTGGAAGACGAGTTGGTCATGTGCTGCGGCTTCGAAACGCAGTTTGTCGAATTCGGACGTTATGCTTTCCGGATTGAGGAGTTGAACGCTGTGAACGTGTAACGACACGTCCGATTGTGATGCTGTAGGTGGCAGTTCATCGTCGTTGGCGGTGGAGGCCTCGGGCGGTGACAGGGGAGTTTTGACGATGATGCGATGACCATGAGCTTGTATCATCGTGGTCGTGCCTCCGACAGCCATAGCTCGGGTGAGTTTCTCAGATGTAACTGGAAGGGTCTTCTTTATGTAGTTGTTCGGTACCGATTTGTCGCACTGGGCAAGCTTGATAAAGTATTCTTCTCCGCTCTTGGAATGATAGTTCGCGAACACTCAATGGTAAGTATCACCTACAATAGGTCTAATTGACGGCAGTGTGTGATTATGAAAAAGCTTTTAGGTGTTCAATTCAGGCGTGGTGAGCACGCGATGTCGCAAGCTTGAAGTTGCGGTGACTGATGGGTGACCTTTCGCTACAAGCACGTCGGATCACGCAATCTGACGAATGTCGTGCTAGACCCCTCATGATCAACACTCGCAAACAGTTGGAGTTCTCCAAGGGAAGTAGCAGTCGCAAGTTCACATGCGGCGTATGACATGGCTGATTGGTCCGAGGCCCGGTTACGTACAATACGATGCATACCCCAGTTCTACCTGCAGTGAGCAATGATCCTCGCAACGAATGAAAAAGATTGAAACCCGCAAATACGCATGATATCTATTGAACTCAATCGATCCATTTACCTCGGAGTTTGACGCCAATTGCAGATGCAAGAGATGGTCGAGATGTAATGCCTGCCTACTTTCGAGCTTCGTGCAAGATCCTTCGTCTCAACGTAAATCTCAACCTCTCGTATGTCTCAATGTCTTCTCAGAAAAAACTCCAGAAAGAAGGAAAGAAGGAGGAAAGGGTATCATATGGAAAAGGAATTCGCAGAGCGAACTTGCATACCGAAGTGTGGCAAAGAGGAAACTCAGTCCTGAATCTTCGTTTGGGAGAGCTTGAACATGCGTTGATAGCCGTACGGATTCTCGGCTGATATAGGCACCTCGGCGCCATACTCTTCGATGCAAGCATCGAAAGGCTTGTTCGTTAGGCGATTGTCTCCCGGCGGTAGGGGAAGGTCAGTTGCTCGATCTCTCAGCTCTGTTTTGAGCTCCATGAGGTTACCCCATAAGATGAAGAGCTTCTCCTCGAGTTGGTTGAGAGCGGTGGGCTTGTTTATGATACTATAAGCGTATTAGCAGACGTCCAAGCCATCATGAAGCGTGTCATCTTACTCTTTAGCACTCATCCCCAGGAGGAACATCGCCGCATCGTTGTTCACGACCACGCGCAACTTCTCGGATACTGTATCGCGGGGTATGCTTGCATCTTCGAGCAGGAGAACAAACCCCCATTCCCAGATTTCTTTCGTTGGACCGTCAGCGGCTCTTTGGTTCTTAGATTGCCCTCTCCACTTTCTATCGCTCTTGGAGTGTGCGAACAGCTTGAGCTCGGGAGGATAAACATCTACTACACGGACGCGAGATCGATGTTTGCAGTTGATGAAAGGGAGCTTATAACTATGGTGCTTTTCTGGGGTCTGAACCTCGAGGTGATGGTTGTATATGATCTCGGAGATGGTGGAGGGTTTTATGTCAGGATAAGCAGCGATGACTGAAGGAGCTTAGTATATAGGATGACGGATAAGAAGGTATCTTACCATTGGGATTGACCCCGCCACGAGTCCTCTCCAACTCTTGTTGTTTCTTCTCCAGTTCGTCTTGCTCGGCCTGTTTCAGTACTCGTTGCCTTTCTCTTTTCGCCTGTCTCTTTTCTTTCGAAGTTTTGCCTAGGGTATTCTTGGGTTCGTTCTGCATAGCCTGGAACGCCGTCTTGTTCCCACGTTTTTGCTCGTACTCTTCTCGGCGTTTGTCAATCTCCTCTATGTCGGTCGTGTTCCCCATGTGACGTATGTCGACCTTTGATGGGTTCCGGCGGTCTTCATGTATCGCGCCCTCGAGGGAACCCCTACTGGACGTCTTAACTCGCATATTTCTCATAAAGACATAGTCGCCATTAGCAAGGTTTTCCGATGCCCAGGTCGCGTTCGCTCCGTAGAGGGTGACATTCAAAGTCAGAAAGCCATATGGCCCTTTCCAGTCCCTATCTGATGCGAAGTGGCTCTGCTCCTGTTCTGGATCTGCATAGTTGTACATTTGCTCATTCGGAGTGTAGTCGGTTACTTTCAGGTCAACTTGGCCTCCCATCTGATAGTAGTAAATGTTGACAACCTGGGCACGGACATCATAGTAATTATTAAATTGTAAGTCCTTGATCAAGCTGACTGATCTTCTTGTCCTGGCCTTCGACGTATTAACCACCACATGCTGCTGCACTTGTTGCGCTGCGCCAGTAGAAGCATTCTTCATATGGATGACAGCCATCTGCTCTGGGATCGTAGGCGGTGGGCCTCCAGTCAAGGCGTGAGGCAGTTTCTGACTGCCGGCCTGGAAAGGGTGGCTCAGGCCTGGGACCGGAATCCTGCTGCTAGGAAAAACGAGCATGTTGGTGTCGTACATGTCCCGACCGACGGCCTCCCTACGAAGATTGAATTCCTGGATTTTAAACCCGCGGAGCATGACAACATCGCCAACCCCAGAGATTGGAGGGAATTTGTTCTCAGCGCGTCTGAACAAGCGGCAACGAATGCTTGACTGATCACCAACATCACCGGACGCAAAGTCATCTTGGATGGTGAAGTCGAGGGCCCAGGAAGTGCCTCTAGTTGACTTTGGCGGATCGTAGTTGACGAGAACGCCGATCAGGTTGACACTGTCAGTAGGGTAGGTGGCGTCTTTGATGGCCGTGAAGCCTTTGGGCAACTCCAGCGGCATTGCAACTGGAGATGGCCGAAAGCGGTTAGCGCAGTCTGCAAGGCCGTCAAAGAAGTGGGAGCAATTGCAGGGGGAGGCAAGTGGCTTGAGCTAGGCCTTTGTCTGTAGTGTTTGGCCTCTGAGACAGGCGGGCAGGTGTGACAAACATATGCAGGGCGAGGGGGTACATGTCTGCGCCAGCGCGACGCGTCGTGATGGTGGTTGCTTAGGTAGAGCGCTCGAGCCAAGCTACTAGCGCCGATACCCGCTTCGCCGCTTCCGCTTTCAAAATCACCCCTCTGGTTGGAAAGTTTACTCCCTTTTACAAACAAACACGCCGCACCAAATCTTGCCCGACTCAGCACACTGCAAATCTAGAGAGTCGCAGAAATGGCCGACAAGTACATCCCCGAGCACCGTCGCACGACGTTCAAGGCAAAGAGCGCCTTCAAGCCAGATGAACTCCGCCGCCGCCGTGAAGAGCAACAGGTCGAGATCCGCCGGGCGAAGCGTGAGGAGAACCTCGCAAAGCGCCGTGGCATTGCTGGCCGTGACCAGCCCGGTGCCTCGCTCGGTGCTGCCCCCGACAGCGACGATGAGGGCGGCAACATCGAGAGCCAGGTACGTTCCTACTGTACCCCACTATTTCTGAATGCAGGCGTATAGAGAGCAACAGAGCACACCAGGCTGACACACCCGCACAGCTCAACGAGGAGCTCCCGCAGATGGTAAAGGGCGTCTTTTCAGAACAGATCGATGAGCAGATCCAGGCGACAACCAAGTTCAGGAAGCTGCTCTCCAAGGAGCGCAACCCCCCCATCGAGCGCGTTATCGAGACTGGTGTCGTGAGCCGCTTCGTCGAGTTCCTGCGCTCCCCGCACACGCTGGTGCAGTTCGAGGCCGCCTGGGCCCTCACCAACATCGCGTCGGGTTCGGCGCAACAGACACAGGTCGTCATTGAGGCGGGCGCCGTGCCCATCTTCGTCGAGTTGCTCAGCAGCCACGAGCCAGATGTTCGGGAGCAGGCCGTCTGGGCCCTGGGTAACATCGCCGGTGACAGCCCCGCATGCCGCGACTTTGTGCTGCAGGCCGGTGCTCTCCGCCCGCTGCTTGCGCTCTTGGGCGACAGCCGCAAGCTCAGCATGCTCCGCAATGCTACATGGACCCTGAGCAACTTCTGCCGCGGCAAGACCCCCCAGCCCGACTGGCAGACTGTGAGTTCTCTTTACAGCCCCACTTAAGTCGAAATACTAATTATCCAGCAGATCCAGCCTGCCCTCCCCGTGCTCGCCAAGCTCGTATACTCGCTCGACGACGAAGTCCTCATCGACGCCTGCTGGGCCATCTCCTACCTTTCCGATGGCTCCAACGACAAGATCCAGGCCGTCATTGAGGCTGGCATCCCCCGCCGTCTTGTAGAGCTGCTCATGCACGCGTCCACCTCCGTCCAGACCCCCGCCCTGCGCTCTGTCGGTAACATCGTGACTGGTGACGACGTCCAGACCCAGGTCATCATCAACTGCGGCTCGCTCCCTGCACTGCTTTCGTTGTTGAGCTCCACCAAGGACGGAATCCGCAAGGAGGCGTGCTGGACCATCTCCAACATCACCGCCGGCAACTCCACCCAGATCCAGGCTGTCATCGATGCTAACATCATCCCTCCTCTGATCCACCTCCTCCAGAACGGCGACTTCAAGACGCGCAAGGAGGCCTGCTGGGCCATCTCCAACGCCACGAGCGGTGGTCTGCAGAAGCCTGCTCAGATCCGCTACCTCGTCCAGAGCGGCTGCATCAAGCCTCTCTGCGATCTTCTGGCCTGCCCTGACAACAAGATCATCCAGGTTGCCCTTGACGGTCTTGAGAACATCCTCAAGGTCGGCGAGATGGACAAGGAGGCCAGCGAGGGCGGTGCTGGTGGCGAGCCCATCAACCGCTACGCTCTCTTCATCGAGGAGGTCGGCGGCATGGAGAAGATCCACGAGTGCCAGAACAACGCCAACGAGGAGATCTACATGAAGGCCTACAACATCATCGAGAAGTACTTTTCCGACGAGGAGGGCGAGGCTGAGAACATGGGCGAGGCCGGACCTCAGGTCAACCAGGAGGGTCACTTCGGTTTCGGCGCCGCTGGCCAGCAGCAACAACAAAACTTCAACTTTGCCAACGGAGGTGACTCCATGGACATGTAAACGGGACAAGATCCGTGACGAGTCCAAAGTTGAATGTTGCATTGCTTGCAGTGCAGCCCTTCTACCACGCTAGCCAGCCACGAGAGCCCGACTAGTAGTGTTTGCGGTATCCTGGATGAAGTCGGAGATCATACACGATATGATACATGATCCACGGAAGCGCTATGATTGCGAGGACCTTTGTGTTTCCTTGGCAATACCCCCATCCTTTCCAGCTATCACTTCGCCATGATTTAAATGAAGCCTTAAAGATACACCGTCTTGTACCCCTCCCATGTTCATTAACCGCATCATATCCCCGGCGTTGCGTGTTTGCCTAGCTGTCTGAAGATCGCAATGGTTTGGACTGGGCGGTCTGCTCTGGATGGAGCTCTACACATTGGGTGGAAGAGTGACATGCGCTCGCAGTTCAGCCGCGCCAGACAGATAGCTGAATATAACGCCGAGCAATCGGTCTACAACACAATCTATCGCGATGATGAAGATTCATGTGATTGTGAACGAGCATCACCACTACCGTGCTTGAATGTAGAACAGTTGTTACTTCAGACACCGCCAGCGAATCAACGTCTTGTCATAACTAATCAAAGCAAGGTCCAATCCTAAGTGATTGTAATCGGGTCATCACGAGACGAGCGCGAACCCAGGAAGTCGTGAACTAAACGGAGCTAGCTGGGAAAGTAAGTGCGTCATCCGCGGAACCCTGAACACCCCCGCCGGCATACCTCCGCGAACCACGCGTGGGGTTAGTTGTTTCTACGCTCGGTTCGCGATAGCATGTCGCGTGCCATTCATAATGGATTCTGTCTATCTGTCTGCGCGTGTCGACCGTGTTTCTGCACAACTTGCACAACCCAATGATGTCTCAAGCAATGCCCTGGACCGATGGCGCAATCATCGCGAACACACCGCCGCGCCGACCTCGCAGCCAACTCACCAGCATCTTCACAACTCCTGACAGTCATATCACAATCGCTAATTCTGCATGATACCGTTGTACTGAACGTCGAATATACAACAACACCCACCCATCATGTGTAGATTCATGGTAAGTATGGCATCTTACACCCGCCGCGCTACAGCTAACAACCAAAGGTCTACAAAGGCAAGGATGAGATACTCCTCTCAGAGCTCATTCTAAACCCCTCCCATTCCATCCTCACACAGTCCTTCGACTCGCGCCTCCGTCTAGTACGTCTCTTCCCACGAACCCACATCTCCCCTACTAACGCACTCATCACCAGGACAGGCGCCGCCCGCACAACGGCGACGGCTTCGGCATCGGCTACTACACGTCGCCCTCCCTGGGCCTCACGCCCTGTGTCTTCACCTCCACGATTCCAGCATGGAACTGCATAAACCTCTCGCGCATCGCCTCCAAAACCACATCCTCGCTCATCTTCGCCCACGTGCGCGCCACAACTGAAGGCAACCTCAGCGACAGCAACTGCCATCCGTTCTCCTACAAGTCCCTCATGTTCATGCACAATGGCGGCATCGGCTGCTGGAAACAAATCAAACGCCGGCTTGCTATGGGCCTGGATGAGAAGTGGTTCAATGTTGTGGGTGGTTCAACAGACAGTGAGTGGGCGTTTGCTACATTCTTGGATTGTTTAGATAAAGCGGGAATAAGCCCGGACAAAGAGGTGGAGGCTGGTGTGGGCTTTGGACATACGGTATTGAGGAAAGCGATACTGAAGACGATTGAACGGCTCAACGGGTTCATCAGGGATGTTGTTGGGGAACAAGGGGGTGGGGTTGGGGAGGAAGATAGTAGGAGTCTGCTCAACTTTGCTGTCACAGACGGTGTTAGTGTTGTGTGCTCGCGGTATGTGAGTAGCAAGACGGATGAGGCGGCGAGCTTGTTCTTTAGCAGTGGGACGAGTTGGAGGGAACTCAATGGCCAGTCGGTGGGCTCGGATGCTGGTGCGAGTTCTGTGGATGATGAGGATAGGGAGAGGGACTATGTTATGGAACGCAGGGATAAGGGAAGTGATATTGTGCTGGTGGCTAGCGAGCCGTTGACGTTTGAACGGGGTATGTTACTTTTTGTACCTTTTCCTCTCGACTGAACTAACAATGACAGATAACTGGGTCACGGTTCCAACAAACAGTACGCTCACTATCTCCAAGCAAACTGTTATGATTCATCCTATCGTCGATGAGTTCTATAGCCCCAATCCGGCGCATGAGCGCAGTGCGAACTTTGCGCAGGCGAAAGGGCAGACGGTTACGGGGAGTGATAAGAGGGTCTTAGGAGGTGTGGGAGAGGTATCTTAGGTACGATTTCATGCTTGTGGAAGTGACTACACAATGTGATGCTATCACAGCATATACTGGTGCTTGTTGAGATTTGCCCTCTCTGAATTGCTTATCGGTGACTTGTGATTAGTTTGAATAGCCTGACCACCGGCGGTACTCACGGCTCCCAGATTTGGGCTATCGTTACAGAAACCTGGGGTTTGCTATCCATGCTATTATACGTTCCTTATATGTTCGCTTAGTTTCACAATGTGGCGGTAGCACAGGGCGCAGCAAGTTGACGAATGGATGGAGCCTTGTAGGCGCCAACCGACCAGATGGAGGAAGTGGGGTGCTGTTCTTGCTCAGCCTACCATCTGTCATGTGATGTCCAGTATTTATGATAATCACAAATTGCGATGCCATACTTTGATCACACACTGGTCTACGCGCGCTGTAGATTCAAGAACATCGTTCATCTTCACCATGGCTTCGACTAGTACTAACGAGTTGTGCGAAGCATGCCAGAGCCTCTTTTTGAAAATTGGCTCCTCCATCGGCAGATTAGCTGACTTTTCTCGTTACGATACGCATGCTAGCTTTTCTCATCACCATACGTTCAAATCGCTCGAAGAAAGTTGCAAGAATGGTTGCGGCATATGCACAGAACTTATGCGTTCCCTGAAAAACACCTGGGCCAGCCCATGTAAACCGCCGCAACGGCCGGAGTGGGAAAGGAAGTTGAAACCCTTGAGTTGGTTAGATTGGTTCGAGAAGTTCTTTCCAACCACATGTCGAGTCGATAAGTTCTCAGCGAGTTGGCAAAATTCCTTAGAGTTGACTTTCAAAAGCCACAACGACGGGTACATCGAGTCCCAGAAGTACGGCTATGGCTTCAAGGTCAAAGGCAGTGGCTATGGCTTCAATATGCGTTTTATCCTCGAGGTCGCCGAGGATTCCAATGGTCAGTGGGTACTATATTACTGATCCTTTTAAACATCACTCACGAATTAGTGAAGGTAACCTAGTCGAATATACGCCCTCTTCGTCTACAGACTCACCCCAAAGCTGGGATCTGATACGTCGCTGGTTGAGCCAATGCACTCAAGATCATGGCCGATGTAATTTGGCAAGCCCGCAATCTTGGGCTCCAACACGTTTACTTGATGTCGGTACGTTCGAAGACGATTTGGTACGACTGTTAGATCGTGCCGAAACACTTCCTCTATCCAATAAGCCTTACGCCACGCTTTCTCACTGCTGGGGTACGACGCCACTCATCAGAACGACTCAATCCAACATACTGGAGCATCGTCGTGAAATACGTCATCATTACCTACCGCCGACTTTCAAGGATGCAATTAAAATTGCTAGAACTCTCTCCATACGCTACCTGTGGATAGACTCTTTGTGTATCATTCAGGATGATACGCATGATTGGGAGCAGGAGGCTGATTTGATGAGTAAGGTTTATATGTATTCCTTCATCAATATAGCTGCCACTGCATCGGACAGTAGCACTGGAGGCTGCTTTCGGCAAAGAGATGGACGAACTGTATTACCTACAGAAGTCTACATTCAGATGCACGACAGTGGGCGTGATAATGATGGAAAACCGGCGAAAGTCAAGTATCGTTTGGTATTACACAAGGACTTGTGGACCGAGAAACTCGCGGATGAGCCGCTGAATCAGCGCTGCTGGATATTACAGGAGCGCATACTTTCGCCGCGCGTTCTTCATTTTGGACATGAACAGCTCTTTTGGGAATGCCGAGAGTTTGTTGCATGCGAGACTTATCATCAAGGTCTACCTGCCAGTTTGCGAAACCATCCATATATCAACATCAAACGACTACAGCTTGGAGACGAACCCAAAGACGACCGATGGCCTGCGAAGTATGTCTCAAAAGCCTCTCAGGACATCTCAAATGTCCAGAGTCTTTGGGATAAATTCACATCGATCTTCCGACCTGTTGTTATTCATGAAACAACACTGTACGCTGGCTTGAACGACACGTCCGTCTATCAAGATTGGTACTCGGTTGTTGAGTTCTACTCCATGGGCAACTTGACTTTCCCAAATGACAAGCTTACAGCTTTGTCGGGTATTGCACAGACAATCGTTGCCATTGAATCTAGTAAACTTGGTGATGGCTATCTTGCAGGCTTATGGCAGTCGTCACTACCCGCCTCTCTCCTCTGGCAACCGATATATACCTATGTGCCGAAGGAAATCGGCACTCTTCACTTGATAAAACGTATACCTCACTATTACTGCCTGTGGAATCGATTCCCGGACACCTGCCAGCGACTGGAGCGGGACCCCTCGTACTGCGGCGTCTGTGAATCTGACAAAAATGTGCATCCCGCACGCAGATATGTCGATTACATCGCACCGACATGGTCCTGGGCCTCGATCGATGGCCGGGTCTCGTTCGCAGCGTGCCGGGTCAACTACAGACCTGAAGACTACTTAACGACAGTTGAAGATGCAAGTGTATCTTGTCACGGCAACTATCGTTTCGGCCGGATATCGTCAGGGTTTGTAAAGCTCTCCGGGCCAGTTGCGTCAGTTTCATGGCTTATTGGTCGCTACGCGGATTCAAAGCCTCGCCCTTCCTACGGAGAGCCAATGACGATAAAAGGTATATTTCCACCTCATCTTACTCACCACGCGGCTATCGATACGTATGACATAAGTGGTTACGACAAAGAAGAGATCATACTTGACATACCCATGGAAGACATACCAAGAGAGCTCACGCTTCTATGTATCGTCGAGACTAAAGAAAGCAATGGGCATACCAGCTTGGTCAGGGGGTTGGTAATACAGAAGTCTAGCCTAAGCGAGCACTATGTTCGCATCGGTGTCTTCGTAGTCCGCCGCGAAGAGGTGAGGAAGGTTCTCGTGAACATGCCCAGACGGTCAATTACCATAATATGAAGTGGTTGAGTTATAGTCCCGAGGTTATTATATGCTGTGCATACGCTGTCTCAGAATGCAATTCCTTCTTCGCTATTGAGTATGTTCATTGAGATAGCACCATTGTTTCTGCAGAACCTACCACTTGCCGGATACAGAAGCTTTAATGTAGGGGCGGGTCACGTGGCGACGTGGCGACGGCATCGCCGTGATGAGCAGACTAAGCTAAACTGACGTTGCGTAAGATCGACACGACCATTCCCATCGAGGGGTTGATAACGTTGCATTCAGGGGTCTGTCTACGCTGTCGCGTGTTTGACTATGAGCCGCTGTTCCTGCTTGGAAGCTGCGGGTGTCAATCTCAGATTCGCTAAATGCAGATCTCTTCGCAACAACGGCGTCTCCGAAGACGAGGAAGGTGTTCGCGGAGGCGTACTCGATCTACGCAAGGATCAGAGAATACTAGCTTGTCGGTTTCAGCATATGTGGTGTAGCTGCTGGAAGCCTGATGTCACCAGAATATCGGACGCCTGGTGGAAGTAATATCAACCGCAGCCAATAGAATATGAAATCAGTGGTCAGAAAGCGATTATCTTGTATCAACTTCTGACGCCGCAACTACATGTAATTGCATCTCAGTAGCTTCAAGAGCGGTATTCCATACGATCGGCATCTTCCAGGTCCTGTCCAAAACATCCAGCTGACCAGCAACTAACCTCGCCGTAACTCGACGCACACTCGCTACCGGGAACCTGTTTTTGAGGTTTGCCCAGCTTTTGAGGATACAAGTGTTGTTGTGGGGATCGCGCGAGGTACTCGAGATCGCGAGTTTTCCACGAATGGCGGCTTGTGGCGTGAGGAATACCCTTAAGTTTCGACAGCCACATGTCCTGTACGACTTCCGAAATCTCTTTTGGCGAAGACCTGGACATATCGATAGCGACTTATCAGCTTCGCGTAGCAGCCGCCTCTTACGTGGTGTGACTTCCGCTGCCGCCGAGAATCGTGAGAATGGTAACTGCCCCGCAAAAAGCAGATACCCGGCGAGCGTTTCCTTGATCATGATGATGGCAGTCCAGGTTTCTATTTCGCTGCAAACGTGGTTCTTTGTTTAGCTTCCCCTCTTACATGTGCTTAAGTTGCTTCCGGACGTATCATGAGTGCTTGCCTTTCGGTTGGCGTTCCTGCAGAAGCTGAAACGGATCCATCACGGGGCGCCTTACTCACCGACCACACCTCAGTCCAACGCCCGTAATGGCGCAACTGCATCCATCCAAGTGGCGGACCCTACTACCGCGCGAAAGCCTAGCCAAAGGAGCTCAGCCAGCTCGCCGTTGTCCCTTCGCGCAGGATCAGATCTCGGGTCATCCCTGCCGATTAGCTCAATGAACCAGTGGCTAACGCCACGAAACGACGCCACCATTACGGACTCAGCTGAACATACCCCCGCCAAGCATCAAGGACACTGGCTGTCGTGCTGAAGCCGGGCACCAAACCATGCGTGCCCCAGCAAGACTCGTACTGTATGCCTTGCACAGGCGCGATTCGTCGCAGCTGAACATGACCAGTTTGTTGCCTTTTGCTTGATTTGCGCATCGTGGGCTTACGCTTCACTTTGCCCACCAGCCTTCGTCACCAGGTCTACGCCGAGCTAGCTCGCCGATTGCCTCAATGTTTCAACGGTATCTGGGCTTGCTGATGTCGCCGTCGAAGCATATACGCAAATCAGGATGGCGCAGTTCCGTAGAGATCGGACGCAGGAACCGAACCTGACTCTCACATGCGGATATCCTTATTTATACGTTGACCCCGGTGCTAATCCTACAAGAACGAGACAATAACCGTACCCGAGTATTATTAGCTGGATACTATCGAACGGAGGATCCGGACCCTAGTGCTTATGCTAACAGTCCTTCCGCTTTTACTTCAAGTAAGTTGTATGAAAGCGGTTGTATTCCCGTCTTCTCAACTGACCGAGTAGCTAGTTCATCTAGGACCTGCATCATCCCACGCGATTGACAGTCAGAGTGGACCCCAGCAAGCCATACCTGCCACCCATCGGCGTCATTTCTGAACTCATGCCTCCACTTTTCAAACCTTCAAGTCTTGCCAGTACAGAAAGCTGGCATCCGCCTGTTTATCTGCAGCATCTTTCTGAAGCCATCTTGTTGTTCGCTCTTTTTGCAACAGTCTTGCGATCGTTTCTTGTCGCGCGAAGAGAAGGAAGGATGACCAGTTCCGGTGTGGGTCAAAACGACTTGGCCATAACGCAAGAGAAGAAGTTGCCTATCCACCAAAGAAAAGACTCATATCAAGAGGAGTTGAATACTCCAAGTAAAAAGATGCAGAGCTTCGATGATAAAGTGGAAGAGAAGTCGACATCGGTGAGACGAGATGATAACTATATCCGACTACCATCGCTGGATCAGGAACCAAACCAGTATCTCCAATCGCTTCAACAAGAGACACTTCGACCAATACTCTCACCAATCTACCCATGGACGTCGCCACCACAGAGACTACCAGGACCGTATGATGCGCCCTACTTCCCAGTTCCATTACCGACAGTCAGAAGTGAAGAATCGTCTGGGATTAAAGAACAGTCGCCCATTATCAAGACGGAACCAGTCCCTGACGATGTGCCAGAAGAGCTAGAAACCGTATCGTACACTCGTCGTGTCTCAACACCGAGCATACCAGACCACGAATCTCTCCTTGAAGGCGCAGTCACCGTTTCAAGCAAAGGCTGGCGCCGCACTCAATGGACCGTGACTGCGGGTTGAGACCATTGATGCCACGTCTTCACCGCATGATCAAAGAAGCTAGGGATATATCGGAAGGGCAGTACGGAAGGACTCTCGCGCAAACACGCCTTCTTCCCATACCGATAGCAGTGACGCTGCTGATACAAGCCACCATCGCTCGATCGTGCTCGCATGACCTCAGAAGATGTGGAGACTGAGGCTCCATGTGTAGCAACTGAAGCGGATAATTCGAGTCTTGGGAGTTGTGGCTTGCGTAGTATAGTTCCGCGCTTACTAGCTGAGGATAGTGGAGTGAAATGTGGGGCCCCGTAGGCGAGTGAAGGGACTACGAGGACGCCTCTTATGAATTATTGAGCTATGGAAGCTTGCGCCATAGCCGGAGTGTGTAGATCCGAATGTTTTCCGTTGCTTGATTTTCTCGGTTGGGGTATTTGTCATGCTGCGAGTGATACAAGGGGTCCAAGGGGCGGACAATGTGTTCTACTGTATCTAGGTGTACTCGTGCATATGTATTGCAATTACCCGCCACGAATGATCTCTGAGTGTTTTTCACGACTCCGTGCATGGATCTAGATGTATACCTCTTCTCAAGCATGGATCAATACTGGTTCCACTTGACATCTCAAGCGCGCGGTACGGCATGGCCATTACGGTGATTAGCTCCCGCTGCTTACAATGCGTGTCATGTGCCTATGTCACCCGTGCGACTATGGCCTTGCTTTTTCTACAGCCTTCTCCATCTCCACACGATGCCCAGGGAGTTTCTATTCTGAGCACAACACATCGATCTTCGCTCAAGCCTCATTGCGAATTGCATTATCAAGCCACCCGCACATGCGCGGCATAAGCGCCAAAAGCAATTCGGAGACACCTTCCTTTGACTGCAACCGACTTCCTCGTGTATGTGTAAAGTGCATGAAGAGTACGTACTACATCCAACGCAGTCAGCAACACATTGAATGTAGACGTCAAGTTAGCGGCCGATCTACGTCGCTTGTAGAAACCGCGCTCAGATAGGAAGGCATACGGTCGATCTTCCTCGTCTATGATTGCCTCTCGCTAGATATCGCGTTGTCGATCAATGAGATGCGTAATCGCGGAGTTTGGTGGAGAGCTGAAGGTGGAGCGAAGCCGTGGGGTGCATATGTCAGACTGCGTTAAAAAGGGTATCACGATGGGCACGGCTGTGAGAAGTGGTCAGCACGGTATTCCCACCAACAGTAGGCTCCACGGCTCAAAGCGCATACGACGGACGGAGCAGGCCTACGCGATCCAGATTTGATGTGTTGGTAGTATAATCCATTGCGAATACATGAAGCGTTCGCGTACTCTCCGTAATAGGTATCTCAATCAAAACCAAACGCCAAAACAAATTCACTGTATGCGTCACCCACGCCCAACTGCGCCATACCATCTCTTGCTTCGACCATATCAATATGCAGATCTCTTATTCTTCCAGTCAAATCTCTCGCTAATAGTATACCACCTAATCAAGCTCCTCGCACCAACCTCATCACCTGTCCTGAACAGTTGCGCAACATCCACATTTAGCGGACTATCCGGCTCAGCACTAGTGAGCAGTTGGTGTATACTCGTCATGGTGCTAGAGATGGTATACGCGGGCGTCCACGCCGTCTTGAGTAAGTCGAGGCAGATCTCGCCGGTTTTGAAATCGACATTGGGGTGGCAGATGGGTGTTACGAAGCGGATGGTGGGTGGAGAGAGGGGGTATTGCGAAGGAATCGAGATGGAAAGGAGCCAGCAGCCGTCTGTGAGGTGTTAGCGAGTGAATGAGGTTTGTGTGTGGTCGTGTATAGAAGTGAAGCGGTATAGGTAGAGTGAATTGCGGGTTTGTGTGTACCTTCGTACGCCGTTCCTTCTACACCCTTCATGACGGCTCTCCATTGCATCACATCATCATCCGTAGGTCCGAGTTCGAGAAGCGCATCGTTGGGGTCGTGTTGTAGGGTTTGGAGTTCAGTCATGAGGCGCTTGATGGGCGATGCGTTGCGCGATGAGCCTGCCATGATGTTCTATATATATCGGCTTCGATGTTTGATATTGAAGTTGAGGTTATAATGGGTGGAGACGATGCGCTGTATGTCTATGGCGGTGAAAGCACGCGTGGAGCTCTGTTGTCGCATCGGCAAGCATGGCTGAGCTGGCCGCGGTGATGCACCGAGGTCTGAAGCTTGAGCCGCGTGGTGGACTGAGCTGCATCCCCACCAAAACTTTTGGACATGGTCGTCACTGATGTGTAGAAGCGCATACTACAACCACTCTTCTTCAAATCCTTGCGCATAGGTGTTGTTGTCTTTCTCTCAACGCCTCGCTTAGTCATTACTCTGCCTGCTGCGTACAATTCCTACCGCACTACACCATCAGACATACAGCAATCGAACTCTGCACGACACGCGCATACGAAACGACACACCCAATCATGGTCGCGCCTACAGTTACTCTCACGCATCTGAACCGTGCTGACGGCTCTGCGACTTACACCCACAATGGCTACTCGATCATTGGCGCCGTCAATGGCCCAATCGAAGTACAACGACGCGACGAACTGCCTGAGGAAGCTGCGATCGAGGTCAATGTCAGACCAGCTATGGGTGTTGGAAGTATGTACAATCGTTAGAGGAGGGATCGCGACTTGGTTACTAACATGGCTCAAGGCCCAAGAGAAAGGCATCTTGAAACCCTTGTTCACAACACACTGCGCAGCATCATCTTGACAAGGTCGATACCACGGACGCTTGTACAAGTCACACTGCAAGTTAGAAGTTTACCGGAAGAGGATAGCACAGCAGGTGTCAACACCGTACGTTCAACAGTTAAATCGTCTTGCTGTATCACTAATCGCTAACATTCACACAGTCGCTAACCCTCCTCCCACATCTTCTACATACCGCGCTTCTCGCCCTGCTTTCCGCGTCGATACCCCTTCGCACAGTTCTCACTTCTGTCATGATTGCACAACCCGCCTCACCATCTACAAACTCCTTCCCACCTCTCCTCTCGCCAACTGCCAACGAACTCTTACGCGCAAAGCCCATACGATCAGTCCACGTCTTCGCATTCTCGGGCGACAGAAAGATGTTGCTGGGGGAGAGCGAAGGAAAGTTTAGTTACGAAGAGTGGAACGAGGCATGTCAAATGGCCGAGGATGCGTGCTGCGGAGAGGAAGACGATGAAGAGGAGGGTGGCGTAAGGCTAGAAGCCGAGGGCGAGGCCATGGACGTCGATGGACAGGTTGAAGGAGAGAATCTGGAGAAGTGGTTGAGGAGCGTTGTGAGGAGGAAGGTCGATTACGAACAGCGGTGGAAGAGCGCTACCTGAACATAGCGGGAGAGATGCAGAGACAAAGAGTGTGCGAGATACCAAGCAGATGACTCTTACGTTAGTTAACGCATCGTAGAGTGCAAGATGCTAGCTACGGCATATCCTGGAGCCTTGACGGTTCAGTCCTTAGCATGCCGTTAGGTATCGATCAGTCAGGGTCCTCATCGGCGCTGAACTAAACTGTCGAGTTGCCTCGAGAAAGGGTGGCTCAGACATGTAAAACCATGAATATTCAGCATTTTAACGCGGAGATGACTCGACAATAGATGACGGCTCAATAGCCAAGACCAATCAAAGGTTAACATGCACTACCTTGGTGAGTGTACATCACTTTCTGTTCATGCGTCTGACTAGAGGGTATAATCTTGGTTTGGTGAAGTGCATTGGTGACATGTAGTGACTAATACATGGGTCGAGCCCTCATTGTGTACGAATGAGACTTGTCTTATAAATACTATGTAACAAATCAGACGTGGTGTGACCGTGGTGCTCAAAAAGATCGTTTATTCAGTAGCTCAAGAGCCAGACACGCTACTCATGATCAGTAAAGCACTCAACGAGTAGGCTCTTTCCCCTCTGTTGCCTCAATGTAATCTCTGGAAGAAAATCCTGGCTCGCATTTGGGCAAGGCGAAACCGATCGGTATATCGGTTCTTGACGAAATGCAATTGGAGATACAAGATCCCCAGGCAGCCACCAAAGAGAGTCGCAGCCCCGAATATGGTAATCCATGATAGGAACTCTGTGGATGTCGAGTATCTCAATGACCAGGCAGATGCTCCAAGAACAACAAGTCCGCAGAGCCAAACGGAGACTTTGGTCAGGGATAACTTTTTCTCAACAGCCAACACCAGAGACATGTGTTTGTGCGGTGCTGATGGATATAAGGGATGCTGGTCAAGTACCACTCGCTGACCTTGCTGATGATCCCAGTACATTGCTCCAGATTCTTGCATCATGGACAGTTCCCACCAACCATTTTTGTAAGGTATGTAGTGCTTCGGAACTGTGATTGCGCCAGGCTCATCTTGCCAAGTATCGCGTATCTGAAACATTGCAGCACGGTACAATCGCTCATAGTGTAGGCACGGGTTCGAGATCTGCGAGCGTTCACTTCAGCTTGCTAACCATACAGGCTATTTCTGCACGACTCACCACCTGAAACTCGTGATGAAACCTTCCGAACAACTTAAACAATGTCCGGAAGATCTTGGACATTTGCTTTCGTTCACTCCATCTGTGGACGTCGAGGAAGTGATCTAGAGGCGCATTTTCGTAGAAGTCAATAGCTTCTAGAGATTCTGTGGCATAAGGCAATCTATCAAAGGTTGCTGCAGCAGGTCGTAGGTTCGGGCGTAAGGTGTTTTGATCATGCCCCAGGCGAGATGAGTCCATGTTCCGCCGACTTCTCCATACAGCGAGAATGACAAGAAGAACAGGAAAGAATGCTCTAAAGATGTCTCGCCATACAAGTGGGTAGTACACAATATCCGGAACGCGTTCAGTGCTTCTTCTAACAAGCTCATCGAAGTCGTGTGCCTTTCTCATCTCAGTGCACAGTGAGGTGTTTTGTAATGCTGGATTATTCTAACGCTGTTAATCGGCGCATCATATGAACCAGCATACCTCGAAGAAACATACTGGGTGGTTTCTGCAAGCCTCCATCTCATTAAGCTTGTTACCGCGTATTTGCTCGTTATACGTCTTGATGCCCCACACCAGCGCAAGCAATGCAAGAAGTTTCAAATCCCAATCTTTCCGCAGCCATTGAGGCAGGCTGTCAAACTTCACACGTACAGGAGCGAGGTGAGTTGCTGTGTCGTTTTGAGTCGTGGATGACGACGTTGCGCTAGGAGCTCTATTTGGTGGGCTGGGCGATGGGCTCGAGGTCGCACGTGGGCTCAAGGACGCAGGTGTGCTCGTTGCGTTTGATTGACTTACCGAGGGTGTCGCAGTTTGAGTTTGATGTGATGTTGACGAGGCCGAAGCGGGGTCTGGAGCTGAAGCTGGCAAGGCTGGCTGCGAGGAATTCGATGGCGCGGGTTGCATGACTTGGGATACTTTAGCATGCGGAGGTATCAGTTTCTAGCTAGAACGAGTTATAATCTGGAGAGTATCAAAGGTGAATATACGCACTCGAAGGCTAACAGAAACCGGTGAGGGACAGGTGGAGTTTGTAATGCACAGCCGCATAGGTGCCAACACACCCCAGGCTGCATAATGCTCAGCCTCTTCTAAACGATACTATAGATACAAGAACGCTCAAAGCGCTAAAGATGCAACACGTATTGGTGATTTCTTAGTAACGAAATGTGCTGGAAATTTTAAGTACATCGCGTTGAAGTAAATGGTATGCGCAATTCGTCAATATATGCTCGAGGCGATCGATTCGTGATGAATGTGTCGTTTCGAGTCGTGATTCGTAAGTCGTATGATGATGATCCGCAAGGTCGTGTCCCATCGCTATGCATAACCCCAAAAGAATGTCCATGAAGTCAAATAAAAGTCGTCAAACCGATTCCACTTTCTCTGTTATCAGTTTCTTGTCGTTTCTCGCTTGCTCGGCCAAAAGCCTCCCCAAAGACCCTTGTGCGTCCCATTCTGGTATCTCCCACATCGTTTTACCTTTCGACGGTTCTTCGCCCTCAACTAACCTGAAGTCTTCGCTACATGCTTTTGCCTCCATTAGCCATTCGCGCCAAGCTTCAGTATCTGGACATGCGGCGCTCATTCGCACCCATCCGATTTCTTTGGTGACACAGATTGCCCTCCAAAGAGCTTGTGTGAATGTGTCATTTTCTGAAGGATATCCTTTCTTGTCCATTTCAGAGTCGGAGAGACATTCGTTGATGACTGTGTAGCAAGACGTGTCCCAATGCATTTTGCTAGGCAAGGCAGCGACTATCCAATATGAGGCACCGAGTAGCATGTAGGAACCTGCCCATGCGATTTGGACCTGAATTTGAGCGTTGGCAAGGCATATGACGCCGCCCATGAGCATCATCGTGCCCACCAGACTTAGGATTCGGTAAGCCGGGCCATGCGTAAGGACGTAGTCCATGCTCTCTGGTGCGAAGTACAATTCACGAGCAACGTCTTCCTCGCAGCGGACGATGAGAAAACTACCCTTAGGATACCGTATAACGACATCGCCACGGGGAACTATTCCCGACTTGACCTTGCGTTTAGGAAGTTGCAACACCCATTTGTTGCCCAGACCGATAAGGCTGGAGAGGAGCGACAGGAGTACCGTGGCTACGACGGACATGCCATCGTCTTGCCATATCGATAGTGCGAGAAGAAGGGCGGAGAGGGCGAAACCGATAAGTATTACGACGGTGAGGGGACCGAAGGTCTTAGCCTTGAGTGGTAGGTCGTCTTTGCGTTTTATCTTGACGACGCGGACCGAGAAAGGAGCGAGTTTGTCGGCATCACTGGTGGATTCCTGATCAGCATTGTCCGGTACTGTCGCAGTTGTGGAACGGTACGCGTGGCTTCTAGTGTGGTTTGCGTAGTCCGGTAGACGTGTTGTGGTATTTATCGAGGAAGCTTACCAATAGCAAGAATGTTTGTAGAAATACACTTACCAGACAATGTTTCCGATATGATTAATGTAGTCTCTATGATTCCCGCTGACGATGCCCGTTACCCATCCCGAGAATGTATCCAGTTGTGTCGGTCTGGTCGGCCTCATCAGCGCTTGAGGTGCCGGGATCAACCGTGGTAGGTATATCCATCTCGAGAGCGTCGAGACCTGAGCGTTGGCGAGCACGGAACCCTCGCCCAAGATGGCAAGGAAACCAACGATATCGAGTTGTAATTCATTGAGTGATATCTTCCCGGTCTCATCTGATGGAAGCCAATACATATCGATAAGCGCTCAAATTATCGTCAAAGCTCAACGCGTATTGAAGGCTGAACGCTGCGAAAACGATGCATAGGTCCGAATCGACGCGCTATAATGCAGTAGGAATGTGCCGTAAGCGTACTCAGTATATACGACGGATGCGGAACTGAGGCGAGGAAGGCATGAATGATGGTGACGAAGCTCAACGTGGAGCAGTAAAAGTCGCGCGCGTCGAGTTGGGGGCCAAAAGCGCCTGCATCGCCCACCGGATCTGCGTGTGGCACATCTGTTACCAGTCCGGTCGGAGGCCCAGACACTTTATCGAGGACACGGGAGTTTGTGCACTCCCACAGCCCCCATGGATTGGGGCTTGTGCAGCTATTGGATGCCTCAGGCTGGGAAGTGAGGGGCAAACATGGCTGACAGGACCAGTGGCTAGGCTACAGGGTGTCTGGCGCATGGCAGAATGCATGAGGCTTGAGCATAGCCTCAATCTTGTGAGCGTAGGGTAGTTCTGCCCAGCTTTGACTTTCCAACTTCTTCTTAGTAACTGATCCGTTTGTCGCGACGACATCGCGATAGTTTGGATCGCTGCGCCCCGCTTGCGTGTTGAGCTTGAACTCAACTGTGATCGCCATACTCGCCTGTTGTTCGCAACACCAGAACAGGCGCACGCACCAGGCTGACATCCCCGTGACACCGATGCGATAGCGACAGCTGTACCGACCGACGAGGTTTGCATTGAAAAGGCATCGAAAGTGGTGTCGCATCCATTCGAGTTGTTAAGAGAAGGAAGAATCATACGCAAGGAAGCGTGCGCTGATGTATGTGGTTGCTCCTTCCTTCTATCTCTTGCGCGTTCTCAGGCACGCGATCGTTGTAGGCATCGTCCCTTCTTCCCCAGCACGAGCGAGCGCGCAAAATCCATCGTTTATCCATTATAGCAGAGACCTATGTCCTTCTCTTTGCTTCAAACTTCCATGCTAGCTCACCGCAACTTCATATCTTCTCTGTCGTGCCTATGTCTCTAGGCATCAGTTGTTTCCCAGCCTCGCGCATTTCCTTAGCCGCGGGGCATGAGGCGCAGCGAACAGACTACATCAGAAACTATCAATGGGCAATGAAACTAATACAGTCGGTTTTGCAAATTAGGCCGACAAGCGGGACAGTAGTACTTGAATTTGGTACACCATATCCATCGCCTGGTTAGAGTACCACCTGGTCACGAGGTGTGCCTTGAAGCAACCTCGTTTTGCGGGATCTAGCAACCGTCTTGAAGATCCAGAATCGCACACAGCCCAAACCGGTCAATCAAGAACAGTGACCGAGAATTCGTGCATCTATCATATTACTGTACCTGCAGCCTCATTTCGAGTGGCATGAGCAGCCGGTGATAGACGTTTTCATACAACCATCATCGGCATGCCCACTGACGCCGAATCCAAAACTTCGAGTGAGCCCCACAGAACCCGTCCGGGGTTGTTGGCCAAGTGTGGTATTGTCATCCCCACATTGTGAGTCCCTGAGTGAAGACTCGTATCTGTTTTGTGAGTTAGTGTTGACTGTTAGATGTAGCTTTGTACGTGACCGGCACGGATCTCCAGGGGACCCGAACAGGCCAGTTATGACTACAGCTGACTCGCCGAAGAAGAGAAAAAGGGCCCTCAGCCCGCTACCCACCAGGAAGATACCAATACATTCAGAAGAACCGAAAGTGACCGAAATGTCTGCTGAGAAAACCTCGACTATGGAGGAACTAGATCAGAAGAAAACTGAGGCGAGAGCATTTTTCGACACCGAAGTAGGCAGCAAGACGGTAACTGCGAAGTATGATGAGAACAGACGCAGATTCCTTGAGGCTGAGGACAAGGATGCGTGGGATCGATCTGCAAGGCCTAACAAGAGCGATTCCGATTCGGAGGATAAGAAGAAGGATGACGAAGTGGAGCAAAGAGCCGCAGACATCATCCGAGCGATTCGTGAATATGAGCGCAATGTCACCTTCGGCAACCTGGCTTCAGAAGCACTTCCGCTAGACGATGATCGGGACATGGGTGGCCAATATCTCACCAACAAGGATCGGATAGACCACCAAAGCAAGCTGTACCAAATCGCCAAAATCGTTCCGAAGGGTGCTCTTTTACATCTTCACTTTAATGCCGAATTGCATCCTGAATTGCTGCTCGTGCGAGCCCGCGAGATGGAAAACATGTACATCCGCAGTATAATACCAATCACAGAGGAAGAGCATCTTGGTCAGACGGAGATGGTTTTCAATGTCGTTGATCCAGGGACCGTCAATCGTGGCGTTAACATTTTCTCGGCTTCGTATCCTAAATTGACGAATCCGAGAGACGTCAAAAACCCTGCCTACTTGAAAACTGTCTGGATGCCATGGAAGAAATTCCGGAAGGAATTTGAAAAGAAGTTTCCAGGCTTATACAAAGAAGAAGAGCCCGAGACGTTCCAAGCAGGACGTCCACCACGTCCACCACGTCATTGTGGGGAACCCAAACGTGCCGTTCTGTATCCCGCTGAGAACTGGCTAAGATCGAAGATGGTGCTCAGCCAGGACGAAGCCTATCGGCCTACACAAACTGTAAACGGGTATGTGGGTCTTTCCCTACATGGTTCCTATGCTTACTGATATCTACACAGAGTATGGGCCCGTTTCAATCAAGCCACGAGAGCCTTTAAAGGGTTGTTGAACTATGAGAGCGTTTACAAGGAGTACATAGGCAACGCTATCGACCGTATGATCGAGGAGAACGTTATGTACGCTGAGCTCCGACCTATGCTTTTGGACAAATCTATCCCATCCGACGACGGCAAGGTTGAGATTAACAATTCTGCCCAGATGCAGCTCATTGTAGACGCACTAAAAGCTAAGAAAGCAAGCCTCGAAAATGAAGGGCGACTGGACAAGTTTCCCTTTGGACTCAAGATCATATATTGTACACCTAGGTCGATACCTGATTTTATGATGAGAGAGGAGATGAAGCAGTGCATCGAGCTTAAGCTGCATTATCCAAATCTAATTTGCGGTAAGCAACATGGAACACAACATGTGCAACATTCTCTAACATGCACAGGTTTCGATCTCGTAGGCGCAGAAGACCGACCCAACCACATTGGGTTTTATAAGAAAGAGCTTGCTGCTTTTCAAGCAACTTGCAAAGAGATGAAAGTGGAAATACCATTCATGTTTCATGCCGGTGAGACACTGCTCGACACTGGAGGCTCTGACGACCCTACAAACTCCAACCTGTACGACGCAGCGGCCTTGGGGTCGAAGCGCATCGGGCACGGGTTTGCACTCTTGAAGCACCCGCATCTTGTGAAAAGGTTCAAGAGGGACGAATTCATACCTGGGTCGGGTATCTGTATTGAGCTTTGTCCTATCTCGAATGAGTTGCTGCATCTTTGCAGAAAGGTCAAGGAACACCCATATCCAGAACTACTGGCTGCGGGCATACCCTGCACGGTCAACTCGGATAACCCGTCGCTTTTCAGGTATGAGGATTCCTACTCTGCACCACGCCTCTTGTTCTTAACCCGCATCACCCTGGTCACAAAACTAACAAAACCACAGCAACTCAATGTCCCATGAGTTCTATCAAATCATGGTTGGCGCACCTAGCATGTCTCTCTACAGCTGGAAGCAACTCGCACTATGGAGCCTTGAGTATAGCTGCCTGTCAACAACTGAGCAAAAGGACGGAAAGGAGATCTTGAGGAAGAGTTGGAGAGAGTTCTGTCAGACTGTCGTTCACGACTATGGCCCTCTTATGATGGATGAAGCTTCAGGTAAAATCGATGTCTACAAAGCAGAAGCATCGTATCCGGAACGGTCGAGGATACATGCAGATATCGAGAAAGCAGAGGCAGATGAGAAACGAGGGCCAGAATGGGTAAAAGCAGAGAAGGAAAGGGCAAAGGCGTGGAGGGCATCTTTACCCAAAGGCAATGTCCTGCTAACCCATAGGGATGACAAGGACCATATCTAGCTACACCGAACAGAATAATCGAAGGTCGCCGTATAGCCGGCTAACTACCAGATTACCGCTGTCAACTAGATGATGAAGCTAAAACACAATGTTTCTATGACTCGCAAATGCATGCAAGTGAGGTAAAGCTTCCCTCTCATGATCTGCGCTTAGCTTTCTCGCAACTGACGCTGTACGGACCTTTGAGCAGAAGTCATGCTTCATGACTTCAGCATCGACCGCAAAGTTTTTAGCACATGACAAGGTGTGAGGCTCCATCACATTTTGGTAAGGTTTGGATGACAAACTGCGACAGTGACAGAAGATAAAGCGTTGCCGCCAAGCCACTCGTTCAGGTACGAGTGACTAGATTAATGAGCTTAGTGTTTGTAAGTTGTATCTGAAAAACAAGCCGTACGCTGAGAGCTCATAAACGCTATACTGAATCAAAGACACTATCAAGGCATCTTCAAGTGTTTCGGTCTAGGTGTTGAGCTGGAAGTCTGGACGTCCCTCTCTCCACTCGTCAAATTCCTTCTCACCGGGCATCTCTCTGCCGTCGGAGAGCTTGAGCCTGGGAAATGACCTGTCCTCGCGATTATTTGACGGCTCCTTCTTAGCCAAGTCCTCATTGACCAAGACCAAAGCACCAGATTGCCATCCTGCAGCGCTCACTTGGAGAGCGAAATATGCGCCAAGACCGTCCTCGCCACCGTCTTGGTCCCAGGCTCTGCCTTCTTGCTCAAACCACTCGCTGACTTCACCCTGAACGTTATGGTCGCTTAGAAATAGCTCCCTGCGCGAAGCGCTTTCTTCAGCGTGTGCTTGGTCGTGTACAACCTCCTTGAGCCACTCGTTCTTCCTTGCGTCGAACCAAATCTGACGACCGGTCGTATATGCGTGAGGGAGCAACTGACCATTGTTGTTAAATTGATCATATACAATACCGCGCGCCTTTCCGACTAGGTTGTCATCGTTCATGCCCAGACCGAGAGAGCCACAACCACCATTTTCGGTGCCGTACGATGTAATTTTACCATTCGAGTGGAGTGCCAGGTAGTGATAGTCACCGAAAGCGATCGAGATGACATTAGTGCCCTGCAAAGCCGGAATCTTCTTGAGACCTTGCATGTCTCCAGAGCTATTGTGACGATTGCTCCAGCATGATTCAAGGTAGTTTTGATCGCCAGTGATCACTTCGTTGTCCTTGAAGATGGCAAAATTGCGGAACGAGCCTTGAACGTCGAGAGGAGCTCCTTTCTCATGACGCACCATTCGAAGCTCAATAACATCCTCGACTTGGTTCTTGGCTCCAAATTTACCACAGAAGACCTTGCCAAGGTCGGTGGTGAACAAGACAAAATGCTCAAGCAGAACATAGTTCAGCACCGCCCCGACCTCTCGACCTAGAGCCCTCTGCTCATCGGACTCGCGAGTTCCTTTGACATGTTGATAGCCGGTTTGGGGGACCTCGGCGTGTTCCAAGACAAGCATAGTATCGGTGCCGTCCTCACCATGATCCCGTTCGACTGGGTCCCAGACGACAATGCCGATGCCATGTACATAGGCCGAGCTGCGGCTCCAACCTGCTACGACTTGTTTTATTTGCCCAAAGTTGGACGTTGTCCGCGTTGTGTCGTTCAGGGAGATCTCGTTCAATTGTAGGGTTGCGAATTTGACCTGGAGCGCAGGTTTCTTGACATCGTACCATGACCACATCCGACCGCTGTCAGAGAGTCCGAGTATGTGTGCACGACCGGAGGAGAACTGGCGAATGGCGACGGTTGGCTCTTCGTATTGGGCATCGGTAGCGGTAGGAGGATATCCTTCAGGGAAGCGGAGCGGCTGTAGAGGCCCATTAGCGAGGAGTATCCGCTGGCCATCTAGCACACCGGCAGTATGTAGAGTGCCTTTAGAGGTAAGCAGGGTCGTGGACCAGCCACCACACTGCATATCAGCAATGACGCCCAAGTCTCTTGTCTTGTCCATCTCCGTCGGAAAGGCTTGGTGTGCCGCGTACATGCGCCTGCCTGGCCGCATCATGCCAGCTCTCATCCGAGGCCCACGACGGCCATGTGTATGGTCTTCCGGGTCAAGGGCGTGCCCTAGGCGGTTGTGCGAGTTATGACCCCATGTGTAGACGCGGCTCTGGGTAAGCATGCGACGATACATCTTCTGCCAGCGGTCGCCGTCATGTTGTACGACTGGCTGGTTCGGGACGCGAAATGTCGTTCTGGCGAGGTAACTCCAGTACGCGGGATCTAGTTGAATCGACGGTTGTTGGAAGGCTTTGCACGTGCTACAGAGGGCAAGGAAGCTCTTGGCATCTAGGTAGGGAAATACGAGTACGAGGATGTCGAGGGGGAGGTCGGTGATGGAGCTGATCTTGTCGGCCATGTTGGTTGGAAGGAGGCCTCTAAGCTCCTTGTTCGGCGTCGATATTGTAGTAGCGAGGCTTGTAGCGCGACGTCGATATTCGGGGTAGAGGGGTTGGAGCCTGCTCCAAATAGTGCTGATGACGGGTACGTGCAAACAAGATGTTTGTAGAACGCGAGCGTGGAGGGTACACGCCCAATGACGCAAGGAGCGCGGGGATTAATGCGGGACATTTCCGTTTTCGCGCTAACTCAAAGCAGCGACCAAACTTCTGACTCAATTCACGAGTCTCTATCAATTTTCCGCCTGCCCAGCAACACGTTTCGATCCACGCGTTGCACTGCTCCACCTAACTATTTCGGTCCACTGATATCGGACGACTTCAAAAATACTCGATTGGGGACCATATTCGCGTCACGACACTTGATATTGCCCCACCACGTTGGAGCGTCTGACACCTGACTGGCCACATTCCAATTACAAAGGTCGACGACAACAAAAACATCACATCGCCATGTCTGAAGCCCCCGCTGCCGAGCCAGCGCCGGCATCTGCTGCGGCAGTAGCACTATCCCAAGAAAGCGCACCTGCAACAACAAATGGCGAAGCCGCTCCTGCCACAGATGCGCCTAAAAAGCTCTCGCCAGCAGAGTTGAAAAAGCAAAAGCAAGCCGAGAAGCAAGCAAAACGAGCCCAAGCCAAAGCCGCGGGTGGCACACCGAATCAACAACAAGGACCATCCAAGGATAGCCAAAAACAGCAGAAGGACCCAAAGCAAACATCAAAAGACGCCCAATCAAGACCAGGGCCAGTACGGCGACGACCATCGCAAGCCAACGCACCAGTTCTGAAGGAACCGGAAAAAAGAGCGAAGAAGGACAAGGAACCAAAACAGACTGGCCTTTTCTTCGGTCATCTCTACAGCCAACCAAAGCAACAATCCCTTGTCGGCGCGTCAAAAGACGTACATCCTTCAGTCCTCGCGCTTGGCCTACAGTATAGCAGCTATGCCATCTGTGGTAGTACGGCGCGTATGGTGGCCATGTTGCTGGTTTTCAAGACAGTCATCGAGGCCTATCAAACACCTCCAGGAAATAGTTTAGCCCGGCATCTGACCAGCCACCACCTTGGTCCTCAGATCGAGTTCCTAAAGAGCTGTAGACCGCTTAGCATCAGTATGGGAAATGCTATCCGATGGCTCAAGGATAGTAAGTTGACATCTCACATTAAACTAACGCAATAGGCACGGCTCGAAATGCTCAGTATGAGCATCAGAACTTGTCAACTAGTTATTCATAAAATACTGACCCCTTCCAGTCATTATCAAAATAGACCCTGCAACGCCAGAGAATGAGGCGAAGCGAGATCTGATCGAGGAGATTGACATATTCATCCGGGAACGTGTCACAGCCGCTGACAGGCTCATCCGCGACCTAGCCGCTACCAAGATCCAAGCTGGCGATGTCATTCTGGTTTATGCCGCATCTTCGATAGTCGAACAGACTATCATTCATGCTCACCAATCCGGCAAACCTTTTACAGTTATTGTGGTTGACTCAAAGCCATTGTTTGAAGGCAAGAAGCTGGCACGGAAGCTCGCAAACCACGGTATCACCGTGCGGTACTATCTCATCACAGGAGCCTCACACGCAGTTAAGGACGCAACAAAGGTCTTCCTAGGTGCGCACGCAATGATGTCAAACGGCCGCCTCTACTCGCGCGTTGGCACAGCTCTCGTATCTATGCTCGCATACTCCCACTCACTACCCGTCATCGTACTCTGCCAGTCCGTCAAGTTCACCGAGAAGGTGGCGCTAGACTCCATTGTCGGCAACGAAGTCGCACCTGCCGAGGAAATTCTATCTGAGGCCGAGCGTCGCGATCTTCTTCCCCTTAAGTCACGTCTTCCAACATCTAAGAACGACGAAAAGTCGTCATCGGAAGAGGCACCCGCCGATACCACAGACGTGTTGAAGTGGATCGACGACGCGAAGAACCTTCATCACCTCCAAGTTCTCTACGATGTCACGCCTGCGCAGTACATCAACATGGTCATCACCGAATACGGAAGCTTGCCGCCTAGCTCGGTTCCCGTGGTTCACCGCTTGAGTACGAACATATGATCCTGTCCAGCGCTTTCTTTTTTGTGTTCAAAGTACTTCCTTAAGCAAGTGCTAACATTGATGGTTCAGGAACTGAAGAGCAGGAGACGATGCCTACTAAGAGGGGTGTTCGTCAAGCTTCCGGGTGGTAGAGAGGTGTTGACAAGAGGACTGCAAGGTCAAATAGATCAATGGCAGTCACGGTATTGGTCTCCTTGTCAGTGTTACGAGTAGACTAAGATATGATAGGTACGGTTTCATGAGAGAATCAACATCTTACTCCCACCTCTTTCCATTCATTCAGCAGTCATTCTACACGACTAAAAGCTACTCTAAATGCATCTAACACAGCGTATTAACTTGCGACAAGTCCGAGATGTATCAAGATCAAACAGCCATCGCCGCGATCTCGGATTCAAGATCCGCCATCTGCCTTCTCAACTCAGCAAGTCGCTCCTGCTTGTCCGCCGTCTTACCATATTGACTAGTGGCAACCGCACCGCAACCCTTCTTCCCCTCCTCTCTCATCATCGGAAACGCCAGCACCTCCTTGATCGTATAGTTATTCGTCAGAAACATCATAATACGATCCAGCCCTGGACCACACCCAGCCGTCGGCGGCATCCCATACTCCAACGCCTTGACAAACTCCTCATCAATTCCGTGGGCTTCGTCATCCCCTTGAGCCTTCTGCCTCGCTTGCTCCAGGAAACGATCGCGCTGTTCGAAAGGATCATTGAGTTCGCTGTAGAGATTGCAAATCTCAAAGCCACATACAAAGGCTTCTGCGCGTTCTGTGAGACCAGGAATCGAGCGATGCGTCTTCGCGAGAGGCGACATGAGCTTAGGGTGATTCATGATGAATGTGGGGTTCGTGATGCGCGATTCAATGTATACGCCAACCAGCTTGTCGAGTAAGCGGGCGTTTGTGTGGGGGGGCGAACAGATGATGTTATGATCACTCAGGATACTGAGTAAGAATTGCCGGCTGTCTTCCGTATGAAGTTGAGATGGTGGAGGGAACTGAACCTTGCAGGCGTCTTCAAGCGCTGTCATCATGTCAATGCGCTCCCATGGCCCCTCCCAGTTGATCACCTTCGCTTTTCCAGTCTGGCTTGTGAACGTAGTGACATAAGAACCAGTCACATCCTTCACCAGTCCAGAGATCATTTCTTGCGTCACTTGCATCATTACCTCATAATCTGCATCCGCCTGGTAAAATTCGCAGCTTGTAAACTCGGGGTTATGCGTTAGATCCATATCTTCGTTGCGAAAGACCCGTCCGATCTCGAATACACGGTCGATGCCGCCGACAACGAGAGGCTTGAGATGCAGCTCTGTAGCCGTACGCAGATACATGTCCCGCTTGAGATCATTGTGGTGCGTGATGAAAGGCTTGGCTGCTGCGCCGCCGGCTTGTTGGCAAAGGATGGGTGTCACGACTGAGATGTAGCCGCGGTTGCGGAGGAAGGTGGTGATGTATGACTCCATGGCATCCCAAGTACGCAGCATATCGCGGCTGCGGCGGTTGGTGATGAAGTCAAGCGGTCGGTCACGATGGCGTGTCTCAGCGTCTGTGAGCGTCTTAGGTAGCATGTGCAGGCTTGGTGCTAGGAGAATGACGCTTTGCGCGAAGAGCGAGAGTTCGCCTACAGGTCGATTGCGTGGCGCTGTTCGGCATGGATGGCCAGTTATGCCAATCTGGTCTCCTCTGGCCAGGTGCTCGTGTTGCTGCTTGTAGGCTTCGAGGTCTTCTGATGAGGTGACCTGACATACGACTTGTATCTCTTCCTCCCCAACCTGAACCTCGTAGAAACGCAGACGCTCTCCTGCGCTACGGATCGTAACGATACGACCGCGCATTGTATACTCAACGTCTCTCAGCTGTTCGCCAGTCGCGATGGACCTATGCCGCTCACGGAACGCTCTAAGGTCCGTGAGATTGGGGATGAACGAAGAATAGAGGCCATTTTTGTGAGCCGCCCTACGCAGATTCTGGACCAAGATAGAGCGGTTCTCGTAGTACTTGTGGGGTGGGAGCGTTTCTTCTTGGCCACGTCTTGCTCGCTGCTTACTTGCAGTTGTGATAGTGCCGTTGGTAGCCATAATGATTGAATGAATATTTCTGAACGCGTTTTATCTGCAAACTGACGAGTATTGCACAGTGGATCGTAAGAAAAAGATGCTTCCGAGTTATGTTGTACTTCCAGATAAATATTGGAGTTCTTAAGTAAGGCGAACCTCAACTCCAGTCATCGCTTGTGAGTCAACCACTGCATCCTTCGTTAACATTTACGTTATAGGGTAGCACCGAACATGCAAGTACATCCTTCTAATATGTCTCCCTGCAGTTAGGCCTCCTTGGCTACACGTACTGTTAGCTTAATAACAAGAAAAAGCACCAATTAACTATGGAGGTCGTTCACCGAGATATCCCGGGAATGTGCTCCTAACCAAGCACAACAACTTGATGCGCTAATTCTGTCATATTTTATAAACCTCCACTTCTACGAATTGTCTTTCATGGATCGCAATGCTCCCATGACATCGATAGGCTGGGTTTTGCCAGTAACCTTTTGAAGCTCAGGGTCATCCACACGCATGAACACGTTGTGCTTCTTCTCGTCACCAATTGTGAACTTTCCTTGTGTCTCCTTGTTTTCTTGTGTGAACGTGTCAAGTTTCTTGATAGCGTCATTGTTCAGTACACTCTTTGCAAACTTGACGTTGCCCTTTGTGTATTCGTGTCCAGGGTAGACCTTCGTGTCGTCAGGAAGCGCCGCTAGAGTCTCGTTCAAAGCCTTGTGCATCTGCTCTGGAGTGCCTTCGAAGAATCGTCCGCAGCCACCGATGAATAGTGTATCTCCAGTGAATACTGCGCGATCGTTTCCATCTTCGAAGTAGAAGCATATGCTGTCTTGCGTATGGCAGGGTGTGTGGAGGGCTTTGACATTGATAGACCCGATCTTGAAGGTGCTGTCGTGGCTTGGTGTTTCGGACACTTTATCGCAGTCGCGACCACCGATTACAGGTAGGCCGAACGCTTTGATCTGGCAGAGCCGTTAGCTAGTGGCACTCGAAGACTCATGTGGTGGGTCTTCACTTACGACATCTACATTACCTCCCGCATGATCACGGTGGCTGTCAGGTGTGTTAGCAGAGTCGAGTCGTCAGGAGTAATCACCCTACTGATGTGTGTTAATGATCTTGGTTAGCTTGAGGCCGCCAGTGGTTGTTTGCTCTCGCAAAACAGGTAGAACTCTATAGCCCAGTCAGTTGTGTGCTTACTTCCTTGGCCTTCTAACATACTCCGGAGGATTGGCAGGGTCAATGATAACAGCTTCCTTAGTCTTGTCATCGGACACCAAGTAGGCATAGTTGTTGCCCGAACCCTCCCCTGACCAGTAGGTTAGATCGCATCCGACGTTCAAAATTCTCCATCAGGGTGCTCGTACACATGGGAATTGATTGGATATGCATGGCGCGTGCTGGTATGGACAATGGCTGCTTGGCGTTAATTGCTGTTTTCGATGACTCGATCAGAACTGTAGGCAATTACCTTGAAAGCGGGTCGAGCAAGTGATACTAGTGGGTATCTTCTAATGGCTGCAGTGAATAGGCTCATAAGGAAGGTGCAGAACAGAAATTGGCGGAGGCTTGGGAATGTCATGAAGCTTCGAGATGACTGAGGTGATGACGTTACTGCTTGTTATCGATAAGGTATGCCACTAGTCACGTGACCGGTGGCCCACTTCCGCAACGCGTCAAGCTGCATCTGTCAAACGCGTTCGCTTCAACTATGGAGTCCACTCAGAACACAACACACTCTAAACATTGGCGTATGCCCAGGATACAAGCACAGAAGCACGTGTCGAAGTGAGAACGGATCAAATTTAACATATAACACAAGACTACGGATACAGTCGACGAACGCCTAAAGGCTAACCCAGCCACGCCATTTCGATGCTCATATGCAATCATAAAAGTCGTCAAACATTACAGCAACCTCCCTACAACAACGACTTCAGTCTCTTCTGCAACTCCGGCTTTTCGGACGATCCTTCACCCCTCAGACGCTGTTCTTGAGGATCGTGCAATGGGTCTCGAGTTACTGTGGCCCTGATCTTCTTGCCGAAATACTCAATCTCCACAGACTTTCCTTCGCTTACATTGCTCGGAAGCCATGCATATGCGACAGGCTTGCGTACCGTGTAACCAAAAGCGGCGCTGGTAACATAACCAGCTCTTTCGCCTTCCACGAAGACTGGCTCTTTACCCAGAACCATGGATCGTCCGTCATCGACAGTCAGGCATCTAAGTCGCTTAGATGCTGCCTTCCTAGAAAGCTGCTCTAGTGCCGCTTTACCAACGTAATCCGCCTTCTTGCCCATCTGGATCGCGTACGTCACGCCAGCCTCCCATGGGTTGTGCTCAGAAGTCATGTCTGAACCTGAGGCTCGGATACCCTTCTCGATTCGTAGTCCATTGAAGGCGGCGCGACCTGCAGCAACTAGACCGTGGGGCTTGCCCGACTGGAACAATAAGTCCCAGAGGCGCAGGCCATATTCAGGTGTGGTTTGAACCTCCCAACCGAATTCGCCGACAAAGGACTTTCGGAACATCGTGACGGGAATTCCAGCTATGCTCGTCTTCTTAACACCCATATACGGCAAGCCTTTGTTGCTGTAATCATCCGAGCTGATTGTGCGGATAACGTCCCCAGCGCGAGGACCCCAAAGACCAAGACAGCATGTACTGCCAGTGACGTCTCGTACCTGAGCCCACTGACTAGGTGTGTGCTTTTGTTGACGACGTGCTTCGCGTGCGAGGTAGGCAAGATCGGTCGCAGTGTTGGCGCCTACTTGGAACAGGTCTTCCTCGATCCTGGACACAAAAATATCGCTTAGTACGCCGCCGTGGCCATTGACAAGGAGAGTATGGGTGATAGCGCCAGGCTGCTTGGAAACATCACTGGTCGTCAATCTCTGAAGCAGGTGGACAGCACCAGGACCGGAGACCTCGAATCGATGGAAAGTAGTCATATCGTACAATGCTACTGCGTTTCGTGTCTTCCAAGCCTCGGCCGCAGCGATTGGCGAGTAGAACTTGGATGACCAAGCATCGCGATCGACCGGCTTCCATTCATCCGGCAAGGTGCTGACCAGATCCGCATTCGCTTCATACCAGTGTGGACGCTCCCAGCCTCCTACTTCTAGGAAGAAAGCGCCTTGCTCCTGTTGACGAGTATAGAACGGGCTGACGCGAAGGTTTCGAGGGTTCTCTTTCGGTGCGAGGGGGTGGATGATGTCGTAGATCTCGACGAAGTTCTGTTGTGATGTCTCGCTGACGTATTCTGGGCTGAGCTGTACTTCCTCGAATCGTGTTAACTCGCACTCCGCAATGTCGACAGTCGAACGACCCTCCGTAAGGGTCTCTGCGACAGCTCGAGCTACACCGGCCGAATGTGTTACCCACACAGCTTCGGCGACCCAGAAGTTATCGAGGTTGGGTGCTTGTCCGACAACGGATCCACCATCTGGTGTGAAAGAGAAGATGCCGTTGAAGCCGTCAGCGATCTCAGTCTCGCGGAGAATGGGAAGCAGTTCTTTGGTAGCTTTCCAGGCCGGCTCAAAGTCTTCTGGTGTGAAATCTAGGCGAGAAGGCATATGCTTCTCATCAACGTGTTTCGGTGTTACACCCAGATCTGAGGCCTTGACAGGCATCGGCCGGTGACCATAGTAACCAATTCCATACTGCTCCCCATGCTCTCGGTAGTATAGATCTTGGTCTTGGTGTCGCAATATGGGCAACTCGGCGTTCATGGCGTTGATCTTCTTGTTGACTTCGCGGTTCTGGAGGCCTGGTACAGCCGTAGTCTTCGCATACTGGTGCCCTAGAGGAAGAAGAGGGACCTTGAGTCCAATCATGGCTCCTATCTCCACACCCCAGAAACCAGCACACGAAACAACTATATCCGCCGGTACAGAACCATTGTTCGTTGTCACACCGGTGACCTGACCGTTCGCTTGTTCGATTCCGGTAACGACGGTATGCTCGAGGTATTTGACACCCGCGTTGCGTGTGTTTTCGATAAGTAGCTGTGTCGCGCGAGCTGCTAGTGCCAAGCCATCGCTTGGAATGTGAAGACCACCTAGCACCATATCCTTGTTAAGGAGAGGGTACTTCTTGAGACATTCTTCGGGGCTGATCAAGTGCGCTTCGATGCCCCATGATTGTGCGTATCCGTGTTTGCGCTTGAGTTCCTCCAATCGTTCTGGGATTGTCGCGATCTCCAAGCCACCCAACTGGTTGAAACAGTTCTGTCCGTCTTTCTCGAGCGCTGAGAACTTCTCGACGGTGTATTTGGCGAGTAAAGTCATCGTTTTGGAAGGGTTCGTCTGGAATACCAGGCCAGGCGCATGTGACGTTGAACCACCAGGCATGCTCAATGGGCCCTGCTCAATCACCGTGATGTTGTTCCATCCTCGTGAGACCAGCTCATCAGCGAGGTTGGTGCCGACGACACCGGCGCCAATAATCACAACACGCTGGGAGGTCGCCATTGCAAAAGAGTTGAAGAGTATAGGTTTGGATAATTGGTTCCCAAAGAATGTAGGAGGAACTCCTCTTAAGGCTGTTTGCGCTCGCGATAACGGACCATTTCACTGTGCTCTGCCATCATAGAAGCCGAAACTAAGCGCAGCGCAAACTTCAATTGGCAAAATAATTCCCATGGCGAATCCAACCGCAGAGTCATGCACGAAATCAGTCCACCGCCCCGCATGGGATACTTACGACATTGGTGGGGAAGATGCCAGTCGTGGATGTAGGGTCCTGATGTCCATTTTGGGGTTAGTAACGATCGAAGAGGCAAACCGTCTCGGGACTACATAGCCTGCCGCAACCCCGCCTCGCGTGTGCGCAACACCATCCCATCCTTCTCACGATAATTGCACCTACGAGCATTCCATCATGTTCGACATCAGAGTCTGAGTCAGGTAAGTACGCGTAGCATGGAGAGCTTAGTATGCTTTTCCCGTCAGCTGGACTTCAATGGTTGTCCTGCCGCGAATACCATCATACCTCACCCGCTGCAATTTCATCATTATGACAAAGACGAGCACCTGCTTTGAAAGTGAGGGTGATTTACCGCCATCAGCCTTGCGACAGCCTATCGCTAGCCAAAAATCCGGTATGCGAAGTATCCCACCATTGCGACAAAAGCCATGCGCCAACAAATCTCCCGGATCCGGCCTCAATCCTACAGGGCTTTTCGAGAGCACCAAGCCCATGGATCAGCATTTGCACCGCACGATGTGCAAGACGACAGGGAAAAATGGATCATAACGCCAACCCATTGCTGTCGTCCCTATCGCCCACACCCAACTTCTAAGACAGTCTCAGGACAGCTTTCGCAAAAGGCTTACCTGAAAGGTCTCTTTCTGAGCACGTTCTTCAGCATATCGATGCTGCGAGACAAATGGCAGCTTATATCGTCATGTCGCCCTAATACCTCAAGCGCCAGAGCGAGCCCAACGTGACACTGCGCTGCGCTGCCATCACAATTCGGGAAAATTTACGACAGCCATTGCCGAAAGTATCCAAACCCTCCCGACCATCACTCGTATGGCTAGGAGGGGTAGAGACATGCGAGATGTTGTAGTAATCTCCCGCTTACGACGGCGCTGGCATCAAGACCAGTGACGCTTTCCTGCCGTACACGTTGCGCAGCTCGTGTCGCTTCACTTCGCACTCGTCGGCGCCGCGTCGATAGTACGTGGGCTCCGATATTCGCACGACAATCTTAGACAGAGTATCACGAGCTGCATTCCATCAGTCGCTATCAGCTGCGACACCGAGTCTAAGCCCGACAGCTCATCTAGATAACATCGCTATCTCGATGATAACAGCTGCGATCAACATCGTCAAGAAAATCTTCGATAAGAGCACGATAGCCTTTGGATAATACGACCGCAATAGTTCCGCAAGAACTTGCTGGTGGGAGTCTGAAGGTGCCTTGGGCTGGCGTCCCTTGTCCGTATTTGGAAATCAGATCCATTCAAGTCCGTGCCAACAAGAGGGGCAACGACGAGAACGGTCTATACGTTCGGTCACCATTATCTTTGCCTGCAGTCAATGCACAGTCAATCAAACTACTCTGGGGTAATACGACGCCATCCACTTACATGACGCCGTTGAGCTCTAGCCCTGCTTTCTAGAATGTTGGTTTGATCACGATGGTAGCTCGTGCGTTAACGGAGGGACGTGAAAAATAGGTCAGAATGTGTGGCGCCTGACGGTCACCTGCAGCCGAATTACGTTCCCACATCCCACTGGCTATCGCTCCCTGGGTGCGAATGGAAGCCATAACCCCATGGGGACTTAGTCGTTTGTGTTACTTGATAAGAGTGAGGAGGCAGAGTATTGGAAGACAGTATAATAATGCTTGCGACGTCCTCACACTGAGCTCCATCTTCTCGAGTATACTTGCACAGCACCCAAGTGACCACCTTCGACTACTCTTCGCACCTCACTACTTCACACAGAGTACAACTATACATTCTTCCAACACACATCTTTAACAATGGTCGGGTCACTCCTGAGTTATTTTGGGTTCGGCGGCTCAGCCGGCGCCCAGGCGCCACCAGAGAACCAAGCTGTACGGGCCTTACCCGCCAACTGGTATACCTCTGAGGAGATGTACCAGCTTGAGCGACGCGCTATCTTCACCAGAAGATGGCTCATTCTTACGCACAAGTCAAGACTCGCAAACCCCGGCGACTTCCTCCGCTACAACGTCGCCAACTACGACATTGTTGTTTCCAAGGACCGATCTGGCGAGATTAACACATTCCACAACGTATGCAGACACCGCGCATACCCCGTCGTCGAGAAAGACGGTGGCAACGCAAAGATCTTCTCCTGCAAGTACCACGGCTGGTCGTACGGTTTGAACGGCAAGCTTGCGAAGGCACCGGGCTACCAGGAGCTTCAGAACTTTGAGAAGGCCAAGAACGGTCTTTTCCCTATTCACACCCGCATTGACCGCAATGGCTTCATCTGGATCAACATGGATGCGAAGAAAGAGCCTGAGGTGTCCTGGGAGTCACAGTTCGACCACGTCGACGAACAGACAAGATTCGACCAATTTGACTTCAACGACTACGAGTTCGACCACACATGGAACCTTGATGGTCCATTCAACTGGAAGATTCTCGCAGACAACTTCAACGAATGCTACCACTGCAAGAGCACACATCCCGATCTCACAACAGGTCTGATCGACCTCGAGAGCTACGATGTCTACTGCTCAGCCGACCACATCCAGCACGACCCCAAGACGCCCCAAGACCGCAAGGATCTTGGCCAGGAGATCTGCTCCACATACTGCTTCCCCAACGCTTCCTTCACTGTCACAAAACACTTCCTCTTCATGCAGAAGTTCATGCCTAAGTCGCCCACTGAGTCCGTTATGTACTACGAGGTCTGGAAGAACAAGCACTCCAGCCAGGAGGACTTCCTTCTCATCAGTGACACCTACAAGCGAGTCATGGGCGAGGACAAAGTCCTGTGCGAGCGCGCCCAGAAGAACATCGAGGCAGGCATCTTCGTCAACGGCGAGCTTCACCCACACATGGAGAAGGGACCTCTCTTCTTCCAGAAGAGATGCCGCGAGATTGTCATGGAGCACGGTATGAAGGAGAAGAAGGCTGGTCAGAAGATCTGGCCTGCCAAGCAGCAACTCGAGCCTACAGGTACCTCAGCCATCAGCAAAGAGATGGAAGACTTCTGCGAGGGCCTTGCCTGTGGCAACGATAACGAGAAGAGCGATCTCGCTTGGTAGTCGGCAACGCAAAAATTACGACTGATGATGCATGGTTTTGGTGTTTGGAGCGTTATGGGTACTGGAGGCTTTGAACTCGTACTTTGGGATTTGTTGTTTGACAGCATTCTTTGTAATGACTCTTAGCGATGTTCGCGCGATAGCGCAGGTTTCATTCCTGATTCTCTAGATAGAATGCACTTTCTTGCCTTTACATGTCGTCCTTGCTTGCTTCTGGTGACGCGCGATAGTGGGTATGACTTTGACCCTGTCTCGTTCTTCTCTCCGCATGACGTATCATTATCTTCATCCTTCTACTTCCCCACATGAGCTTAAACACGCGTCGCAGTACCAGATCTGCATCGCCGTTAACGGACGGTTGATATCGCACGGTGTTTTGGCCCTAATCGGGAAAGAATGTGCATTGGCCAATCGGATGCAGTGGCTATCTGAGATAGCCGCTGGTCTTGAGAGCGATACGACAACAGTGATCATCCAGATACGAGCCGCTGATAGTGTGCGAGAAGGTTAAATATCGATACCGTAACGCTCTTTTGAAAGCTAGATAAAAGCATCGAAATCTTGCTCTGAAAGCTGTATTCGGGTGTTGATATAGGACCAACCTTGGGAATATCGAGCTGTCCACACTTATAATTAGATCTTTCCAACGCAGTGCACTTGATTATTATGAAACCTAACCCAAGACCGCAATTACATACATGGTAAAGTTGAAAATGCCATGTATACAATACTGTGGCGGACAGATATCGCGGATAGGATTCATAAGTCACGTGTTCTATGACGTCAGTTGAGCACCATATACGCCCCGTTGACACGCAGGGCGTGTTGGAGCAGTTTTACATAAAAGCAACTTGGCGCAACGTAAAGCAAACTAGGGAGTGAAGGCTTGACGTCGAAATATCGCATCACCGACGTTATACACCATGTCAGAAACGAAGCACATCGTCTTCGATATAGTCGGCACGCTTGTGTCGCACGAGCACTTCTACGCCGTCATCGACCAACGCCTTGGGTCTAAACTCCAGCCCCACAATATCTCCGCACGTCTCCTTGGTTACGCATGGCTCGAAACGGCAGAGCGTGAATATACATACCTCTCGCTTTCGGGCTCTTACGTCCCATTTGCCAAGGTTTTCGAATCCATCTTTTTCCGCGTCTTGCACTTCGCTGGAGTAGCAGAACCGCGTAGTGTGGCGAGCGAAGAAGATGTGAAGTACTTTATGCAAGAGTACAAGAAATGTGAGGTTCGGCCTGGTGCAAAGGAATGTGTGGACAAAATAAAGGAGGCTGGTTGGACAGTCTGGGCATTCACTAGCGGCGATCGCGAAAGAGTGCTGGGATACTTTGAGAAGGGCAACATCAACATCGACGGTGATCATGTCGTTACATGTGACGAGATTGGTGTAGGAAAGCCAGAAGTTCAGGCATACGAAAGGCTGAGAGGAAAGATTGGTGTTGAGAATACAGCTGGGGAGCTTTGGTTTGCCGCTGCACATGGCTGGGACGTCAGCGCTGCGGGGAGGGCTGGGTTCAAGACGGCATATTGCTTGGTGTTGGAAAAAGAGGCTTTAGAGGATGTGTTTGGAAAGATGGACATCGTTGCTGAAACGCTGCCAGCGCTTGCAGAGAAAGTGACTTCTCAATGAGAGGCAATTAGAGAAGATATATTTCGAATATGGTGACAACCCAGTTTCTACTGCCATTCATACTGACCAGTAGCCACAAACGAAGTTACTGCACTGCAGTTATTGCTTTCTGTTTGATATTGCGTACGGGGATAGTACATAAGAAGGAGAGAAGTTGCAATCCTGCTCAGCGGCGAACAAACCGAAAAGATTATCGCCCAAGCATTTCCTTGGTCTTAAGACATCAACTGAGCGTGCAAAGCTCGTACATTACTCCTCCGGAAGAGACTGAGGGCTATCAACGTGAATACCAAAACGACGATCGCATACATGAACATGCAAACGACCAGAAAATAGAATGGCGCTTTTCTAATCTTCGTGACCGTCATATCATAGCGCCAACGCTTTTCGATGAACGGAGCCGGATCGTAGACACCAGCCACAAGCGCCAGAAAGGTTTGGCTGAAAGCAAGCTCCATCGCGTCCAGGATCGTCGAATGAGATAGCAATACCGACATGGCAGCTTTCTCAAAGAGTTCGTAGCTACCAAAGCCAGCTTGCAGTGGTGCTTTGATCATGGCTGCGATGCTGGGAGCGGTCAATGTCGTGTTGAAGACGAGGATGCTACCATTGACAAGTGAGTACGTAACGTCGTAGACCGTAGAATTGCACGACATCGCGAATCCCACACGCCCGTCTCCGATCTCAACAACAATGCCTTGGGGTACCTGCGGGTCTCCATAGAGAATGAGGTCATTCAGATCGATACTGTCTACAACAGCTGTGACGTTGTAGCTGAATGGGTTCAATTGGGATGCGATGGAAACGTTCAGCGAAGGGTCATTGTGAAAGTCGAAGAACGTTGTGTTCCAGCCCTTGAGACGCTCTAGCCCATTTGCTGGTATCTCATTCAAGTCGCCATAGAAGCCGTTGGAGCAGTGATATGGTATCGAGGAAGCATCACTTGTAGTGTTGTAGATTCCACAGTCCGTAGTGATTGCAGTGCACTCGGTTACAACGGAAATCGTTTCGGCGACGTAATCAATACCAACTCTTTCTACATCCTGGTTTGTCAGATCTAGTTTGCTGACTTTTGGGCTATCGCTGTATTCCTCAGCTGACCATGGATTGAAGTAAAGAACGTGCTGTTCATCCGTGACATCGTCGATATGCGTGACAAGCTGGGTGTATATGAATGCGCCAGCATCCCAGGCCACATTTAGGGTGTTGAAATCCTCGTTGTTGTATTCTCCTGTTTGATTCAACAGTCCTGTCGCAAGCACTCGATATGCTGATGGAGCGTCCAAGAGTGTCCAAGGTTTGCTCGATCCATTTATTGTGCAAGGTGGAAAAGCGTCGTGATCGTAGCTACCAATGATCGTTTCATTGAATGGACATATCGCTTCATTGATCTTGAAACCGCCAAAGAACGGGGGATCGCCTGGCACATAGTTAGGGCCTGGGGACGTGCCTTCATAGACGCGCTGTAACGTTGGAGCAAGAGTTCCTGACAATACTTTGTCTATTACTGTCAGTTTCGTTCAGGGTTCTCGGTGAGCTTAACTACCTCCGACTAGCAGAAGAAATCTAATCCACAGATTAGCATATTGACATTAGGCGGACGTAAAAAGATACATACGTAAGAATTACACATAAAAAAGCGCCAATACCGGCGATCCTGGTTCCACTCGCAATCTTTGTCTTCCGAGCACGCCATAATCGAAGTACAGTCCAGTTTAGAAGGAACGTTTGGTCGCCATGTAAAAGCTTTTTCATATCTTGGTCTATTACTTCGTGTCGGTTCGACAGCTCAAGCGCTACGAGAAACGAGTAAAGTAACAGAAATGGCACGGCGGCCCACTGCGCAACGTTGGAGGCAAACGAGCTGGTAAGCGCGACTTTGTTGATTAATACCGTTGTCGTTAGGAACGATTCATCATGAGGGTCAATGGGGAGGTTTGCATTCTCTTCCGGCGGGTCCTGTATCGTCCAGGCAGGGATCGTAACGAAAAGACACAACAATGTCGCTACAAAAACCAAGGGGAAGAACACTGTTGCGAAAGCGAAAGCGATCTGGAAAAGTCTCCAAATTGAGTGCGCTCTCGTCGTCGGCTTCTCGAACTCTTCGTCACTGCAAGACATGCTGGTTGAGGTCGCCATAGCTTCCATTTCGACAAGCGATATGTTTGTTAGTCTCACATCAAATTAGCCAAACAATCAAAATACATTTTGAAGTGAACTCACCCGAAGTGAGGCCTTGTTTTGCTGTAGGTCACTCGTATACCAGAAGCTCGAGAACATTAGCGTTCTGGGAAGGTCTAAATAGATAAAGACCTGTAACCCGAATCTAGCCCCTGAGTAATGAGGCTGAGAGTCGCGGATATCATGAATTTTGGATGTGTAAGATGGCGGGGAGGCTTGTCTCCGATGTTGTTTGCCTTGTTCTAAGCGCCAGTGTGCCATTCGTCGAAAGGGATGGTGCGTAGCACAAAGACTGACCGGCTAAGTCGAGACGCAATCAAACGAGGCAACCGTTTAGAACATTGCGTGCATGAGCTGAAAGCTATCTCCGAACCTCCCACAGTTTGTAATTATTGGCTTAGAGAGTCTGCACATCGGAAATGAACTACTCGACTGCACCGATGACACCTCAAATGCAGCTTGTGTCGATATCCCCATAGGCAGGTGGACCTTTCTTGTGCATACTGCCTTGAACGTAGCTACTACCGGCTCGATGCGATCATTGGACACACGCTTTGACCAAGCCGGGGGTTTCATAGCGGTCGAGCGGGAGAGGGAAAGGTGGTGGCGGGGATCAGGATAGCTTTGACTCGAGACGTAGTGAGTTGAGATCCTCTTTGCTGTCTTGACCGCCGTGGTTGGTCAACTGTTGAAGGCGCACAGCTGTTGATGGAGGGTCAAACATCAATGTGGTTGCCGGAAAGTAACAGTGGTCATCTGGCAGTGTCACATTTGCGAACTTCCAGTGGCAATCTCTCACACCAAAGTGAGTATTATCATAAGAACCGGTGGTTTAATTGTAAGCTACGTTTGCTCGACTCAGCTCAAGTCGTCTTCGAATGTGCCACATTGGTTGGTTTCTGCTTCCTATTGCCGTCCTGTTGTGCTCAGGAACTCGTTCCTGAAGGTAGTATTCCACATAGTGGTTCTTTTTGGCGAATGGGTAGACAACTGTTGGATGAAATGCTACAGTGTAGTTCACCCTCAATGTGGAGGAATCGCTGGCTTTGGAAGCGCGTGACGCGTAACCTGGTCAGAGATACACAAATACCTTTGCATCGACATATATCGGTGGGCAAGGACAGTTTCTGCGATCTGCGCACGACATATATCTTCAATGAACTCTGACGATGCTACGACCCAAGTGCAGCTCGAATTCGACGTATGTTGGTAGAATTGCGTGGTGTTGAATTTAGGGTGTTATTGGTTCGGCCACGCGTTTCGGAAGGATGGTGGGGCTGGGCGGGCGCTGCCGCCAGGATCGCCCGTAGCCCGCCATATCAGCGAGTTCTGTTGTCAACACGATCACAAAACAGACAATTTCGCGCGGAGCGAAGAACTAGACGTCGCATGTCGCATCGGAAGCTGATTTGAGTTCCGTATATCCTTGGGCAGAGAGATGCTCTACCCTGGCGCTGAAACCGTACTACGCAATGCTGCGTGCGTGCCTACCCGACAGACCCCGAGGTCTCTACCAGCTGCGTTTGATATCATCCGCAATCTTCTCAGCCAACGCGTATACCGTACTCTGATTGGAGGTTAGTGTGACACTGACGAAGCGACAGGAGATAACATACCTGAGGATGTCCAGGAGGTAGTAGGGCAAACGAGCTCGCATCTACAACCCTCAACCCTGTCACACCAATAACCCTCGCCTTGCTATCCACAACTGCATCAGGGTCATCAACTTTTCCCATCTTGCATGTGCAAGACGCATGCCACACAGTCATCAACTGCTCTTGTCAGTATATGCGGTGAAACGAATACAAAGTAGACCTACTGTATCACGGATGGTATTGAGGATCTGTTCGTCAGTCTGAACGTTAGGACCAGGGAAATACTCCTTCGTATCTGCAAGTCCGCGCTTCATGGCATCCGTAGCAAAAGCTTGGCGTGTGCGCTTGTAGATGGCGATGGCGACAGATTGATCGGTAGGATCGGTCAACCAGCCAGGGTCGATCGAAGGGAGCTGGGCTGTGCTGGAGCTCGTGATGGTAACCGAACCACGAGAGAGGGGGGCCACGATAGCACCAAGGATGGATGCGTATTGGTAACCATCCTTTGGCTGAGTCGCGAAGAGATTGGAGAAATCTCCGATATAGCCAGGCGCAGAAAGGTACTCGATATCAGGCCAAGAAGCAGGGTACTGATCTAGTACCGCGGCAGCTTCTGAAGAGATGAGGTTTCGAGGAGCCTTTTCCCAGCCTAGGAAGTCACAGACGGGGTTGGTAAGTGGACCTTTCTTGAGTAGGCCGTAGTCGAATGCGAATTGGGCGCCGACGTAAAGAAGGTCGTTGGCTAGTTTGGTCAATGTCTGGACCTTGTAGCGGTAGGTGGGGCCGAAGAAGATGTGGTCTTGCATGTTTTGACCAACACCACGACGGTCAGCAATGACGGGAATGTTAAACTTCGTCAGCTGTGCGGCAGGACCAACACCAGAGACCATGAGCAGTTGGGGAGATTGGAAAGCACCAGCGGAGAGAATAACTTCTCGCTTCGCGGTAAGGATGGAGCCAAAGGGTAGCTGAACACCCGTGGCACGCTTCTCACTATCGAAGATAATCTTCTCAGCTCGTGTCAAAGAGTACACTTTGAGATTAGGACGGTTCTTAGCAGCCTCAAGGAACGCTGTTTGACTCGAAGCTCGCTTCTGATTACCAGGCGTGATCGTGGAGCTGCAGTACTGCGCTCCCATGAGTTCTCCGGAGTTGAAGTCGGGTCTGGTTGGGATGCCGATGCCATTCATGCCACCTTCCATGTAGCTTGAGAAAGGGCCCGCATAATTCGCATAGGACACATCGAGCGGTCCGCCGCTGGCATCGAAAGCACTTGCGACATATTCGGCCGACCCATTGCTTGCACGAAGCTGGGTGTTGGGTGGCGTGAACTTGATCGACTTCTTGAAATAAGGCATGAGGTTGTCGAAAGTGTACGAGTCGTCGCCGATTTGATCTGCCCAACGCTGGTAGGAGCCACGGTCGCCCCGCTGATAGATCATGAAATTTCGCGCCGAGCTTCACACATTAGTGGCTATGTCTTTGTCCAAACCCGAGTCTTGAAGCTTACCTTCCACCCAGACATTTTCCGCGGGCATACTTGATCTTCCTACCATTCGCACCTGCTTGAGGGGCTGTGATGAAATTCCAGTCCACAAGAAGGTTCTGATCCAAAGGGCTAGAGCCTGCCCACAAAACATCTCCAGCTGGAGTCGACGACAAAAGTGGATTCGTAACCTGATAGAGACCACCAGCCTCGATCACAGCGACTTTCATGGTGCTATCTTCGGACAAACGATTCGCAAGTGTAAGACCTGCGGTGCCACCCTGTATTGCGCATTAGCGCAACTACTCCTCTGCAAAGTAGCGCGATATATGGTGGAAACAACGTACGCCAACGATGACATAGTCGAACTCTGCGCTCTGTCTCTTCTCATGTTCCGCGACCGGTACAGCAGAGACTATAGCAACGGCCAAATAAACGAGTGACAATGAGCTACGCATGATGGGCAGCGCTGGAAGGCCAAGGTAAGGAGAGATCCTGGTGATACTCTACCAAACTCGGGTCATCATGGTTACCTATATACATGCTTCTTTTGTCCCAAGGCCTGGGCATTCCTAGTGGTATTCCCACTGACGGATTCACCCATAGGTTTTGATTTGTTCGGAATCCTGGGCAAAAAGTTCGCATCGAGAGTTTGGGAACTGTGATACCCCGAACCCGGTCTGCGGGCAGGGAGTTAAACGCGAACGGACGCAATTAGGTCTAGCCATGGATGGCTAGCCATCTCGCAGGAGACTCGCCAGAAAAGGTTCTACTATCGGAGTGAACCGAGGAATTCCAGCTACATATGAAACATTAGCTTCTTGGTAGCAATCGTACAGCCCACAGTCAGTCGCTTAAAGAGTGCATTATTGTCCTGAGCCGAAAATTATAGTTTATTTGGAGGCTTCAGGCATAAGGGGTGATGCCTGATCGGGAAGTTTCCGCATGATGACTTAGCCACAAGTCCGAGCGCAGACCAGACAAACACCTGAGGTCGGAAGAAGATTACGTTCTGAAGTATCTGCTTTGTTCTGAACGTCGCGCTGAAGTCTCAACGGAGGAGGTTCTCGCTAGGATATGATGGTTTTCGTCTTACAGAGAGGGTTCCAATGACGTCATTGGCATTCGCACGTTAGCTATCTGGGCCAAATCCAACGGGCATAGCTGTGCAATAGCTTCTAAAGAACGTTTGGCACTACCAGTAACACGAGTTCCAACGTGCTCGCGTTGCCTTACCATGTCGTTGTTGGAATCTAGACAACACCCAGCCAAGCCGCTTGCGCAGGAGATCCATTAGTGTCTGCCCGTGCATACGGGAGACCCGGAATATCATTGCTAGCGATCTGAAAACCAGGTTGTAGAGGGGTTTGTAATGGCTATCGGTTTAACGACCCTCTCTTCGACCTCGGTCCTATTTGGCAATCTCGTCTCTTCACTCACAAGTCTACCCAATCTTGGAAATCCTGCGTCGCTGCACGCGATCGATCATTTGCTGTCAGCACACAGTCTTGTACTTCTCAAGCTCCTACGTCAAGCATACCCATGACGCATGGCTCACGACGTTCATCGCGTAATCCTCAAGCACTGGTTCGCGGCGTGAACCGTAGCTGAAGAGACGGAAGCGTCACGGTGAACGTGTCCAGTATCTCTTTCTCGAACTCCTCTCCAGTTTCTCCAGATGCGAAACTCACGTCGAAATTCTGCGCAATCATCGAAAGAGAGATGCGCAAGCTCATATGAGCTAGATTCTTGCCTGGGCAGCTGTACGCGCCTATAAAAGTGTCAGCTGATTACGACACGCGAACAGTAGCCGGATTGGAGTACCTACCTAGAGAAAATGGCAAGTACGGAGCCTTGTCCGTCTCCATCTGTATCTTCCTTTCGCCGAATCGCTCCGGAACGAAATCCTCAGCCTCTTGCCACCATCGCGGGTCTCTTTGAATGAGCGACACTGGTACTACCACGTTCGTATTGCCAGGAATGTATGTCTCGTCCACCTGGATGCCCTTCGCTGGTGTTTCTCGCGCTCCACCAGTCAACAACGCGGGACGAAGTCGCAGCGTTTCGTTGAGAAAATCATCCAGGTAAGAGACTGATTTGACCTTCTCGTATGACCATTGGCTGTATCCACCCGGCATCGCTTGGTCCAGGAACTGTTGGAGTCGCTTCTGCTTAGTGGGACATTTGGCGAGGTAGAAGAGAGCTCCGGCGAGGGTAGTGGCTGTTGTCTCGCTACATCGTATTAGCTGTGTTGCTCGATCATTTTTCTCGGATTGCCCACCTTCCAGCGATAATCATCACCCTCGAATCATCCTCGAGAGCTGCTGCACTTGGCGAAGCTGAAGCATCCTTCTCTTTTACAGCTTTGAGTAACCATGATACAACATCCTGCGGATACTTCTCGCTGTTCCATGTCTAGGCTACGTCAACCCGTTGTTACTCAAGAAACGACCATGAAACATACCTTGTGTTTCTCCCTGATCTGATCTGCGCAAAAAGAGAAGAAGTCCGAATAACCCGCTGCCGCCCCAGGAATGGAACTCAAGACGTTGAGCAACCACGGAACTGTGCTCATGATCCCCAACATCGTCATGTGAGCATGAACTCCTTTAATGGCAACATGTTCTACACCACTCTTGAGGTTGTTGAAGTCTTTGCCGAAACCGACCTCGCCCATGACGTCGAAGCTAAAGAACATTGACCAGGCGGACACATCCATCGAGCTTCCTCCTTTCTCTGTCAATTGACTCTTAAACAAGTCTGCCTTTGCTTTGATACGTGGCTCGTATGTGCTGAGCGCTGCTAAGAGTCAGAAGAACCTCCAACATACCTTGCGAATTCATGCATACCTTTGATGGAGAAGCCACGGTCCCAAGCACGGCGGCGAAGGCGATGATCATTGAAGTCACGCGTCATGTGTATCGAACACTTCTTCGGGTCGTTGCCGGTCTGGCCATACCATGTTGATTTCGAACATTCCGAATTGGGACCATAGAGAATTGGAACAGCCGACTTGCGTAGAACGCTGATCTCTCGGGGACCTTTGTTGCTCATCAGAATCCACGCGTATGGAGTCCTGGGTACTTAGTCGCTCACCTGTGCGCACAAAGTCACCGTACTGACCGTGCATCTTCTCCAGCTCCTTGTAGTACTGTACATTCTTCGCCGAAAGTCTCGCTGCGTAGAATTTTGAGATTTTAGCAGCGGTCGGCCCTGGGAAGTTTCGACATCGGTGAAAGGCTAATCGGTATAAAGCAATGCTACCAAGCAATCCGATGCTGAAACAGCTTGCAAAGGCCAGGGCTTTCACGAAGCCAAAGGTGTAAAACATCCCGAAAAAGGTCAGAGTAGAAGCCGCCATGAAATGGAACATGATCAGCTCAAATTCGAATGGTCGAATCAATACATGGAAGACAATGCCGAACAGGGTTGCTGCAATGGCGCCTTGTGATACACTACGCTGCGCGGCATCGTGTACAGCATCTCGAATGACGTCCATGGTCGTCGCGAAAGCTCTGAGGCTCAACACAAAGCTCCCTGATTGGATTCGCGAAGTAAGAAAAACGAAGGAGGCTTTGGATGACGACTTGAGACCCTGTCTCAGAGGGTGCAGTGGGTTGCAATATAGCTATCCGTAGCAATACGCTACTTGGCCACTTGCTCGTTTCCAGCACACCTCCGTATGTACGGAAAGCTAGCATCATGCTCCGCGGTTCGAGTGCCCCCACGATCAGGGTACAGCAGCAATGCGCATCCTTCTTGGAGGCCGTACGTTTTACCTAAATTCCTTGCAGTTCCCCTCCGTTAAGCGGCTACTGGACTGCTCTTGATAGGCGAAGGGGCACGTTAGCTGCATATAGCCCTGCAGCACCCATGCCTCGCCTCGCCTCTCATCACTGCATTTGCAGCGCGGAGAGGCTAGACTCAACTTGTACGAAAGCAGTTCTAACGAAGGCTGTGAGCCATTACATGATCCACTCAAAGATTCGCAAAAGATGACTACCAATATGGGTAAGGTCATATATATCTATGGCACAATATGGGCGAGATCTGATCTGGCAGGCCCCAACTTATCGCTCTCCTACGCGATATCAGCAGAGAAGATTTGTGTCCTATGAGGCTGTTCGCCGGTATCGAGTTTAATTGAATTCGTCTCTATCCTGTTAACATTGTGGCTGTGATATTAGACAGTCCGGCCCAACAGTTGGACCTCAGAGCCTCAGATTTGGCTATGAAGGCGACCTCTCGAACCAGAAAAGACATCTCCGTTATCATTCTTGTTCAAGTAATCCTCATATTTTATCGCGAGCTTTGCAATACGACGTCGCATCCATATTCTGATCTGGAGGTCGCTCCCAGCACTGAAATAGAAGTCGCTCCTATTCGCGATCACGGCACTTTCAAAATCCTTACAAACTATGAGGTCACACCTACGTGCGGTCTGCGCAAGAGAAACTTTTGGATCATGATAATTGCCGCTATCGAAGTTGTCGCTAGCGCTGTGATGATGGAGTAGGCGGCACGCTCGCAAAACGCAAGTCCAACGAGCCCAGCGACAACACTAGCAGCAGCAGTTCAAGAGTGCTTGCATCCAGCATTCAGTTCTGATCTGTAATACCATCATCCATGTTGTCGACGCAAGAGATCAGCACGAGCGCCATCGTTGGCCTCATCAACAGCTCTGAACCCACGCTATCTCGCGACTGTCCTTCGTGTAACAGCACTGTCTACCCTTACTACGACAACAGCGGGACCTACTTGTTTCTCAAACTCTACAATGATGCCTACAACAACTCTAACGGCCGGTCAAGTCATGTTAAAGGCCAGGTGAATGGTCTCGTTGGTTGCGTCCATATGTGTGCGAAGTACAACCACAACAACCACACAGAAGTAGAGTCAAATAGTAACAAAAAATGCACCTCAGTGTGCTGGCGGAACACCTTTGGCCCTGAAAATGATTTTCCTGAGGAACTTTCTTTCGGGTTCACAACGATCGACATAATGGTGAATGGGCAGACGGCGTTCGATCTTGCAGAAGATAGGAGGAATATATGTGACAGTGCTGTTTGGATCAACCCTGACTTCTCATGACGTATGTTACGCTGAAGGGAAGAAATAGCGAATGCCTTGCACAAGTTAAGCCTGACGAGATAGTGCTTTACTCTGAAAGATGGAATTACACAGAGCGTTAGTGCTACCCTATTCTACTACCTTGTTCTCCGCTACTGCATTCTCGACCTGAAGAAGCTAAAACCAGGGTCGACCGTGTGCGGGCGCAAGCGGCCATAACACCCGCTCACCTATCACAATGCTCTTATGAAAAGGAACTGTTCCGGAGCGCTGGAATTTGCTAGTGAAGAAGGAGATTGCAAGTCAAGCTACTAGGGTCTGGTGGACGTGCTGAGTGGCGAGATAGCCCTAGGTGTGGGGCGGGGAATCGGCTGGCAACCACGCGTCCCGGCCCTTGTCGACACGCACACGCGCCTCCACCACCAACAGGAAGTCACATCTTCTTCATGCACGCGAGCGATACGAGAGAATCCTTCGCTTTCCGCGGTTCATGCTAGGCCCCCCATCTCCGTACATCCTTTTCGAAATCCTTCCCAGTACCCAGGTACGATTTTCGGGAGGACAGATCTGCCTAACGCCTGACTCTTGGTACGTTATATAGTCGTATGTGCTAGAGCCTGCAGACATGTGGTGAACACAACGCTTGAGTAGCAGTTTGAGTGTACTTATTCTAGACCGAACCAGTTCCTCGGCTTCAGCTTGACGGCTCGGGGAAGCGCGTGCGCCAGGTTAGTACATGGGTCGAGCCGTAACCCACAAGGGAAGCCTCCCGCACCGCAGAACCGTCTCAACGGAGTAAAGCAAAAACCTAATCATGCGCGGCGGTTAGGCAGGCACCACTTATCCTGGGCGATGTGGAATATCTTGTCTTTGATACGTTACAACAAAGCTCAGATACGCACGTCTTTCACCGATCTTAGCAACACATGCTCGCATTCGGCCTCATACCCGGTGGCATCCTTCCTACGTTCTATTTTGTGAGCCCGTGGGGGCGGTAGGAAAAAAGCATGGGGTCGGTTAGGAAATGTTGAAACTGTTCCTCAACTGGCCATGACGAACGTGTCTGTTTGCAGTTTACTATGCGACTCCTGTCGAGTACTTCTTTTGAGACAGCGAGCATCCGCTCGAATTCAATGTTAAACCACTCGGGAGAAACGCCTTCGTTACTATGGGATTGACAACTCTACAGCCTTTGGCCTATGCTGTAGCGTATGTTACCTTCTTTCTTGGTACTACATCTGTATTCCTACGCTTCTACTGTCGGCATTTTGTCCTACGGACTCGTGGCTGGGATGACAACTTTGCCATTTTAATCCTGGTATGTGCCTATGCCCTGGAGTATATCTATGTTATCAGTATTGACTGAAAGTGCAGTTGTTTAGCATTGGACAACAAGTTGTCCTGCACATGTTCGTGTATTGGGGATGTGGACTACACATGGAAACGTTGAGCGGTGTCCAACAGCTCGAAATTGTCAAGGTACGGTCTAATACGAGATTTTCATCTTGACTGAGCTGAACAGACAACAGTGGCTATTCATAGAAGAAGTGGTTTATTACTCAGTTCACTGGGTAATCAAATCGGCTTTCCTTCTCTTTTACCTGCGCCTCTCCCCAAGCAAAACCTTTCGAATAGCCGTATACATTGGCGGAGTCCTGAACCTTGCAATTTTGATTATCAACATCATGCTCGCATGTTTCCAATGCATTCCATTTGATGAGATTCTTCATCCAGGTACGCATCCCGATGCTATCTGTATCAGCAAACTCGTCCTTCTCATAGGGCCATCTGTCCTCGTAAGTCTCGAATACACCTAAATCACTATCTGACAAAGCACTAACAGCTAGATAGAACATCCTGGAAGACTTCTACATCCTCATCCTCCCCATACATACAGTCTTGAAACTCCAAATGTCAGTTCGGCGCAAAGCAGCAGTACTGGGAGTCATGGCCTTTGGCAGCAGTTCCGTCATTATTGCGTGTTTCCGACTCATACCTCTCATGGAGCTAAACAACTCGCCGGATACATCATGGGTGCTTGGAAAGATGGTCATTGTTGCTGCGCTCGAGATACAATTTGCTATCATCGCCGTCAACTTGCCAAGTCTTAAAGCACTTTGGACGCGAGTAGCGGGCGGACCTTCATACGGATCAGGAGGAGGAGAGCGAGGTAGTTCGAAGCAGAAAGGGTACAAACTATCTTCACTTGGCCAGATCATAACGATTGGTTCAGAGGGAAAGGGCCCGAGCGGATCGAAGTGGGGGAACAGGGCCCATAGAGGAAGTATCACACGGTTGGAACAAGGGGTTACTGCGACAGAGTCGGAAGAGGAGTTGTGCCGACAAGGTAACATACCATTACGGACGCTGAACTCAGCTCAGGAGGGTGAGCTTGGTACGATCAAGGTTACAAAAGACTACGATGTGAAGAGTACACGAGTAGGTGGAGACGACACTAACTCGGGTTATTTCTTGAAAGGGGTATAAGTATAATATACTTGCCAATGCTCATCTGAGACGGCTTTTGTTCTGCCGTGGCATGGTTTGAGACTCGTAAGCGGCTTCGCTGCTCGACACTAAATTGCAGCTCTGTCCAGTATGCAACCCTTCTTGTGCGACGACTCCATAGCTGCTACATCTCTTCCGTAAATAAACCGCCATCCCTTCGATACGTGACGTATTCTGCACATCATCTCTATTTATTTTGCACCACATTATTTGACCCTCGCGTCTTCTCGAACTTCTCTCTTTGAAGCGATCAAAATGAAGCTCAAAGCAGCAATGCTCAGACTGGCTTTCACAGTATCCCGCTTCGAGACTGGAACTCTCCACATTACACCCCCCTCCCATTTCTTCGACATAGACGCAAGATTTAATGAGTCATCATGTTCATCGTAAGTGCACTGTAGGACATCAGAGCATTCACAAAACTGAGCAAGCTGCAATGTTGTGTATGAGCATCCTATTGGTCACCACCAATCTAGACATCATTCACAGCATTAATGATATCCTGCGCTAACTTCTCCGCATGCGCATAAGTGACACCCTGTGTATGTCCAGGCGCGTTGAATGGCAAAGAACTTGCATCTACAACCCTCAGTCCACTCACACCAAAGACTCTTGCCTTAGAGTCAACGACCGCTCCATTCGACGCATTTCTTCCCATCGCGCACGTCGCTGCTCCGTGGTGAATAGCGCCCATCCCTTTGGTTCTAATATAGTGCAAAATCTGCGCATCCGTTGTGACATTCGCTCCCGGCGCTATTTCATCACCAAATGCGGATATGCTGGCGGCGATGGTGCGTGCACGTCTGTATGCCGCAACAGCAAGTTCCTGGTCTTCAAGGGAGTCGAGCCAGCCTATGTATACGACAGGTGCAACAGCGTTGTCAGCAGATTGGATGGTGACATTTCCCGCGCTCGTGGTGGATGTCAATATTGTGCCGATGACACCTGTATCGCTCGCAGTTTGCGCTGAAGACAGGATGCGCTCTGCAGCCTGCAATACGTATTCTACATTCGGCCAGTCGCTGGGCAGATCTCGCAAGAATTCGAGAGTAGATCGGCTCATGTTGGTGGTGAACTGTTCAGGCATTCTCTCCCAGGCGGCAAAATCGCTAGCCGGACTGCTAAGAGGACCAGATCCGTTCGTCAGATAGCGCTCAACAGCTGCGTCGAAAGACGAAGACTCGCGCTCCCAAGCACTTCTTCCCGGTACGTTCGTGTGGTGAACGACGCCGCCAATAGCGGGAGTATCTCGAAGATTCTGACCAACGCCATTTAGTTCGGATATGACGGTGATGTTGTATCGTTCGAGTGCCTCGCGCGGACCGATTCCAGACACCATGAGTAGCTGAGGAGAATGAAATAAGCCGCTGGACACGATGACTTCTTTGCGCGCGTGAACGATGAACGGTCTCATCCCGCCAGCTGTGACGTTTACTGCCGTCGCACGCTTTGACTCATCGAAAAGAATGTTGCGCGCCATGCAAGACTGATAAATCTTCAAAGACGTTCTTGCAGCTGTGTGAGAAAGGAAAGCCGATTCGGTGCTACTCCTCGTACTGTCCTCGGGTTTCAGCGTGAAGGGCCAGTAGCCATATCCTAAGAGGTTTCCATCAAGAAAGCCATTCGCTGCGTTCATGCCAGCAGCAGCATATCCCTCTGCACCATACGAGGCGATTGGTTGCGCGTACTTTGGAAAGCTCAAGTGAACAGGACCTCCTGGGATATCGAAGGCGGAGAGCGTGAAGTTGATGTTGCTGGCATTCTCAGCGCGAAAGCGAGCATCGGGTGGTGTGAAGGAGAAGCTCTTCTTCATGAAGGGGAACATGTTGTCCCACAAGTAGGCAGGATCTCCAGTAATGTTTGCGATAGATTCGTACCAACCTTTGGTTGCTCTGTGGTAAATTTCTTGATTCCGCGCCGAACTGCCCTACAAGTTGGGCTGCGATTAGCTTTTCGTCCAGAATCGTATATTTAAAGGTCACATACACCAAGCGTTTTCCCTTGCGCGTAGTGAAACCGGCGTCCATTCGCGCCGGGTATAGGTTCGGTGAAGATGCCCCAGTCGATCAACGGCTGGTAGTCTTCAGGATCCGGACCAACATACATGGTCGAATAGTAAGGACTGCCACCAAGATTAGCATGTCAACATGACATGCACTCTCACACTGAACTTACATCTGACTGTAGTTCCCGTTCGATATCTCATAGAAGGAGCCAGCTTCGATGACTGCGACCGTCATGTTTGGCAATGCTTCTGCGATTCTGGATGCTGTAAGAGCGCCGGCTAAGCCAGCTCCAACGACGACATAGTCGTATGTCGCATTGACGCCTGGGTTGCCGAAGGAGTTACCTAAAAGGCGTCCAGGAGCGTAGAACTGCTGTAGCAAGCTAGGGCTGTCTAAGTTGGCTGAGGCTAAGGAGGCCAACAAACTGACTGCTGCTACCGATACACGCATGACGCCAGTATATGATACGCGATGTGCTGAAGGACCTTTCACTGCTTGGCAACACATGTCGCTGGGCCTTCTTTATACTTGCGCATCGAACCCAATATTTCCATGATCTGCAGACACTTGGGCGACTACCAGTCGGCGATGTGGTAGTCGCATGCGTTGCTGCAGTGATGGCTTGCAGAAGCTCCATGAAGCAAGTTGCCGTTTTTGGTCCAAAGCATCCTCGTTGGATGTATCGAATCTCACTAAAGTGGTTGGCATCTGACGGCTCGGGCCTGATGGCTTCATTAGTGGGGATCAGTGCATGTCGACCTTTATTGGGTAACAAGCATCGTGCTTGCACTGCATGATGAGTGATGACTAGTAAGCCGTGATTCGCTCCGCGGTGGCTGGGCTGCAGTGTGTTATAGGTAGCGATGATGTCCTCAAGGAATGTGCGAAGATAGCACGAAAGGTGGCGGCAATGCGCATGTAAATCGTCCTCACAGTAAGGCTTGTCGCGCGTTCCTGCCACGAAGGTAGCGTCGACGTGTCTACCGGGGAAGGCCGATTTGCGACGCTCGGCAAGTGATCGTCGGCTGTCAGTATTCCCGATCCAACCCCAAATCATCAACTCTCGTAACGCAATAAATCAATGGCACCAGGGTATTCTTGATCATCGGTCATGGTTTTTTCGAAGTTAGCGCTCAGAATTCGAGCACACTGTCAAATTCATAGAGCAAAGACGCGCATACCAAGATAGGACTATTGACTCTACCTTCTTCCTATTTCACGAGGCTTGAATACCTAGGTAATGATACACGAAGCGCAAATTTCCACAATTGGATCATGCGCCTATTTAACACTTAAAGAGCTGTCTCATGGATTAGAGTGGAACTCAACAATGCACAGAAACATTAGGGGGTCAGTAAGAGCTTCGTGACAAGGCTGGATACGCTCGGAGCACGACATCAGGAAGCACTTGCAGCGAACAGCCTTGACTGTTTTGGGAACTACAAGAAGCCACTATTGTGAATATTCGATCACAGGAAGAACGAACGAGACGATATCACAAATGATGCGGGAGTTTGTTTGTCAGAGTTCTACAGGACGAAGTCGGCATCACAGTGAAAGTATCTCTCGCAGCCCACAACTACAAAAGCATCTGAACTACGATACGATGCTTCCAGATCAAATATCGACTACTATTACAAGGCAACAAAGCACGGAGCTTGTGTTCTTACTCAAACAACTCGCCACAACAACTCTGCTCCCTTAATCGCATACCCATTACCTAGGTGCATTGCGACATGATGGATGACGCCTCGAATATGGACAACCCCGCTAATCCTACAAGTCAGAAGCGACAGAAGATGTCACTCTTCGACAACCCTCGCGCCCGAAATGGCGGAAATTCTACCTCCTTCGTGTCCACGTCCAACACTGGTATTATGGACACTACATTTGGTTCTACCACAGACGAAGAAGACGACGATACAGAACAACAATATCTCAACAAGATGGTCGATGACACCGATAGGAAGGTCGAGACGGTATTTGGCAAAGGCGTCGATGTGTGGAAGTCTTTCAACGGTACTGTCTACGCGGACGTCAATGATGGGATCAAGAGGCAGCGCCGCGATGAAGAAATCTGGGGCAAGAAAAAGGGGAAGAGGAAGCGCGCTACAACAGAGAAAGAGAAGGGAGGAGGGCAACTGGAACAACGTTTCGATTCACTGCGAAATTTAAAGTCGATATCCGGCTCTGGGTCTACTTCTACGCCCAGTACGTACTCCGATGATACTGTTTCTTATCCTTCGCTACCGTTGAGTGAGGGATATCAGACATCCTTTCCACGTACACCTACAGCCTCGGAGTGGGAGATCTTCCCTGTGAGGCAGTCGCAATACGACGATTTCTCTGGCACGCTACTGGAATACAAGTCTATGAACAACTCTGATTGGGCTAGCAAGCCCCTCTCATCACACGCACCACGGCCCCAAGGCTTCCAGACTGCACGAACTACACAGCACCAGTCTACGTCACCACACTCGCATCCATCAAGCTCACGGCCACAATCTATTATACCTTCGCCTCCTGCAGATGTCTTCGGCAATACGATTGATGGTACCCGCAGGATTGTGTCCGGGTCTTTTGGTAGTTTCGACGGCGGACAAGTGGATCGATTTGTTGAGCGGAGGTACAGGCTACTACCAGAGCACATGGGCAGAGCGGGAGGGAACAGCGGACTGGACGGAGACGGAGATCGAGATGGAAGGCCTGACAAGCTCAAGGGAAGACCTTGGCTAAGGAAGGGATAGTCAGAAGTGTACTCATATAGTGACAGAGATACTCTGTGTTTGAGACTATGAAGACAGTGCCTACCAAGACAGGAGCAGCATCATGTCACAAATGCAATACGTCACATATCCATAAGAAGAATCATGATCATCAACCTCTCTTTCATTCATAATCTTACACAAATCAATAGCTGGGGTATAATAAACAACGTCGCACGAAAGTATGTGGACAACGATCCTACTCATCGTCGTCATATCCGTCTCCTACAGCGGCCCATCCACACTGCCATCTCCTTCCCTCGCTCTCACCGCCCATACGTAGATCTCTGGCTTGACTTCCTTCTTTCCACCTTCTGACGCGGTAGTCGTCGCTGACACTAATCAGGCTGCCGTTGCGCGCCCATGACACGCTTGTGACTTCTGCATCGTGGCCTCGTATAAGCGCTGTGCCGTGTTCGTAGATAGGAATGGTATCCGGGCAACGGGTGTTTGAGGATGATCGGGAAAGGATCGATGGTCGTGAAGGTTTTGCAGCGATGCTAGTAATATCCGGGAGGTCGTCTGCGTCATCCTCTTCGATTCTTGTTTCGCGCTTGAGGAAGGTCTCGTCGGTAGGGAATAATACGGGGCAGCCGTCTGTGCTGCCAACTGCGAGCATCTCGGTGCGGTCCTGGTACGCCTTGCGTAGCGATGCCTTGACATAGAAGGAGCCGGCGTGGAAGTTCTGGTGTCGGAAACCATAGATTGGTCCCAGACCTTCTTGGTCTACACCACAGTATTTCTGCTTTGATGAAGAGGATGTAGATAGTTCGGGTGCTACGCCGAGGATGAGGTGGCTTGTAGAGTAGGCGTACACGGTGTTGTCTTTGCTCAGGGCGTAAAGTCGTGATGCGTCACCACTTAGGGTGAGTGAGTTGATGGCAAAGTGCCGGTGGCGGTTATGAGATTCGGGATGGCGTGTAGTCGCGATTGGTATAGCAGGTCCTCGCAGCGAGTATCTGCCTCTGATGTCCCAAAGCTTGACGCATGTCGATGCGTCCGAAGCAGTCAGGAGTAGGTGTTCGCGGCCTTCAGGAAGGAAAGATAGAGCCGTGACTGAGATGTCGTTTCGTCTGTTTATTGTTTCCGTCTTGCTATTGCCCAAAATCCGAGTGGCGGACGATGTAGGTGTTGGAAGGCTAATATCCGCATGTGCTGAAGCAAGCGTACGCACGACACTAGCATATGGCGCATCGGAGCCCCAGGCTGAGTGTACTTGTCCCTGATTGCCCTTACACCGGAGATCCCAGATCTGTACTGCGCCGTCCCGACTCGAAGTAGCTACCATTTTGTCGTCACCCGGCTGGAAGCGTACTTGCTTCACTGATGACTTGTGTTTAGCCAAGACGGCGAGTGTCTGTTGGGTGCGAACGTCGATGATGGATGCAGTCTGGTCTCCGGAACCGGCGGCCAGGTGCAAGTCGTCTGACGAGAACTGCAGGTCCATGATGGCGTTGGTGTGGGCTTTCCATGTTACGGTTGGTTTGGAAAAGTCGCCTTCAGAGTCTTGTAGGTGAATATATCCATCTTCGTCTCCTATAGCGAGCATAGAGTTGGCTAAGAATGTTCAGTATTGCGATGACGTATGAGAAGAGAGGGATAGCATACTGTTGCAACTAGCTGTGCAGAACGGCGGAGCGCCCTCTGGCAGTTGACGGAAGTCGTCTGCGCCACTGTAGAAGTTGGAAGTCTGGTCTTGCCATGATGCGCCGTGGTCTATCCTGAACCCTCGTCCAACGCCCAGTATACCTCCAAAGGATCGCTGAAGTGTTCTCGATGGGCGTCCCAGCGTTCTTAACCTCCGTATCGGCGCTGGTTGTATGGCAGGCTCGTCTTCGTCATCCAGGTCGAGCCCGTCTTCGAGAATATCAATTGCTGGTGGAGTGACGTAACGAGATCGCTTCGAGGGCGACGACTGGGCAGGAGAACTCGCAGGCGATAAGTAGGCCTTTCGCTTCCGCACACTGCTCTGTGGGGTCCGCATTGGGTTCTCAATGTCGACAAAGTTCACCGTCTTCCGCGGCGTACTCCGGGTCTCACGGCTGCGATTAAGAGCCGATCGTGTGATGTCTTGCAATTGGCGACCCGACCTGGAGAGATGTGTGCGCGACGAGACATCTTTGGAATTTCGCGGGGTGAAGAAGCGGGTGAAGCGCTTGGGCGTAATGGGCGGTGGCCGTTTTGGCTTGCGTGAACAAACGGTCGCGGATGAGGGAGGAGGTGGTGATGAGCATAGCTCAGGCGTGGGCTCTTGAAGACGCATACTTCGAGGGGCGCATGGAGAAGACATGATCCTTTTCAGCAGTACACATATACAAGCAACACCAACGGACGATCAGATAAACACACGCGAGTAATTGGAGACGCAAATGGGGATATGAGACGAAAGCTCATGTATGACGGCGAGGTTGGAGAGGAAGGCGCACGGCCAAAGCACGTCGCGATGGGCAGGCGCGACAGACGTGCTACGCTATGCCGTCTTGGGTGTTAAGTGGCTTGGCTGTGCCTCAAGAAGAGTTCTCCGTTTGCCGTACAGCAGGGTAAAAGGCCTCAAATTTGCGGATGAAGACATCAGAATTGTGCAGTTTAGTCTGAATTCTAGTCCATGCCTTCCAATGCTTTGCACATGTTTCTCGAGTGAAAAGTTGCTCTTCCGAACCTCGTTGCCCTGCCATTTGGTCTCACGTGCCCCGAGCGCGGTTCCCTGTCGTCGGGGGTCGGAGAATCTGCGCGCATGGACCCACCAAAAAAGTCGAAGGCCCTATGCGACTCTCGAACTCTTGGCGGAAACTTCAGTACCACCAAGCTCTCCACCACCGGAGAAGTAGCGCATCGCAATGGGCGCAATCAAACGAAAAGCAGAGCAGGGCGCCACGCCATCGAAGAAGTCGAAGAGCGCGCCGGCCGACCGATCAACGAAGCGACGGAAATCCGACGTCGAGCAGCCATCGCCGGAAAAGTCAAAGCCTGAGAGGGCTGCGCCGAAGCCCAGCGTCTTCAAGGATGAGGAGAAGTCCTTCCCCAGAGGAGGCGCCAGCGTCTTGACTCCGCTTGAGCACAAGCAGATTCAGATCAAGGCGAACCAGGACGTTCTTTTCGAGCAGGCTGGCGGCGTAAAGCGAACCGGCGGCGGCGACGATGGATTCAGCGACATGGGGTCCGAAGACGACGAAAAGGCAGCCGCCAAGTCGAAGAAGAAGCCGCTGACCAAGAAGAGCAAGAAGTCGCACGACAGTGGAGAGAAGGATGACACTGTGAGGGCGGAGGGTCTGAGCTACAAGGTATGCCAGTCGCAGAGTTTGCGCGCTGTGAGAATGTACTGACCAAAGCAGAAATTGTCGCCTGGGACCATCATTCTCGGTCAAGTAACCGACATCTCCCACCAAGACATCGTACTCGCCCTCCCAAACAACCTCGTTGGCTACGTCCCACTCACCGCCGTATCCGACAAACTCAACGAGAGACTCGAGAAGCTTCTCAAGGAGGAAGAGGCGGACAAGGAAGGAAGCGACGATGATTCTTTCGAAGATGTGGAGCTGAAAGAAATGTTCTCTGTTGGACAGTACTTAAGGGCATGCATCACAGCGACGACCGACGAGAGCGCAAGAGCGCGAAAGAGACTAGAGCTGTCCATCGACCCCAAGTTGGTCAACAAGGGTCTCAACAAGCGGAAGATACCAGTGAACAGCATGGTACAGGCCTCCGTGGTCAGCAACGAGGATCACGGTCTGGTCATGGATCTGGGCCTTGACGACAGCAGTCTGAAGGGCTTCCTGCCTAAGGGAGAACTGGGACCCAAAGTTCAGCATGCCAAGGTACAAGAAGGCGCCGTCTTCATGTGCCTGGTTACTGGCCTCAACTCCGATGGACGCATTGTCAAGCTTTCCGCGGACCACACCAAAGCAGGCAACTTGGCCAAGGGCAACACACTGACTGAAGCACCTACCATCGATGTGTTCCTTCCAGGAACCGCCGTTGACGTACTCGTGGCCGATACAACAGTTACCACACTAACTGGTAAGATTCTCGGTCTCATTGACGCAACCGCCGATGCCTACCACTCCGGAGCGACTGAGAAGGCTGCCAATGTGTCCGAGAAGTACAAGATTGGCTCCAAAGTCAAGGCCCGTATCCTATTCACATGCCCAGACTCAGAGCCCAGGAAAGTCGGCGTTTCGTTACTAGATCACGTTGTGAGCCTGTCCACCCGTATGTCCGGCAAACCCAAGGAGCGCAAACCTCCCGTCAATCTTCTACCAATCTCAACTGTCGTCGAAGCTGCAAAGGTCATCAAAGTGGCGCCGGCCCATGGTGCTTTCTTCGATCTCGGCATAAAAGACGTTGGCGGTTTCGCGCATATCTCAAAGCTTTCCGACGACAAAGTCGACGTTCTCTCCGAAGAGGCTGGTGCATACAAGCTCGACTCGAAACACAAGGCACGCATTATCGGTTACAATGCCTTGGACGGTCTTTTCCAGCTTTCACTGGAGCAAAAGATCCTTGATCAGCCCTTCCTCCGCATAGAGGATATCAAAGCTGGTGAAATCGTCAAAGGCAAGGTCCACAAGCTCATCGCCGACAAGACTGGAGCTACCGCTGTTCTGGTTCACCTCGCCGAGGGCATTACCGGTCTAGTCCCTGAGATGCATTTGGCCGATGTTCGTCTGCAACATCCGGAACGCAAGTTCAGGGAAGGCGTGCCAGTCACAGCACGTGTACTTTACACCGAGCCAGCCAGACATCAGATTCAACTTACTCTCAAGAAGTCCCTGGTTAACTCAGATGTGAAGCCATGGACGAACTATTCCATGCTCAGGGAGGGTGCCGCTGGCCCAGGTATCTTAGTTAGCGTTCGTCGCAATGGTGCCACAGTACGTTTCTACGGCGACGTAAAGGCATGGCTTCCAGCTGCAGAGATGAGTGAAGCATACATTGAGGATGCTACGCGACACTTCACAAACGGCCAGGTCGTCAACGTCCGCGTCATCTCTGTAGATGCGAAGGAGAAGCAACTCTTGGTGTCCTGCAAAGACCCCGCTGCTGTCGACATCAACAAGGAGGCTGCTTTCAACGCGCTTAACCCTGGAGGTATCGTAAAAGGCACAGTGATTGAGAAATCTGATGAGATCGTCACCCTGGACATCGGAAACGGCGTCAAGGGTATTCTTCGTATTGGTCACCTCACAGACGGCTCGGAGAAGAAGGACATCTCGACGATGAAGAAGATCCGCGTCGGAGGAACGCTAGCAGACCTTGTGGTATTGACAAAGCATGGCAAATCCAGGACAGCAACTGTCTCGAATAAGCCTAGTCTCTTGAAGGATGCTCAAGCTTCAAAGTTTGCTCTCAGCATTGAGGACATCTCCGCTGGCGAGACTGTACATGGCTTCGTTCGTGGTATCCTACCTGACAAGATCTTCATCGAACTCGGCAATGGCATAAGCGGTGTACTTTTCAAATCACAACTACCGGAAGAGATGCTTTCTGCACCAAACTTTGGTCTTCGCAAGGACCAGTCTGTCACTGCTCGTGTGACACACGTGGATGCTGGAAAGGGATTCTTCTGGCTGTCGATGAAGGCCGAAGGTGACATGGACGCTGCCAACACTATTGATACTCCAGCATCGAAAGGAGAAGCCCTGGTGGAACCTGTAGATCCCAAGATCACATCTACCGACGACATCAAATTCGGCGCGCTAGCAACTGTCCGCATTCGGTCAATCAAGGACACTCAACTCAACGTTGAGCTTGCCGCAAACGTGCCTGGACGTATCTCAGTTTCGGAACTGTTCGATTCCTGGGACAGTATTCCAGACAAAAAGCATCCCACAGCACATTTCAAGACCAACGAGAAGATTCAGGCTAGAGTTCTGGGAAGACACGATGCCCGTAACTTCCGTTTCCTTCCTATTACGTCCCGATCGAGCAACAAGACACCCACTTTCGAGCTAACCGCAAACACGGACAAGATCAAGACGGAGGCTGATGTGCTGAGCCTCGACAAGATCACGCCTGGATCATCCCACGTCGCCTTTATCAACAACATTGCTGAGCGATATGTCTGGGTGAACATTTCTGCCAACGTCCGTGGGCGCATTGACTATTTCGACCTCACCGACGACCTGGAGAAACTTTCGGACATCGCAGAGAACTTCCCTGTAGGCTCTGCTCTCAAAGTTCGCGTTAAGGCGGTCGATGTTGCAGCTGGAAAATTGGACTTGACAGCTGCAACCACTCAGACTGGCAAGTCGTTGACCCTCCAAGACTTGAAGGTTGGCCACATTTTGCCTGCGCGAGTTACTAAGCTGCATGACGCATCGATCGTTGTCCAGATAAACGACAACATCGCTGCGCCCATTTTCCTCGAGCAGTTGGCAGACGATTATGACAAGGCCAAACCAAGCGAGTTCAAAGTTGGTGATGTCTTGCGGGTGTGTGTGATCGATGTCGATCTTCCCAACAAGAAGTTAGGGTTGTCTATCAGGCCTTCCAGGGTATTGAGCTCTTCACTGCCAGTTAAGGATCCTGAAATCAAGGACAGAGCTCAGCTCAAGGTACATCAGGTGGTTCGTGGATTCATCAAGCACGTTGCCAACAACGGTGTGTACATCCGCCTTGGACCTCATGTCGAAGCCTATGTTCGGGTCAGCCATCTTTCGGATGAATACATCAAAGACTGGAAGACTGCATTCCACGTAGATCAACTCGTGACAGGCAAAGTCATCTCGAACAAGCCAGATCAGCGCAACCCACAATTGAGCTTGAAGGCCTCGCATGTTCAAGGGACCTACACTGAGCCGGTTGAGTTCAGTGATTTGAAGGTTGGACAGATCGTCGCCGCAAAGGTTCGACATGTAGCAGACTTTGGTGTGTTCCTTGTTATCGACGGCTCAAGCAACGTCAGTGGACTTTGCCACATCTCTCAACTGGCGGACACTGCCGTCGACAAGGACAAGGTCAAGGAGATGTACAAGGAAGACGATGTCGTCAAAGCAAAGATCATAAAGATCGACTCAAAGTCCAGGAAGATCAGCTTCTCCTTGAAATACTCTCAAGTAAAGGGTGACGATGAGGATGAAGATATGGAAGACGCTTCCGAAGCCGAGCAACTAAACGGAAGTGACTCGGATGGCGGCATCGAGCTCGACGGCATCGATCTCAACGACGACAGTGATGACGACGTGGATATGAGGAGCGTCAAGAGTGCTGACAGTGACGAGGACGTTGAGCTTGCCGACGTAAACGCTTCTGACGATGATTCTGACGATGACGCGCCAAAAGCGGTAACCCAAGGACTCAGCACTTCTGGTTTCGACTGGACTGGTGCGACTCTCGACTTTGACGAGCAGAAGGGTGCAGCTGAGCCTGATTCTGACGATGATGCCCCAAAGAAAAAGAAAAAGAGCAAGAAGGCTACCATCAAAGAGGATCGTACTGGTGATCTCGATGCTTACGGCCCGCAATCTGTCGCTGACTACGAGCGCTTGCTTTTGGGACAGCCAAACAGCGCTGAGATGTGGGTTCGGTATATGGTTTTCCAACGTGAACTCAACGAGATCGAAAAGGCGCGTCAGATCGCTCGTCGCGCATTGGCAACCATCAACCCTAGGGAGGAGAAAGAGAAGCTTGATGTGTGGACCGCCTTGCTACATTTGGAGAACGACTTCGCTAGTGACGATGCTCTGGAAACAGTCTTCAAGGAGGCGTGCCAGAACAACGACGCCCGTGAGATGCATGAGCGCATGATCAAGATCTACATCTCCTCAGGCAAGATCGACGTATGTATCACTCCATGTTCGTAACCCCACAACTTTTACTAACATCAGAACAGAAAGCGGACAACCTCTACCAGTCAATGATGAAGAACAAGTCCTTTACCCCCGACCCTCAATTCTGGCTTTCTTACGCGTCATTCCTGATGGACGTCATCCAACCACCCTCTCCCACACGGGCTCGCGCCCTTCTCCAACGCGCGACCCAATCCGTTGCCTCAACCCAACACCGTTACCTAACCCAGAAGTTTGCGGCGCTTGAGTTCAAGAGCCCCAATGGTGACGCAGAGCGCGGCCGCACCATCTTCGAAGGCCTCGTCGACACCTTTTCCAAGAAGGGCGATGTTTGGGATATGTACCTCATGTTGGAGCAGAGCCACGGCAGCGCAGAGAACGTCCGTGATCTGTTTGAGCGTATGACCAAGGTTGGTAAAGCATCGAGGATACGGAGCGTGTTTAAGAAGTGGGCGGAGTGGGAGAGCAGTGTTGGTAACAAGAAGGGTGTAGAGAAGGTCAAAGCACTTGAGGAGGGGTGGAGGGAGAAGAAGGCGGAGAAGGGTGAGGACGCCTAGACAAGGGAGGCAGTATGCATTGCATCGAAGGTGTTTGGCGTAGTTTGAGTAAAAGTCTGTAGTGTTATGTTGGACTATATATTTATTCACATTCCCACTGTTATCATACCGAGATGCCTTTCGTGATTTTAGTTAATTTTCATACGAGGTTCTCGATGGCTATTCCACATGACCAACTCAAGGTAATCGCTCACCTAGGCAGGCGCAATGAACGATGTGAGTTTAGCGTCTTGGCCATCACCAGCTTACCAGTTTCTACATTACGTCACTTCTTATCTCAGGTCCTTCATTACAGACACTCACCTTGCGCAGAGCGACAGCGACGATCACACAGAATCAATAGGTGTCTGTAAGGATGTCACTTTCCTGCGTCACTCCGGAAAGGCCACTAACAGCATTGCGCAAGTGATGATGCTTCAGCTAGACTTGAGCTAGTCAGCAGCCCCACCATGGACGCGTCCCTGCCCGGACCTCGAGGCCTGTACGCGCCCTTGCCGACAGCAACATCGATACGCGTCATCGAGCTTCACTCACTACAAGACGATAACGCCCCTATCAACTGCACGCTTCACCTTACTGATCTAGAGCGCGAGACCCTGGACTTTCAAGCGTTGTCTTACACTTGGGGCGATCCGCTGTACCGGTACTGGTTCGATCGGAAGAAACACACAACTTGGGTGCGAGATGTACCTATTGTATGCAATGGCGTGTCAGTTGATGTTACAGTCAATCTGGAACACGCGCTTAGAGCAATTTGCACGCGACGTATGAATTGCCATGAGCTCAAACACCAAGTGCAATACTTGTGGATTGTTCGTGGCATCCCTGCATCTACTATATACGAGATGCTGGCTGACTCTGGATGTTGAATATAGGACAAGTTGTGTATCAACCAGGACGATGTCCAGGAGCGGAACACGCAAGTTGGCTTGATGGCCCAAATCTACAGCAAAGCTTCCTTAGTCATCTCGTGGTTAGGCCCAGCGGACAAAGATAGCGACCAAGCTATACCACTTATGCAGCGCCTTAATAAGTTGCAGTGCTTTGACGACATGCAAGGACATCAGCAATGCTCGAATTACTCGGACTTCATGGAGAGAATTTTGAGTGAGGACGACACTACAGAAATTGACTCGATCCCTAAGGAACAGTATGAGAAACTGACTCGTTTTCTCGCCAGGCAATATTTCTTCCGCTGCTGGGTCCTTCAGGAAATCATGCTTGCTCGGCGGATATGCATGCTATGTGGAACGGAGATTGTGGACTTTTCGGACCTTCAGAGGGTCGCCTTGCTTGTCGCTTGGATCAAAAAGCATCATCTTCATTATCCAATCGGGCAAGCATTGGACCTTCCTATCAAACCCAATCGAAACTTTGATCATGAAAAGGCTATCCTGGAGCTATTCCAAGACCGATGGCGGCTGTTATACAAAACTGAGGTGCAGGAACAGAAACTGCTTTTCACTTTTGAACAACTTCTTACTCTAGCCCGTATGTCCGGATGTGCAAACCCCAAAGACAAGATATTCGCACTACTAGGCATCGTACCGCGCGGTGCCTTCGGAATAAGTGTTGATTATAACAAGACGACAGAGCAGGTCTATAGCGAGGCGATCCAACGCCTTATTCAGGAGACGAAAAACCTCAATTGCTTGAGCTGGGTTACGGATAGATCTCTGAGGAGGTTCCCGAATTCTCCAACCTGGGTCGGAGAATTTGACGATAAGGCCGAGCAATCGGAACTCGCGTTCGCAAGTGTTGGCTACAATGCCACTTTGGGATCAATTTTGGACGTCATGGACACTGAGCCTGATAGCAACAGCGTACTTCGAGTTCAAGGTGTTGAAATTGGCCGGATTGTGGAGCTAGCTGAGCCATGGGAATGGCATGGTGGACGCTTGAAGTTCGATCCTCAGTGGGTCACCCTCACACTCAATCTACCAAAGGTCTACCGACCTACAGGAAAACCACGGGGCGAAACTTTGGTTACTACCCTGGTTGCCAATCATGTCGATCATCTGCCTCTCGATCACCAACCCGACATGGACCATTTCAAATACGTGGTGCGGCGACTAACCTGCGCTGCAGTCGTCCGCTACCTCCATTATTTATTCTACTACTCTGATAGGACGAAGTCCGGGATAGCTTACAGAGATAAGGCTTTGCCGTTCCTTCACGACTTAGACATGTTGTCTGAAGGCGATAACACTGGCTTCATCACGTCTTCGGCTGAAGTTCGGCAAGCGGAGCAACAAAGTTGTACTTGTAGTGCGAATTTGTCGTTTGTCGACATTAGCAGTGCATCTCTACCTCGTCCTCCACCTGACTCCGAATGTCCCTACATTGCCGACTTCAACCGACCAAATCCTCGCAGTCATCCCTACAGAACTTCCATTAGCGACCGCATAGCGCGTCTCGGAGCTGCAGCAAGTGATGCAGACATCAAGAGAGACTGGAGAGATCACAACTTTGGTAGAGCAGCTAATAGACATGGTCAGTTTCGGCGTTTAGCGAGGACAAACAACGGCTATCTGGGCCTGGTTTCAACTAGCTGTGAAGTCGGAGACGCAGTGTGGTTGCTGCAGGGCGCCAGCGTTCCTTACGTCTTGCGGGGAACGGGAAAGCTTGCTGGCGATGAAGGAACAGGGAGCGTGTGGGAAGTGGTCGGTGATGCTTACGTACACGGTGTTATGCAAGGGGAGATATGGAAAGACGTCAAAGATCAGCTGGTGGATATTGAGCTGGTGTGAATGCCACTGGGCCTGACCACTACCTCGCCGATACTCTATCGCTATGACTCCTACACGTCGGACCGTCTGACTTCAAGGACGCGACCCTGCGTACTACAATTCCCTTCGCACAATCAAGCGAACTTCCAGTTGGTGTGCTTGATGGAAACAATTTGAGCAAGACTTCTCTCGGTCACTACCGGAGTCCAGCAGCCCGAGCAATCTCCTCACCCGACAAATTCTCCTTTGTCACTTTGACGTACGTCTCAAATTGCCCAGCTACCTCAACGACATGCTTCAGATGCGCGTACGACAACTCTTTCTTTTGAAACTTTGCGAGTTGCCTCCCGATCGTGATCGCGTTGCGAATTTGCCTGCCATTAAGATCTTCGTTCGCCAATTTTGGTATGTTCCATTCAATATCGTCGAAGTCGATATCCGGCTCTTTTAGTGCTTTCAAGCGGTTTAGAAAGTTCCTCCAGATACGGCAGCGTTGCGGCTGGTCGAAATTGGGGTAGTGCAGGGCAAGTGAGATCCTGGATTTGAAAGCTTCATCGAATGTGCCGACGCGGTTGGACGTGAGGATAAGAATACCGTCATAGTACTCTAGTACACGGAGAAAAACTGAGACGAGAGCATTGCGTGCTAGATCAGCTATTCCTCGCTCCTCGAGGAACACATCAGCTTCATCAAGAAGCACGACACAATCCCAGAGTTTGCCTAAATATAATACTGATTCTAGATATTGCTCGACTTGCTCTGGCTCGGTACCAATGTCGCCACATGTTACGGGATAAAGCGGTTTCTCGGCCAGCTCAGCAACGCTCTCTGCGGTGAAGGTTTTGCCAGTGCCAGGACCTCCATGAAGAAGGATGATGAGCCCATTGCCTTTTCCTTGGATAAGATCGGTGTTTCTTTCGCTAGAAATCCGGCTAGCCACAAGGGCTTGAACAAGCTCCTTTGTCTTGTCGTCGGCGACTAGATGCTTGAAGGCTTCTTTGTTCCATGAAACGTCGACTATTTTGTCGACCACCAGATCGACTAGATGTAATCAGTTTCCATAGACAACAGATACTACGGCAATACATACTCCACTCTTTGCGACGTAAAGAGAATCCAGGTACCGTTGGTGGAAACAGGTATACGTAGGGTGCTTGAGGGGGCTCGTCGTCATCCATTCCTTCTACAAACAATGGCTTTCTGTTTATGCTACTACCTGTAACCGTAGTTTCTTGGTTCCGTTTCGATTTTTCCTTCTCGAGGTGGAGCTTCTTATATGATTCGTTGTCGATTACGTATCGCTCACCGTCCTAGATCATGGTTTAGGCCGCGTTCATGCAGGTGTCTAATTGGATGTCTTGTTCATACCGTGTGTAACGTATCTCCATTCCCACCATTATAAGAGATTGGGCGCCGGACACGACAAGACCAGAATGTGCGGCCCCTCTGCAGAAGCTGTTCTTGCAGATCTTTTCCAACGAACAGTAGGGGAACTACTGTCAGCTCAGCGATGTCGACTTCTTCATTGTGACTCTCAGCAACCAATTTAAGGGCGAGCTTTTCATTTTGGCGATAAAACTGGCCATCGTACACGATGGTCCAACATGAAATTTCCCAAATCCATGCTTCATTAGCCCTAGTTCGCCCGTTGGCCCTCGGACTTGCATGAGACGATTTCTCAAATTCTTGCGAATGATGAGTACGTCCGGACACCTTCTCTCGTTTCGGCATGCCTTGCAACTGGTAGGCTTTAGTCTTATCGCCATCCTGTTTAATGACGACGTCGCCTGGGAAGAACAGATATTCGGTAAATGCATGGGAAATGCGCCCACGAGATATCATCTCGTGGAATTGGTCGAACTTCGTGGCGTAATTGCGCTCAATACAATCAAAAAGTAGCTCCAGATGCGCTTGCTGCTTGGGAAGCTGATGCAACAAGGTCTGTCTTTTTGATCTGCCACGATACCAAAACAAGTAGGGAGCCGGTATGTCGTACAAGAAAAGGTCAAGTTGTTCCTCTTCAAGTGAGCAAGCGGATTTGAGAAAGATTGCCAAGGCCATCCTCAGCTCTTCGGACATGATTCTAATAGACTCATATGACGGTTCTGGGGCAGGTAGTACACCTGTTTCTATGCTTTCTACAAGGTCGGAAGCGCTGACTCTCGGTGTTTTGTACGTCTTATACACTAAGAAAGATATATCATCATTCTTCCGGAGATAGGTGTCCAGATTCATTAGTGGTGACTCCGCTTTAAGCTTCAGTCCGGCCTCTATCCCGAAAGTCCAAGTTGGTTCTTCAAGGCAAACAGTTTTTGGAAAGTCATCTAACACATGAAGTATCTGGAAGCGGGGAGTGCTGGGACCTTGCACTGGCGGATGTTCTGATGTTCTAAGACCTCTCTCCAGATCATCGATTCGTCTCAAAAGCCGGCTGACGAGCTCTGATTCGCCGGTATTACCGTGAATCTGCGCCGATGTTCCTGTTGGCTGAGTTGGATATGTGTTTGGAAAGACATACATGGGTGGTTGTTGTATATTGGAACTCATACTTGGTGCAAAGCTAACTTCGGGAGATCTGCCAGGGCGAGAGCTTTCGGTGGAAAAGGGCATGTTAGGGGCTTGCATTTGCTCCTGCGTCATGGGTTGTCCGTTGAACTGGGGACCGCCATTCGGTTGTGAGCTTGGAGGCCGCATCATGGGGTTGCTGTTGGGGCCCGGGCTCATGTTCTGGGGGTAGAATTGCGGGGGCATTCCTGGGGGTGCTAGAATGGGGTCGAATTTCATGTCAGGAGTGCCAGAAGCCAAAGATTTTGAGTGTTGTGACACCATGAGATCTCGTTTTTTTTTCTGTTGTTCTAGAAGCATAAGCTGCATCTGGTAGTCTTCAAGAGCGTGGTTTCCGTGTTGGGGGGGAACGATCAACTGCGGCCGATGTGGTTCCGTATTTTCGTTCTTTGCGAGTGTCTTTGGGTTCGCAGCAATCGCCAAGAGTCTCTCGGCCTCAAAGTTGCTAGCTTCTGTCCGATCTCGAGATATAGTCAATTTCCTTAAAAAGTTGGAGTATTCCTCTGTTACCTCCTCAATGTGTTTCTGGTCGGGTTGGTTGCTAATGATAGGCGGTCTAGGGTGGGAAAGGCTTGAACCAGGGTAGAAGAGGCTCGGATTTACATCGTGTGGGGCGTTTTCGGGTATGGTCAACCCGGGTGATGCAATCAAAGCGGCCTCAGCTGGAGTAATGGTCAATCCGGATGATGCAAGTAAAACATCCTGAGCTGGATTTCCGTATTGAAACCGTCCTGTTGCTTCCTGGGTGCCATCGTGATCTTCTGGAGCCTGATTGTTACCCAAGTCTTCGGCCTCGCCCCCCCAATCTTCAGCCTCGTGATCAAAGTCTTCAGCCTCGTCACTTGAATCTTCAGCCTGGTCGCTATCTTTTCCCGCATTTGTTGACCTGTCAGGTAGGGGATCGAAGGGGCGAACAGTACTTCTTGTACGAACCGTTTTGGGTTTTGGTGGCCTGGTGAACATTTGCAACAGGTGAGCTGATAAAGAACGTAGAGAGCTGGACCCCGCGTGATGATAGGAGTGTGCATGGAGGATGGCAAGATCTAGACCACAACGAGATTAGTCCAAAAGCCACATACGTGCTTGGCGTCTGCAAGTTGCAGCCTGCAGGCTATAAGCCTGCTTGTAATTTCTTTAGAGAAACGACGAGAAGTACAATGGCATTTCAACAACCGAAACTAAGTGAAGCGTGGGTTGGCTGTTCTAATACAACGTATGCACCCCATCGAGAGCTTAGAAGCCGTCGCGAGGCGAGGCCCCTCGTGGCTGCATTAGCCATTCCACTAACAACTCGCAGTACGACAGGAAACATTGCAGCCGAATCATACAAGCTTGCAACCCTACATTTTGCTTCCGAATTGACGCAAGATAAGCGGAAGGTTGACTTCGCCAAACAATCAGCCACTTTGCAGGGCTTGGAAGATATTGTCAAGACCGCTCGCGATAATTACACATCCTCTCGTAACAAGAAGGCTTCGAAATGGCTAGAACGGTTTTCCAGCCGCTTGATGTATTACGGGAACATCTTCGACGTACTATCGCAGCACCACCCGGAGTATGTAGCTCTGGCTTGGGGTGCGATGAAATTCCTTTTCGTAGTGAGTTGACCTAGACGGTAGAGCAAAAGTTCTGTTCGATATTAACAATGCAACTACAAGGCCTCTCTAAACCATGAAGGTGTCATCGCAAGCATAGCAAAAGGTCTTGCTTGTATCGCAGACACTCTTCCTCGCATTGAACTAGCCACAATCTTATACCCAACTACAAGGATGACAGATGCTGTAGAGGGGCTGTATGCGCACATCATTCGATTCTTGATCCGCGCCCATGATTGGTACCGAGAGGGTACTCTGCGACACATTGTTCATTCTGTTACACGTCCTGCCGACTTACGTTACCATGACGTTCTGGAAAACATCCAAGCTGGCTCACGGAATATCGAGCAACTAGCCATCGCTGGGTCTCAAGTGGAGCTGCGACAAATGCACACGATCTTGAAGCTGATGGCTGACCGCTTAGAGAGGTCTGAAAGCACAATCCTCGAGATGAGATGCATGGTGATCAGTAGGTAGAAAGAGTCCATATGATGAGGTTTATGCCTACTTACTATACATAGATCACCAAGCCATCAATTCATCATCACTTGTAGATACGAACCAGAAGGTATCGGATCTGCAATTCTCAGAAATGGTGCGGATTGTAGCAGAGCTTTCGTCATTCGATCCACTTGAGAGCTATAACCAAGCCGTTATTGTACGAAATCTGCGCCGACGGAATCAACGAGTCAATGTTTCAAGCGCCTTTTGGCAATCCCCGACTTTGAAGAAATTCGCAGAATGTCCAAAGTCATCGCTCATGCTGGTCAAGGGTACCTTTCAAGAGCGAGGGGCAATGCGCGACGCCGCCGTCAGAGTCACTGAAGAGTTGAAGAACTTGAACATCACAACGATCTGGGCTGTAAGGGCACAAATTTCTGATCGAGCCACCAATACTCCAAGCCCGCTGGATGTTCTGAAGTCGCTCGTAGCTCAAGCGCTTACAACAAGCGGCTCGGCGCACTCTGAGAAATCGACAGCGCTAAGCTGCACACAGCTTCGCACCGCTGCCACAACAAAGGAGTGGCTTGAGATACTTGGAGCTGCACTCGCAGACGTATCTCGGGAAATATACATCGTTCTCGAGTTGGATATCTTCATGTCGTCCTTGTCCGCGCCATCATCAGCTGACGAGATCATTGCGCTTTTCAACAATCTGTTGGAAGAATTGACGAATCGTGGCAAGAAATCTATTGTCAAAGTGTTGATCGTTACGAGTAGGCCATGGAAAGCTCTTCCACAAGGAACCAATGTTTTTGTGGAAACAATGCTAACGGGGCGTTTCCCACGCGCGAAACCGCCACCGAAAGATCGAAGAAAGCAAGTAGGTACTTCTTCATATAGAACAGTACTAAGAACAATAAGAAGATAAGTGCGCTACAGCCAAAGCACTACAGAAAGCCTAGGTGATAAGACTGGAAGTGTTGTTCCGATCTGATACGGTAGTAGTAGCAATAATATTGTCCCTTCTATCTACGTGTCTATCTGAAATAGTGCTGCGTGTATAACGCTTTCTTCAAAATGCAATTACAAAACGCTCCAATACATCAGTTCGTTTAAATATCCACATTACTCTTGTGAGCCCTCCATAATCACATCCCCATCCTGCGTTCCAGCCAAACTTGCCGTCCCGTCCCGGGTTCCCATGTAACTCGCCGAACCCTCTTCATTCCACCCATCGCACCTCCAACCCATACCCGCCCACTCCCTCCCCGCCGTCCTCATGACAGCATCAAAATCCACATCAGCATCGAACCATTTCTCCTTCCTCTTCGTCTCCCTAATACCTCCCTCAAGTGCCACACGACTCGCTCTTGTAGTCCTGCCTCTCTTGCCTCCTATCCCACCAGCAGTGTTCAGCACACTCGACATCCTCACACGCTGTTCCTCAAGGATCAGCTCGTGCGCAACGATACTGCGGACGTAGGGTGCCAGATCGAGTGTGATGATGCTGAATGTGCGGTCAAAGGATGATGGTATGAAAATGAAGGAAGAGCGTTCGGGGAGGAGTTGGTCGGGTGGGTCGGCAAGGGGATCAAGGGCCAAGGCGAAGTCGGGGCGTGTGAGGGTGGTTTTTGTATTGAGGATTTTACGGTGGTGGAGGATGGCGCGGGCGTAGTCGGATTCTGTGCGTAGATTGGGGGTTGATGACAGGCTGTGGCTGTGGGATAGATCTGGGTATGTACGCTGGATGGCAAGGTGGGTTTGGGTAGAGAACGCGGTGTCGAGGTTCAGGAAGTCGAAGCTGTGGTCGACTTGGAGGAGAGGTGCGGCGAGCGTGTAGCTCAGGCGTGATTTTTCAGTAATGGCGGGCTGAGTTGAATCGGTGGGTTGATTAGAGCTAGGGTCGTAAGTGGGTAGACCGACCCGACAGAACATGTCTGCAGCACTCAATGAATCGGCGTAGTTGTCAAGACTTATGAGATCTCCCAACTGATCGAACCACTCAGTACTTGGTTCCCTAGATGACCGTGTACCACTTGCTTCAGGGATTCCCCAAGCTGACGGGCTGATACCCCAGTCCGCCCAGACTTCTTGTAAAAGTTCTTCTTCTTTGTCAAACACAGGGTTGCCTTGAGTTTCGAGGACGTTGTGTGATAGCCAACCCATGCCGGACTTGTATGTGCCTTCACTTGCAACTCTCAATGTTTGACCATGCTCATTTGTATCTTTGCCCGGTGGCCAGCGTTGGTACATCCACTCTAGGCCACCCTTCCTGTCGCCCACAGACATCTGGCACCAAAAGTCAAGTTCCATGATACTAGCTCGAAGATCGTAGTCCTTCGATTCATAAAGCTCTTTCACAGCCTGCCGCTCCAGGATATGGCCTTCCCTACCAGCAAGAACAAGCAAGTAGTCGGTGGCCAGTTCCACAGGAGCAGGTTGAAGGCGGAGGATGGCTGCTATCGGCAGATCTTGCATGGGTATTTGCCGCTCATCATTGCACGTGATGACGATCGGACGTTTCGACAAAGAAGCGATTTTGGTAATTTGAGCCCAGAACTGCTGGTCCTCATCAAAGAGTATATCGGCCTCTTCGATGAGGATCAACGATTGTTTTTGTGATGTATGCGACGCCTGTGCCATGGGAAGAGTAGCTTGGGCTGAGGGTGCTGGTGCTTTGTGAACCTCAGGGACTTTCGCCTTAACTTTTGGTTTGACCGCCCCTGTTCCGGGTTTTAATTGGAAGAAGGATGCCATGGTCGCTTGCCGCCCACTACTAATGTCATCTTCTAGAACAGCGTCTACCCGGTTGTCGTTCGCATCATCCGCCGCTTGGACGTTCTCTTGCACGGATGCTGCGCTGCGTTTGTGATTCACGAGATGGTTCGCAGTCATATCACCGACCTTGTCTTGGATGTCTTTTCCTGAACGGCGCATGCCAGCATGAATCTCAAAAACCTCAAAGCCTAGCTCTTTCGCTACAGCATATACAGCCGCACTCTTACCACAGCCATGAGGGCCGCTGATGAGTACGACGTTATTGTTACGTATCCACTGCGGTTGGCGGAAGGACCTCGAAGGCAAGCCTGCCCCTTCCGCAGCTGGAAGCATAACCATGTCTTCCTCCTCATCCCCTTCACCGTCTGGCACAATGAAGTCGTCTAGAGCTTTCTTTCGTTTCTTCCGTGGAGGCTGCTTGCCATCTACTGTAGTAGCGACTTTCGACGCGCCGCTTACAGCCATGACTGTCAGACTTTGTAACCAGTCTTTGAGGACCACTGCTTCCATGCCCGTCTGTAAAACATGTGACGCATACTTGGGGCAGTACTTCAAAGTCCAAGGTTGAGATTCGCATCTTCCTTCGTCAAACAGCGTGAGAGTGCTCTCAATCCCTTGGAAAAGATCTCTTACGGCGGGGTGGGACTTTTGTCGAGCATCCTGTGGTATACCTGACGAAGACAACCGGACCAGCAGTTGCTCACGCACTCTACGCTGTATCTCTGCCCCAGTAGTAAGCAGCCTCTTGGGCAGACGAACATCTTCTGGGGGCTCGAATTCAGAATGTGACCGAGCCTTGCTCCCACTGTGGCTTTTGAGGTTCTGCGCTAGTCTCTCAACCACATTCTCATGTTCTGGGAGTGTCACCACAGCGTTCTTCAGTTTTCGCGGCCTTAAAGGCAACTGCATACTTGTCGCATTTTGCAGACGTGATGGTGTAGAATCGAGATTGCGGACGTGTGCGTTTTCACCAGTAGGCCAGGAAGCTTCGTTCAAACCGGATTGTTTTCCCATCCTATTTGACTGCAGCCCTCTGTTGAAAGCCTGCGGACCTTCAGGCGATTGGTCTCGTCGAAATTCAGCACGCAGCTTTCCTGGAGTACAAGCGCTCTTTCTTGGGGTTGCCGGTGGTAGCTCGGTGACGACCTTAGCAGGAAGAGCCTCCTTAGAGGCTTTTCCAAGAAAGAATGGATGCGTTGGCCCAGCAGGTTTCGATGGTGCCTTCTTCTGAGTCGCTGGACGTGCCACTAATTTCTTCTTTGCGTTCAGGATATCTTCAATCTTCTGACCCAAAGCAGATCGACTGGCTGCATCTGTGCCGTACCGTATGACCGTAACCGTAGGGATTATCTTGGCTTCCTTGCGCGGCCGACCACGTTTTTTCTTTGGTGACGCTTCGAATGTCGGTTTTGGTGGACTAGAGACTAGTCTGCCGCTCTTGGTGATTCTTATCTGTTTCTTCGGTGTCGTCTTCATAGGTTCGCTTGCGGCGGGATCATTCGAGTTAGCGGCAATGTCCAGGTCCGCTACAGGCAGCGTGTTGGGCTCCACGGCTTGGTCCGGTTGATCCACCTGTTTCGGCAATGTGTTCAGTGGTGCATCAATTGCCAATCGTGGCGTTCCTTGCACCCCATTTGACCTCATGACTTCCTCTTCCGCTTGCAGTTGCTGGTGCCAGTTGAAAGCACCTGGCTCGGGTTGCGCCGAATTCAGCATATTGAAAACGGGCTCCGGAGAGGCTGTTTTTTGTCTCTTCCTCCGGTCAAGATTTGGGTCTACTTCTAACGAAGCCTCAACAGGTGTGTTTGTATCGTGCACATTGGTTTCGTTGGTACTTTGCATCGCTGGCGGAAGAGTGAATCTGTCTAGAGACGCTTGATTCTTGGAGTGAGAAGCTGCATGTCTGCCCTTGACTGCATCGGTCTTTCGTGCCCTTTTCTGCTGCCCGTTGGCTGATTTGGGGTCTGTCTCAGAATATGCTGCGTCATGATGCGTGTCGTCGATGGGGGTTCCGTTCGCGGTTGGTAATGGCTCTAGTGCGTGGCCGTCTGCAAGCTATGTAAGCTGAGGGACATTGGAGATTGCTGTGCTGGCATACTCGAAGGCTTGGTGAAGAATGGATGTACGTTCTTGCCCTCTAGATTCATTGCGGTCTGTACCGCTGCGAGGGCCATGTACAGATTTAGAAATTATATAGCAGTTGCAGACATTGAACTGGTGCAGACAAGTTATTGATACAGTACGGTAGGCGAATATAGTGGTCGAGATTGCAGGTGAAGGCGCGTGGTTGCCGTCGCCATCAACGATGATCTAAAGCCACTTCCGTCGGACGCGACGTGACGCGCTAGGGAACAACGCCACTAAAGCCACACTTTAGCCTCCGCCAAGATTTCGCACCGCCTGCCTTTCTGCCGGAGCTCCAACTTTTTTTCGAAAGATACTCGACCGCGCAAACCAAAGCACGCGCCTCACCCTACGGTTCACGCAGACCTCATCTTATTCGACGACCGGGTCTGGCAAACAATATGTCGTTCGACCAACCGATTGGCGCTCCTTTTACATTGGCCTCGCTGTCCAAACCGATCGGCTCTACCAATGGACATGTTCACGCTGCCGGAGTATGCAGCCTTAGCGGCATAAAGAAGAGAAAGCGCACTGAAATTGCCGTCGGTGTTGATGGAGAGGGCGTGTCTATATACAGCGTAGGTACTGCCTGATTGCGAAATGCGATATGCGCTCAACTCTTATCCAGCTCCAAAACCCTCAACTTGTAACTTCGTATGCGCTGCCGCCAAGCACAACCTTCACATCCGCCCCGTACTCCATCTATCGCAAGGGCGCATCCAAGACTTCCACTCAGCGCTTCACTTATGCTTCCCTAGCCGGTTCGTCCCCGGCCGAAAAGCCGTCTTTGGTCTGCTTTCACGACAAGTCGTCGGGCGACCACACCGAGACCAACAAAACTTCGTATACACCATCTGACGGTGCGCGCGTCTCTACGCTGGACCTACTTCCCGTCGCGCCTGGTGGCTCAGCCCAAGATGCGTTACACGACGTACTGACGACTTTCGATAACGGAGATGTGATGTCTCTATCAGCGGATCTCCAGGTTGTTAGATGGGTCGCAAACCTGAAAACACTCCTACCATCCAGCGATACCAACATGGAAATCGAGCACATCACACTGGCCAGTGCCAGGTCTGTCATACGAGGGCTCCTACGGAACAGGCAAGACATTGCTACGATCCTGGACCCTACACCAGACGAGGCTTCCGACCTTCTAGACCTAGTTCAGGTCCTATGTGTTATCGGCCGCAAACCGGAAGGAACAAGGGCACTGACGCTCGTCCAAGTGCAGCCAAGATCCGCTGACCTTGCCACGAGCCAGCTCACGCCGTTGAAATATTTAGTTTCATTGGACTTGCCCCAACCAAAGACCCCGAACGCTCAAGCCTCCACTTCTCAGATCACTCTGTATCCTTCCAGTGGTGCCATTCATATACTCGCAGGTGGAATTTTGCTATCATACGACTTGTCCGGAACCGTGCCGAAACTCTACTCACAGTTTGTTCTTCCCGGATCGACTGTCGACTCCTTTCTCCGAACCTCGCAGGATGTCATCTTCACTACATCGCAAAACACATGCCGAGTTTTCGATGTCAAGTACAATTCTCTGCAAGCTGTCCACTCCATGAGCCCCAGCCCGTCCACCTTGGACACTACTAGCCTGTCGAAGAAGAGGAAGCATACACAGCCGGAAGGTGATTCGCAAACATCGTCTCCTTGCAGCCTAGTCGCTTACTATGCCGATATTGGACTGATTGTAGCCGCACGAGAGGACGAGGTATTTGGCATGCAATTCGGAGGAGCCGCGTCGCGCAAGAGGACCAAGACCGAGGGTACTCTCCTCATCGATGCCATCGGAAGAGGAATCGCACCCGAGTCAACACTCAGCGCAGCCGATAACCAGAAGTGGCAGGAGCGCAAATGGAAGCTAAACAAGTATGCTGCGAAGGGTAAGATCGCAAAGTTCGAGCAACACTTTGCATCAGACCTGGGTATCGAGCTTGAATCTGCCGACGTAGCGCAGAAACACGAGAACGAGGTAAACGGCGGACCTCTAACGAACGGAGGGGGGCCAAGTCTTCCTGAAGAGGATGCCATGGTGGTTGACAAGCTTGATGATGAGCCCTCAAAGGACGTGTTACCTCAATGGAAACTGCCTAAGACCATCCCTGGTAATCAACGACAGCAATACCGACAGTATGCACTCTACGCATTGAGCAAGATTTTCTATTGGGTAGATGCCACGGAAGAGGAACCACAGGGACAGTTGAAGGTCGGCTTCTTTGCACCGAACGTTTTCCAATGGCTTCTACAGACCGGGCATCTCACGAAAGAGTCTATCCGTCGGGCCATTTTCGAGGGCGCAAACGAGCAGATGCAGCTCACATCGGCCATCATGGACGGAGATATTGTCAAGGCTTTGGTCGAATACGATCCCGATCTGCATATCCTTTCGGCCGTCCTCAATCACACTCAGTTCCTGCCAGTGGGCGAGGTTGTTCAGGCTATCAAGCTTCTTATCCAGAGTATAGACGACGAACCAAAGGATGATGAAGCGGCAAAGCTTTTGACAAACGGCGCTAACCCATCGGAGGATGAGATGGACCTTGACTTTGCTTCTGAGCTTGAAGCAGCCTCGCACGAAATTGATCATGCGTTGTCCATGCTTGATCACGGCCTGTTGACACGCAGCTATACTTTGCGACCTGCTCTGATCCGACTCCATACTTTCTCAGCCCCAATAGTCAGTGCAACTCTCCGCTCAACTTTGCCACGCCGAGATCTCGAATCGCTTATCCGTCTTCTGCATCTGGAGCTGAAGAATGGCGGCTGGTCTTCTCCACTCGGCTTCGTAGAGACAGAGTCTCCCGCTATCGAGAGCTCAAGCGAGGACCCAGACGACCATGCAGTCGCTATTATTGCATCCCTTCTCTCTACCACCCTCGACGCTATCGGCGCAGGAGCCTGGTTGGCTTCTGTCGGCACCATCTCTGCCTCTGAGACTGGTGAAGACATGCTCAAGTCATTGAATAGGGATGCGTCCGTGGCACTCAGTGGATTCTTCGAAGCTCATTTCATACGCGGTCTACTTTCGGAATTCCTCCGCTATGCTTCCACTGTGCCTACGTCGAAGAAGCCTTCTAACAAGGCTTTGGGAGTACAAGGCAAGCCATTTGGCGTTACTGGTAAGCTTAATGGCGAGGAGGATCTGCCCATGTTGCCCCTTGGCGCCAAGGCAGAACAAGGTGTGGAGAAGGTGAAGAGCGGCAAAGGAGGAAAGAAGGAGCAGCGAAGTAAGAGAGAGATGGGTATGCTGATCAGTAAACGCGTGCCCAAGTATAGCTTCGAGCGCATTGTTGTATAGGAGATTGCTTTTAACGCTTGTACATAGCGGAAGACACCTTGAAATTTAGCAGGCGTCTTCTCTTTTCGTCCGATGCTCCAATATAAACAGACTGGATTAGTCTGGTCAATTCCTAGCGTGCCCATGTCGCACGCCGCCATTGTTGTGTGAGCGGAAGGACCACCAAACCGAAGGCCCGACTCGCTGGGATATGATGTGCACTAGATCTCAGATCTTACCAGATCCACCTTAGCGCAATCCTTGACCACTCATAACACGGATCATGACGTCGCCCGCGCGTGGAAAAAATGCCAAGCGCGGCGCGCGACCTAACGCGCGGAGGGTCGGATTGGGTCTTCCGAGGGAGTTTGATGAGGGATCTACCCCCAGGCACATTTCAATATGTATTGAAAGCCGCCTAACTCAATCTTGCACTTCTTCCACATATACCAGGGAGGTCAATCAAACTTTTTGCGCCATAATGGCGTCAACCGCGACGAGCCGCAATGTTGTGGATAAAGAAGAGGTGGATTCTACAGGAACAGCAAGAAACACACCGAATGGCGAGCAAGGACGATCAGATGGGTATCATCAAGATGCGACCCTTACTCAAGACAAGAAAGATGAAGACAAGAAGGCGAAGAAACCCTCAAAACTCAAGGCTGGTTGGGACAAACTCGGTCTCGACCCGCCTACGCTCATGATGATGGGCAAAGCCGCACTACCCCCAACAATTGCGTTGTCCATGTACCAAGCAACAGATGTTGCGGAAACCTTCACCACGTTGGGTTACCTGACAGCCATCATCAGCATCATCGGATTCTGTATCATGCCGCGCGCCAAGTTCATCCAGACAATGACGATGAATGTATTGGCGACATGTGTTGGCTCGGCTATAGCATTGCTCATGGTCTGGACGGGAGTGAAAGCTCGACAACATACGACTCCGGTCGGAGCACCACCACAACGCTACAACTCCTCGCAATCGGCTGTTCTCGGAGTATGGCTCTTCTTCCAGATTTATGCCATCAATGCGATGAAGGCGAAATTTCCCCAATTGGCTTTTCCTACGATCATATATGCCATCCAGGTCAATGTTGCGGCAACCAATGGCTTCTTGTTTCAAACGGTAGCACAGTGCGAGTCCTTCATTCAAAGGCTTCTTGAGGCCTTCTTGACTGGGTTTGCGATCTGCACAGGAGTGAGCTTGTTCATTATTCCTGTTACATCGCGAAAGGTGGTAATGAAAGAGGTGGCGGGTTATATTGGCTTGTTGCGCGGAACACTCGGTGCGCACAAGGGTTACATACACAGCCTAGAAACAAGCGATATGTTCGGGGAGAAATACGCTCCTGAGGATGGAGATGATAAGAAGAAGACAAAAGCAAGGCCTGAAGTGGAAGCTATCAAGAAGATGACTGGAGCCCTACAGGCATTGCACGGTAAGCTCACCGCGGATCTGCCATTTGCGAAACGCGAGATTGCCTATGGAAAGTTGACGCCAGATGATCTCGAGGCCATGTTCAAGAATTTGCGGTCGATCATGCTTCCTATCTTGGGTCTCGGATCGGTCATGGATCTTTTCGAGCGTGCAGCTGAAATCAACCACTGGGATGGACAAGAGGACGAACACGACGAAGCACTTCGCAAACAAACCGTCAAAGAATGGAACGACATGTTTCAATTCGTTCACGAACCTTTCAACAACATCTTCCAAGCTCTTGATGATGGACTTGCACACGTCATGTTGAAGTTACAGCTCACTAAGCCGCCCAAAAAGAAGAAGGGCCAAAACCAAGATGATGCCGAAGCAAAAGGTGACGCTATCAAGCCAGGACAAGCAGGCTTTGCAGAATACATGCAGAAGCAATCAGATGCCTTCTTCAGCAGGAAGGAACCTACTCTCCGCCACTGGGTTGAAACAAAGGGCATCAAGCTCCGCGATGACTACTTTTCATCGCCATCAGCACTTGACGAAGAAACTTTGAAGCTCATGCCCAGCATCACCACGCGAAAGCGAGATCAACGACAGCTCTTCATGGTACTCTATGTCATGTTCCTCTTGGGTTCAATAAGTCGTTCAGTCGTCGAGTTTATCAAGTTCGCGGATGAGCACGACCAAGCAACTGCGAAAAGCAAGTTCATCTGGCCTGGTGGACGACGCTTTAAGAAGTGGGCAAAGAGCATATTCCAGAGCCAGGACTCCACTCCTGATGATGAAACAACAGTCGCTGGGTTTGACAGGAGCAACACGACTGTTTATATGGGCGAGGCGTATAAGGAGAAAAAGGACCCTGAGCATCTACCACCCGCCAACACGTGGGAGAAGTTTGGCAACGGTATCCGTGCCATTTCACGTTTCCTACGAAGTCCCGAATCAGCCTTTGGTTTCCGTGCCGCGTGTGCCACGATGAGTATCGCCATTGTCGCCTTCCTTCGTCCAACTCAGCAATTCTTCGTTGAACAACGCTTGGTCTGGGCGCTTATCATGGTGGCCATCTCCATGACTCCAACGGCTGGTCAATCCATTTTCCAATTCATACTCAGAATCGCTGGTACCGCAGCCGCAATGATAATAGCCTGGCTTATATGGTACATTCCTGGGCAGAAGACTCCTGGTATCCTAGTATTCCTTTGGGTCTTCGTCGCGATCGGCTTCTACATTCCGCTAAAGCGAATGGATCTGGTTATTGTCGGCTTGATCAGTGTAGTCACAGCCACCATGATCGTCGGTTATGAGCTGCAAGTGCGCAAGATAGGAGAGCAGGCCGCAACAGCATCAACAGGCCAACCCGCATACCCAATCTATGAACTCGGCCCCTACCGTCTCGCCACCGTTGTCGGTGGTCTAGCCGTCGCCTTCTTCTGGACCATCTTCCCTTACCCCATTACTGAGCACTCTGCGCTTCGCCAGAAACTCGGTGGCGCATTGTACCTATCTGCGAACCTGTATTCCATCATGCACGAGCAGGTCATGGGTCGCATTCGTGGTGAACTTGGAGGCGACGAGGAAAGCGACAAGGAGAGTCCGGGTTACCAGCTCGTCAAAGCGCGAAACAAGGTGTTTGCGAAGCAGATGCTCACTCTACAAGGACTGAAAATGCATGCCGGATTCGTGAAGTGGGAGTTTCCACTTGGAGGCAAATTCCCAAAGGACGAGTACGAGAAGATTATCGGTTATGTCGAAAAGTACGTATATTATCCTAAACTACTGCCAACGATGGCGAGCACGCACTAACACAAGTGAACCAGTATCGTAAACTACACGGCCCTCCTAGGCTACGCCTCCCAAGCCTTCACCCACCCCTCATTTAACCACCAATCCGCCGACCCCACATCCCCTCAAACAGACGAGGCTCCCTTCCCAGACCATCACTCCGCGCAGTGGTTCAACGACTTCCGCCGCGTCATTATGTCTGCCAAAGTCACTTCGCATGAAATAACATCCTTGCTCGCCATGCTCTCCTCCAGCATCACAAATGCGCAACCTCTACCTCCTTACCTCCACGCACCCCCGGGAGCCCAATTAAGTCGGAAACTCGAGATGGTGGACCCGGAGATACTGAGTTTGAGACATATTGCTGAACCGGGATATGCGGCATTTGCAGTCATGAGCATAAGTACGAGGTGTATACATATGGATATCGAGAGGTTGTTGAAGGCGGTTAAAGGGCTGGTTGGGGAGTTGGATTTTAGCTTTCATGTTGTTAGTACCAAGGGGGCTGACTCGGGGACTTCATCAGAGGAGACGCTTGTCAAGAGGATGACGACGAAGCAGGATTAGCAAATGCCTTGTACGTAGTTTAGTAATATATTGTAATATCTTTCCAAAGCTTGTGTAATACTAGAGATCACTTGGTATGCATATATGTAATAGCAGGGCATTTGAATACGCATGCAGCAAGTAAAAGACAAGAGACGAGATTGTAAAAAGTAGGGGTATCCAGTCTCATTCACACATCCATGCAGGTATATACGTCCACCCCTTGATATCAAACGCGCGTAAAGACAAAACGTAAGGAGACATGTACAAATTACAACCTTGGACTCGTATCATTCCAACCCAACCAACATGCACATCGTTCGTCTCTCCCAGTCTCGTTCCTCATCCCATCCACCCTTGCAAGAAAGAAAAAACGATAAGAAATCAACATCCTCACTTCTTCTCTCTCATCGATAAACACGACCCTACAGCTACTTACTCTGCTACAGGCATACTCTCCACTTCCTCACTCAATGCCCTCCAGTTGTCCGCTTGCAACTCCGCGTATTTGACCCTCTCCTGCGCCCACTCCTGATGCAACCTACTAACATGATATTGGCTCTTTTGGAAAAAGGCAAGTTCATCGCGGATGCATTCCGTAATGAAGACACCACGCGCATGTTGTTGAACAATAGATTCCTTGTCCTGCATTTCATGGTCAGAAAAAAACGTGGGAAGGAAAGGAATGATAATGACTGACCTTGAAAATAGCATCCTCCACCTTCTCTGCCTCACCCGGCTTAATTTGCTCGGGAGTTTTCTGGCGGATATTCTGGAGTTTAGTCTCATTGTTCGCGATACGCTTTTCCAATTGTGGGATGTTATCGCGAGCGTACTTGTCCCGGCGGTCAAACATGTCGCGTACACTGACAAGCGTATCCCTCTGTCTCTTCAAGTCTTCAAGAACACCTTCTTCCCATCCTCTGGCTTCGTCTTCTAGCAGTTGCCTGCTCGAGTCGAGATGTCGTGCTGTGGCGTTCATGCCCTCGTTTAGCAATGGGACATCGTTTGTATCGACGGCATATGTCTCTTGACTTGATTCCGTGAGGCCGCTGAGAGCAGATGAGAAACGTGCGTACTCTGCTGCCATGCCTTCGTTGCGGCGGGAGAGTCGCTCCATCATGCTGCAGAGGGTGATGTAGGTTTCTGCACTACGACGGACGCCCGAGCGGACAGTATCGAACAATTCGGGGAGCGTCTTTGGGAGCGAGTCTTCGAGATCTGGAGGTAGAGGTTTGCCAGTGAATTCTTCTTGGATGGAGAGATTGGCTTGTTTGCGCCATACTGCAAGTTCCTGTTTGGGTCAGTATGTCGAGACTGTGATCCGGCCGAGTAAGCATACCGTGGGCACTGTCAAGAACATGACTACCAATTGCTCCTGGTTGAGGACAGGGTGCCGTACGAGCGCGTTGGTAAAGCGCGCGAGGCCTTTTCTTCGCTTCTCAAGGAAAGTAGCATCTGCAGCTATTGGGTTGCCGTTGACTAAGAAATCTCAATACGTATCAAGGCCATGGCAGGATAGGTACTTACTACCGACTCTTTTGGGGGGCAATAGTGGCAATTGCCTGAAGGGATACCGCTTGTGCAGGCAGTCTAGCAACCAGACGAAATCACTGTATCGGCGGACGACCTTTGTTGTGCGCTTGGAGCTAGCGACCTCATAATTGCGGTGCTGGAACATGAACATGCCCTCCTTCTCGGAGAGTGCTGTGATAGTTATGACCTCCTCGTTCCCACTGCCACCTGGGTTCAAGCGGCCAATGGATCTGCCCAACTCTGGTGTCGCGTTTGAGCCAGCCTCTTCAGCAGTGGGTGCGCCAAATCCTCCTTGTTCCAAACTAGGGGCGGAGAAGGGTTGATTCGCGCCGCCATTGTATCCGCCCCAGCCGCCCTCGCTGCTCAAGGAACTTGGTTGGACGGGCTGCGGGATGTTCGAGGAAGCCGCAGTCGACTGAGTTGTAAATTGGCTCGTCGTTCGTGCGGTAGTGGGTACGCTTGAGCCGTTGGTATGCGGTTGTGAGCTTGTGTAGCTCGCGTGGCTATGACCTCTGTGCAGGTCGGGGCTACCCCAAGGATCGGCCTCTGGGTCGCCGAAAGATTGCTTGCGCATAGGCGCACTCGACCTGTTTGCAGGAGACGGTTGCTGCGCAGAAGGCTGGCGTTGTGGGGCAGGAGGAGTGGGCGGCTGGACCTGTTGGGGAGGCGGAGATGGCTCGCGGGCCTTGGTGGACTGTGGCAGCGTCACGGTTGGAACGGGAAGATCTGGCAGGGCGTCAATGTCGTCTCTTGGTCGCATGCGCGACAATGCTAACACTCACTCCTTTTCCTCTCGTCGACGCTGTCCAGGGTGATGTCCTCATGCTCTTGCGCCAACCCAATCAGGGCGAAGACAACATTGAACTCGTTCCTTCCCAGTTGGGAGCTGCCACCAGACGGCAGCACGATCTCGAGTATCTTGGACTGCGCGTGACCTGGGATATCACTATCGGCCAGCAGCTTCTTGACACCCTCAACACTGATACCATTGCCTTCGCGGTTCCCAGCGTCGAGCAGTGCGTCGAAAGCGTCAATGTACGAATCGGGCACGTCCGAGGCAGGAAGCAGCGACTTGACGAGAGCTTCACGTGGAGCTTTCTTGGGGGTTGGGAATCCCCAGGGCGAGTCGTTGGCGTCCAGGTCGTCTGCGAACAAGCTGTTGCCCGTCTTGCCCGCCGGCTTGGGATCGTCATCGAAGAGCGACGACTGCTTCGCGCGCTGCGGCGCGTCATCGTCGTCACCGAATAAAGACATTGTCGCCTAGAGGAGATGCGCAGTCGGCTAAGTATTCACAACCTACACGTCGTCGATGGGTAGAGCTGCAGGGCCGCAGCTTAGACTGGAGACGCTACACGCGATGATAACATGGAGCTATGATGCGGCGGTGCAAGGAACCGGACTCCACTAACGCCCGACCCATGCTCCACGCACATCGTCACAGCCTTATCATGCCTTGGCACTTATCTTCATACCGATGCTTGACACTTGTAGAGACGTGATTTGACAATATTGTTATTTTGCTATAGCTAATTCAGATCATAAGTCTGTCGGTCGCACATCTGCGCCCTCCTCCCAAATCAAAGAGCCTGACCTTGTAGTCGGCGGGTATCCAGTCCTCGTAGAAACACCAAAGATTTTTTAACTTCCAATTGCGCCATCCCATGCCAATGCTGTGTGGAGTGTCCACTTTCCTCAATCATGCTACCAATGCGCCGCTCAATGTGGGGGTATATACGTGCTATCAACATTTCAAATATAAACAGAAACATGCGAGAGAAGATGCGGCGCAAACAAGCTACCTGTCGTGGTCTGTCCGGCTGTGCTGTCCGGGCCTGCTAAAGTCAATCGTTGACGTCGATTCATCCTGTGCCAGTGGTGTACTTGGTGCCGATGGGCGCACCATCTCTCCACCGAGAACACTTCCTCCAAGTGGAGCGGCAGGCGAGAATCGAATGCGAGGCGTGCGTGTTGAGTTTGGCGTAGCGGAAAGGTTGACAACCTCGCTTGAATCCGTCACTCCATGAGAAGTCGTTGGTGAGTTCACCCGATCTTGCTCGCTCGCAGCCGGCACACCCGTAGCCTGCGTGGCCTCCTCTTGTTGCTGACGAATAATGTCTGGAGACCAAGTTTGGCCACGAGGCTGAGCAGGGATGATGGTGACAGGCAGAACCGTTTCGTTCTGTGACCCCGACTTCTTCTTTGACCTTAGCTTCTCACCTTGCTGTGCAGCAAAGGTGCCGAGTCGATCGGCCAGAGCTAGCCCGTTGTAATTGCGAGGGGGTATGTTCGCCGCTACATCGTCCACTGCAAGTGGCTCGATGACCTGACCTCTCTGGAGCTCTTTCGGGGGTGTCCGTCCTTTCCGCCTGAATGGGTTTCCCAATGCTTGCCACTGGAATTTGCTCCTGCTAGTGACTGGCTCTAGTTCGCCTCCCTTCTCCGGGTCCTCGGGATCAGCTGCTTGAGGTTCTTGCGACGAGGCTTGTGCTTGTGGCTGTGCTTCATGGTTCCCAGGTCTACCGTCTGCCGGTGCAGGGCGTGGGTTCACTGGTGTGTCGCTGATTGGGTGATAGCGGACTGTGTATACAGTCGAGTCGGCGCTCGTTGTGTCTGTCCTACTCACTGGTGATGCGATGACTGGCACTGGTGGCGGGGTCTGCACTCGTACATAGGCCCGCGAGTTGCGATCTCCACGTGTCGTAGATGGGGACCGTCGCATGACTGGAGGTGGTGCTGGAATGTGGATAGTGCGCTTCTTTCGTGCTTCCGTTCGTGGCGTTTGGGTCATGTTCCGTCCAAGCTTCTGGGCAAACTCATTGAACCGACCAGCGTGTGCAGATGCGAAAACGCTGAATCCGCCTTGACCTCCCCCGCTCTTCTTCTCATCTTTTTCTGATGGCTGGCCCTTCCGTTTTGAGGGCCATTTGGAGTCCGATGGGCTGTTGTCGAGCATATCGTCTCCGTCGTAAATTTCTCTTCCTAGAATTCCGTCCTTTCTCTCTTCTCTTTCCAGCGCTTCAATACGCTCCACCCACTCCCAAACAATTACGCTAGCAGCCGCCGCTCCAACCCAGCGGAAGTAGTCTCCCCAGCCGGCAATAGTGTAGTTTGCGATGTCGGTAATGAAGAAGACAACCGGCGTAAGGATAGCGATGATGGACAGGAGGGAGATGACACTCATGTTCCACATCATGGAGTGGTAGAAAGCATATCGTCGCTTGGTGATGGCGTAGTACATAACCCAGGCGGCATAGAGCATGCTTAGTGATAACTGAAACAGGTAGCTGAGAGCAGGAATGGCGGTATCGAAATGTGCGGGGCGGCGTTGGTTTTCGTACGGACCAAAGCTGTTGAGACAGCTGAATGCGATGTCGAGAAGGATGAGGGCGAATCCGACCCATTTGATAATGACCTTCTCTTTGTGGCGTGGAAATAGGCGGATCAGAGTCTGTACCTGCGCGAGCCAGAGAAATATGTCGGACACGACACGCGAAACCTTGATTTCCATGCCGGCTACGACCTGATCCCGCAGTTCCATGGCGTCGATGAAGCCCTCCTCGTACTGGCGTTCGGCGATCTTGAAGGTGTCGGCAGTGGCGAGTGTCAGAGAAATGGCGACGGTCAGGGCTGCGGCCTTTTGCAACCATGGGCGGCTTCCGACTCCTATGATAGATCCACCTCCTGTTGCCCCGCTAATCATTCCGCGCCGTCCCATGAGCCCTGAGCGTCCCGAAGCGTTGCCGACGAAGAAGGTGCGAGGTGTGATGATGAGCATGATGACGAGCATCCAGGCGATGACGGTCGCGGCGCCTGTCGCGTAGGCCTGGGGTGTGATGGAAGCGTGGAAGGGATCGCGCATGTCGGCTACACTGGTGATTCCGCCTGTGCCATCGTCCTGGGAGGTGGCTGCGTTGGTGCATAGCGGGCGGAAGACGGCGTTCTCGTCGAGGTAGATGGTGTTGCCAGGCGAGATTTCAATGGTACCGAATTTGGGCAGCTTGTACGAGGGGCAGTGCTGATATCGGTCGTCAGTCGCGTGCGTGGGCCGTGTCGCGGTCGTGATACTCACGTAGGGTTGGGTGGCATCGGGCGCGCGACGGTCCAGGAGAGGCGCCCCATACCAGGACGAGTCGGCCTCCCACATGCTCGGTCGGCGGTCTATGACTGTCCAGCAGCAGTTGGTGTCCGGTAGAAGAAGCCCATGGAGGTTCAGATGAGTGGCATGGCCTGTGTGTCGTGTTGAGGTCGAGGGTCGCGGTCGTGGGTTAAGCGTCAAAGCCAAGTGGGAGTTCGCTGGGCGAAGCTTGAGGGAATGCAGGCGCTGTGGGTGGCACCTGCCGTTCCAGCCTGCCACTGCCCGCCTTTCATTGGCCGCGGAGTGACTGCAGGGTTCGGCCCTTCCAAACAGAAACCCCGGTCACTCCGCATCGAGACTCTAGGAAGCCCGAAACGTCGCAGCATGAAGCCTTTAGAGTGGGCCGCGTGTGCAACTTCAAACTCGAACAGAAGCCTCTTGCACGGTGTTATTTCGAAGCATCGCTCTAGAGTAATCAGCGACCTCCTTAGCTGGCAATACGCTTGGCGCATTGAGCAATCTCATCGCAGCAGGGAGCGACCAGCTTCGGATAATCTCGGGGCGACTGGGGAAGCCCTGGCCCCCGGGGGCTTCCCACACGAAAACCTAAACACCCACCTTCCAGCTACTGCTACCGCATACGTGCGTATCCACACCGAACAATTCGCCCGTGTCACCGGGGAGCCGATCAAAACAATAGCTTGAATTTCTGGAATTGCCTTCCAAAGTCTGGCTGACAGCTTAGGGCTGAGATCTAACAGATGGCGTGATCTAGTTGACAGACGTTACTTCCATGGCGGAAGCTGCACCATGACCGCGGCCGAGCCTGCCAACAACATCAACACTCTCTTAGTTTAACCTCAATCAGACGACATATCCTGCTTCCCTGTCTTCGCCAAACATCTCTTGCGACTGAGTGGTCTGTATGCTAGGCGTTGTAGCCGGATGCTCTGCCGAAAACACTCCGTGCTTACCGCGTGCATACACGTCGCTTAGCCGAAGAGAGCGTATTCAGCTCATTCAGCTTGCGCATCGAATTGTCTTGATACACTCAACCTTGGAAAATATCAAGCTTCAGAACAACCATCGGCTCAAGCTGCTTCGTGCGGATCAACATCCGACGAAGCTTGAATGCCGCCTACGTGTTGGCCATGTGCATCTAGAACCTCCACTTATTACTGCCTGTTATGGCGCACTTCCTTCCTCAGTGAGAACATGCAGTCCGTTTCCTGTATTTGTGCGCCAAGGACACTGCGCGCTGCCGACTTCCGCTGACGTCTCGGGAACCCGCAGCCAGTTTCTGGAGAATCCACTGAACGTGTGGAACGTGCTGTCCGCGGAACCTCATCTCAGCCCTCACCGCCAGAGGGACTGGAGCTACTTAAACAGTAAACAGGTGTGACTGAGGCTACCAGCTTCAACGGCGTGGACGCTACGCGATCAATAGCAGTGCCATCCAAGCCATCATCATGGATGTGCAAAGAGCAGCTAACGTCTACCACACGGACCACGCGTTACTCTTTATTGTTGTCATTATCACGCTGCTGGTGATGATGCTCGTGTCCGCGACACTCTATGCATCCTGCGTGCTGGGACGCGCAGTATCGATGAACTCGCTCGAGATTGCGAAAACCTTTAATGCACCATTGCTTGCGATAGAAGACAGCAACAATGACAATAAGGGGCTGGTCAAAAGTCTTGACGCAAAGCCCATCGATATCGTCCTATCACGGAGCCTACGGAGCATGTATCAGTGGCTGGGGTGAAAGGCAATATTACTGTCATGCAGAGTGGCATGAGGTCTGCGTTTTTGGGAATCGCGGAGCGTGACACGGTTCAAGCTCCACGAGCTGGTCAGCACTTCAAACCTTGAGGGCAGCGTTAGTGGAACTTTCAGGAGCTGGAGATGTTTTTTTGACTTGGTTCTTTGCTTGATGGTGGCAGGGTCGTCAGGAATGTGGGCAACGTTCACTGTCCTAATGTTGTACGAGAGAACACGCTGGAACGTATCCATGGATACTTGAAGACCGAAAATACTTGCGCGAGATCTTCTGGATAAATTTCATACACGGTGACTGGCAAGTTCTTGAACGACTAGGCGATTCTTGTCGCGCGTGAAAATTATTGCCTCACGCGTACATCATCCCCAACAATGAATGATGGAGAAACAGCAAACTTGGCCCGACTACGTGCGTAAGTACAGAAACTATGGTCTCCGATTTCTGACTGGGAAAGCCCCTTCAACTGAGCTACCTGGGCACTTGTCAACCTGGTTCTAGAGATACTTCAAACCGAAACATCTACTGCGACCAACAGATATGCCCGTTTGCCAGTTCCATAAACAAAATAGATGCATGTTTGGGACTGCTTGCAGAAACATCCATGAAGTCAATAAATCACGCACTCACGGTGATCCGCCTGTCGACCCAAGGTCCAACATTATTTGCAAGTACTATATCAGAAATGTGTGCGAACGGGGCGTGAAGTATCCGTTCAGTCACACTGTTGACTCCAGCACTGGCACGGCGCTAGATCAACGCCTCGGTCACGATGGCAGCAAAGAGGTACAGGATTCAAGTGCATGCCCAGCTTGTGGCGGCAAGCCACATGAACAACTAGTTTGCGCAGACGTCAAAGCAGGCAAGAGAGAACGCAATGATGTCAACGACGCCCGGAACTGTCGTACTTGTCTTATGCCTCTTCCGAAGCTTGAGTGCGCTGATCTCGTCATATGTGCGGCATGTAAGACACAAATATGCTGGCAGTGTGAGGAGGAATTTGAAGTGAACGCTACAGCTGAGGTGTTTAACCATTTTGATGTTTTTGAGGATAGAGGGCGAAATAATCCTTAAAGTAAGGTCGTAATAGAACACGCTCTGGTGAATGGATGCTTGAAGACTAAAAGTATGTCGTGATATAATTTTGAATTGTCAACGTATGAATGAAGCAATACTTGTTGTGACTGGGTTTTATATGGATTGATGAGCTCAAGTAGTCTTTGGCAAAGTTACTCGGCGTCGTGTAATAAATCCTCGCACCACAGATTTCCTGACAATGACCGTTCTCCAATAAACCTCGAGCATAGAAGTCTTGAAGAACATATTTCTATCTTGCTACGGGTTCTGTCTACCTATGCAGGTGGGCGTCGGGAAGACGCATGACGCTAACGCACGTGCTCGCGCGCCTCGCTCGAATCGCCCGTCGTGGCAGGCGCATCTTTCTGCGGCCCCACCGTCATCGAGAGACAGACGATTTTCCGCTATAGTGGAGCTTCTTTCACATATCTTTTGGATATTTTAGTTGTCGCACACCATTGTTCAAGGTCTAGCGACACTTTTGGGTATACGGCAGCGTTTGCGCAACGCGGTTGTTGCACGCGACTGTGCCGCGCAGAACAAGACCTAGGGTGAGACAGCAGGTAAGATATCCACAGTGAAGCCGACTGCAAGGCCAGAGTCGTCAAGATGGCACCCAAAAAACCCCGCGATCGCAAACGGCAGACCAAAATCAACTTCTCACCTGCTCCCAAATCCTCGCCTGCAACCAGATCAAGTGCCGCCACAACGATGGGAAACTCGCCTTCGCGACCGAACCTTACGGCTATGCAACCGAAAAAAGCGCCCAGCAGAGCTTCCAAAAACAACAAGAAAGACTTTTGGGGTGAAGACGCATTGGCAAAGGGAATAAGGGAAGGGAAGGAGTTGGGCAAGCTTCTCCATAGCTCTAGGCCTGATTACTCCGACAGTGACTCTGCCGACTCTACACCTCCAGAAGAGGACGAACCGTTGGCTCTTGTCATGTCGCGAAACTACAAAGCGTTAGCGACGCCCAGCGACAGATCCGAGGATGATGTGGATGAGGAAGACGAGGTGCCAGTGGAGGAACCTAAATCACGAAAGCGGAGACGAGCCGCGACGCCCAACGATTCTGATGACGAGGAGCCGACAGTCACAGTCGTCCCACGCAAACGTCAAAAGCGCGTCAAAATCGAGTCGGATAGCTCAGAGAAACCGAAGAAGAAAAAGAAGAAGGACAAGGAAGACAACAAGCGGAGTAAGAAGAAGGAGAGTACATCAGAGGAGGAAGAGACGCAGCCTGCACCTCGTAGCAGCCGGCGAAGGGCTGTGAAGAAGGCCCCAACACCAGACGAAGATGAAGAAGACGACGTTCCTCTCACGCCAGCTCCGAGGTCAAGGCGGAAGACAACCCGCCAGCCTTCTCTACCAGTTGAAAGGGAGGAGGAACAGAGTCCACCACGAAGCACAAGACGCAGACTGAAAAGGCGCAAATCGTCCTCAGAAGATGAAGAAGAAGCTTCAGGTAGGGGGGATGTCGTGTCGGGCGAGGAAGAGTCGGGTGGAGTTGAAGGAAGCGCAAATGACGAAGAGGACGACGAAGAGCAAGATGAGTTGAAGGAGGAACTCGCATTTCTGAGATCATCTCCACTACCAGACCGTGGTAGACTGAGAAGTACGCAAGATAAGCCCAAGAATAAACGACAGGAGGCTCTCGAAGCGTTGAAGAGGCGACGTGCTGGTACTACTAATGAGCCGTCCTCCTCAGTAACACCTGGGCGCAAAAGAGCAGTTGTAGTAGACACAGATTCTGAGTCAGAGCTTGAGATGATCAAAGAAGAACCAGATAGTGATCTCGACGTATTGGAAGAGGATGACATAGAAGATGACGAGCAAGAAGAGTCAGATCGCGATGCAAACGCACTTGACATGTTTCAAGAGGATGAACAAGACGAGCAGTTCATCGACGACGATCCAGACAACATGATTGGGGAACCATCTGTCAACGACGACCTCGACGAAATGCGTCTCGCGTTTAGCTTGTCGCGCGCAAAAACCCGGGACCTGTTCAAACACGCCGTAGAGTGGATGGTCATGAAGAAGATCCACCCAGGTTTTGATTCCAAGAAGAACGTCTACACGCTGACATTCCGTAAATTGGACGACGAAGTCAAGGGTCTCGCCGGATCCAAATACACATCCTCAGCTTGGACAGCCGACTTCACAAGAGCTATCCGCGCACGCCCCGATCTTATGATCAACGAACTCAGTGCTGCCGAGAGAGCCGTCATGTCGCCACACTGCGAAGCATGTAATCGAACCAACCACACAGCGAGTTTCGAGCTCCTCCTCCAAGGCCAGCCCTACCATCCAGAAACACTCGAGCCCTTGTCCACCGCCTCAGATTCCTCAGACTCCGATAGTGACGACAGCGACTCCTCTGGCCTATCATCTGACTCCGAAACCGCGCTCAACGGTGAAAAACCAACGTACAACTACCAGAAAGACCGTATACCACCCGAATCTCACCGCTTCCCTCTCGGCTCAACATGCAAAGCCAATGCACAAGTCGCACATACGCTGTACCACTGGCGGTACAACCTCTACCAGTGGGTGAAGGACCATCTCAAGGCACAAGGGCATCTGTCAGCTGAGAAGCTGGTGAAGAGAGAAGGGAAGAGTGACCGCAAGAGGGAGAAGGAGGCGAGGAAGATTGTGGACGCCATGGAGGCGGACGGACAAATTAAGTCGCTTTGGCATTCTTATAAGACGCAGCTGCAGGCGGCGGTGGAGGCGGATAACGATTATGCTAATGGTTGGGGGAGAAGGGGGTAATGGGGTGGCAATCATAAACATTTCCATGGATTTGGCTGTATTGGTAACATGGATTACCTCTCTCTAGGGTGAACTCGAGACCATTGTGTATACTTTGGCCACGCACTAAGCGATGGCGAATTTGAATGTCAGCATGGCTGCAATTTAAACAAGTGCAACGCATCGATTCGTAGATTTTGGGTATCATGTGCATCGTGAGTTTTGCGAACGAAACCTTGTCCTTCCCCACCTCAAAGCATTTCCTCCACTTCGACAGGCGCCGGAACTTTTTCCGAGATCTCAGCATCCATCTCCTTGCCCTCGCCCTTGACCTCGCCATTCTCCTCCACCGCCGCCGTCTCTTCCTCAACGTCCATATCCTCATCGCTGACCCACTCCCTCTCCTTCCTCTTTTCCTCATCCTCCAGCTGCTCAATCGCAATCTGCTTCTTCGACTTCTTCGTTCCGTCACCATTCACATTCTCCCAGCCCTTGGCCCTCTCTACAATCTTCTTCGATTTGCCTACGCTCTTGGCCCTCTTCTTCTCCAGCTTATCCATGTTTTCCTCGGCACGCTCAAGCCCTTTTTGGTAGCGTAACCGTTGTGCGCGCGTCATCTTTGTGTCTTTCTTTTGCTTCTTCTGGATGCCGGCATCTTTTGCCTTCAGGGCATGAGGATTGGCTTGCGAGGGCCGCGATGGTGAGGCGGAATCTCGGGTTGTGTTGGCGGGCTTTTGGGCGGATTTGTCAAGATTGAGAGAGGGGGAGGCGGCGCGTCGGGCAGCACGTGAGTGAATGGTCACCGCTATGAGCTTTTAGGGAGTGGACATGAGAAGGGTGGTGCTGAGGTACTTACGGCGCTTCTTGACTTTTGCGGTCTTTGCCATTGTGTATTGGTTTTTCTAGTATTGCTAAAGGGCTTCTCGAGGGTGCAAGTGGATGCTCAGAGATATGCGATCTAGTCTGCTAGTCGCGCTTTAACTTCAGATTTCGTTTTTGGTAAAAAGGTCGTGTGTGAATGAAGTCTCGCATGGTCCCAGAAATCTACAAAAGTTCCCCACTAGCTCGTGAACGCCAAAATTCCGGATCCACTTGAGCCGCTAGCGCGTTCCCACACCTGCCATGACCTCTCATAATCGCAGGCCATCGCGGTTGCCCTAGGACATTCTTCACGCCGTTTCGCCGCCACCACCGCGTCGTCGCTCACCCCCGACTGTCGCGCCCAGCTTCTCCCATGTCGCAGACAGACACTCCACCGCGTTTGCTCTGTTCGACCCCTCCATTCATGCGCTGGCCCGACGGTTGAATGTGACCCACCATTTGCGCCCGCCTGCAAGCGTGTTATCCATAGTTTACATACTTTTCGCTACCGCCGCTCCTCCAGCCTGCCCGTAGGAGCCTAGCGTTTCAAATTTATTTCTACCTCCCACCTAGCTATGAGCTACGCAGAGTACCCCGAATTCGAGGCCTATCAACAACGGTGGAACACAACCGAGTCGCATACCATCAACATCACGTCCCTTCTCCTGGGAACTATCATAGGTGCATACGTTCTCATCAAAGCCTTGGACATACTGGGCTTTCCCGTCTGGCATCTTGTCGAACGCTTTCTCCAAATGGCATCCGACGTCCTACGCCTTCGCGGCGCCTCCTTTGGCTCAACAACTTCTGCCTCCAGCGACGACGATTCAGCCCAACAGGGAGGCATGTTCGGTAGTCTCTTTGGCACGACCCCGGGGAACCTGTTGCAAAAGGGGGTACGAGGGGTTGCGAATGCCTTCTCCAAGGGCCCTAGCGACGTGCCACCGGGCTTGGGCAATATCAGCAACTCTTGCTACCAAAACAGCGTTATCCAAGGCCTCGCGTCCCTCCCATCGCTACGCGACCATCTTTCCAAAACCACCTCCGAAAACCCCGCGCTTACCCCGGATACCACAAATGGCGCGCTATTCGATATCATCACACAGCTGAACGACCCGAACAACAAGGGCCAACATTTTTGGATACGTGGCAAGTTGAAGTCGATGAGCACTTTCGAACAACAGGATGCGCAGGAGTATTATAGCAAAATCTTGGACGCGCTAGATGAGGAAGTCAAGAAGACCGCGAGCAGTAAGAGGCGATCCTCTGTCTCCTGGCTGGAAGTTACAAAGAGCCTGAGTGACTCAACAGATACAGACGAGAAAGCGCAAGACGAAACAAAGGACGGACTGCATAAGTCAGGAGCACAACCCCAGGTCCCGTCAAACCCCCTTGAGGGACGCCTCGCTCAGCGTGTTGGCTGCACGTCCTGCGGCTACTCCGAAGGTCTCACCCTTATTCCGTTCAACTGCATCACTGTGTCTCTTGGAAAAAGCTACAGCTATGATGTTCGGGAGTGTCTCGACGAATACACAACCCTAGAATTCATCGATGGCGTCGAATGCGCAAAGTGTACGCTGCTTAAGCTGGAGCGGACTCTTTCGCCTTTAATCGCTGCTAAACCCGAATCGCCACTGAAAGCAAGACTAGACGCTGTACAAGAGGCTCTGGGAAAAGAAGATTTTGAAGATAAGACACTGCTGAAAACCCTAAACGTGCCGAAGAAGAATTGGGTACAGAGCACAAAGTCGAAACAAGCCGTCGTTGCACGCGCGCCTCAGTCGTTGGTTTTGCATGTCAACCGAAGCAGCTTCAATGAATATACTGGCATGCCGTTCAAGAACACTGCGGGAGTCTCATACCCAACAGTGTTGGATCTTGGAAACTGGTGTCTGGGTGGCATCCCTCATGGCTCACAACAGCCCGCTACGTCAGAAGAGGAATGGCCCAAGGACCCTAGACAGTCGATGCTAGCAAGGGATGAGCCTATGACAGACTCGCCATTCCAATACCGATTGCGCGCCGCTGTTACGCACTACGGCTCGCATGGTAACGGCCACTACGTCTGCTACCGTTCGCACCCCAAAACGGAGCCGAAGCCTGAGAGTGATGAAGATGCTGAGGCATCATCCACGGAAGACGAAGAAGCCGAGGATGTTGCCGTACAAGAGCCGGAAGAAGTACCTTCTACACAACAATCAGAACAGTGGTGGCGTTTCAGTGACGATAGCGTTTACCCCGTGTCTGAACAGGAAGCGCACCAAGGGAACGTCTTCATGCTTTTCTATGAGCGTATCAACGAGGAGGCTGTTTTACCACCACATACTACAGCAGAGAGTACATCTGTGGTCGAAGAGGCACCCTTGCCGCCAAATGATATTATGACTGCCCTAGTCACCGCACTTGATGAGGAGGCCGTCGCCATCGCCCTGCCAGATGATGACGAAGATCTACTAGATCTCATCCCACCACAAACAACACCAGTGCCTCAACCAGCCACCCTCGATACCACTTCCGAGCAACACCCAGCGGAAGAGCTAGTGCCGGATTCCCCCACAGTCGGCACTCAAATCGAACCCACCACACTGGATACCGAGACAGAAGCCAGCGACGCAGAATCCGAGGATGCGCCGTCAACACAGTTGACATCCGACAACGAATCAGAGGCCGACGCCCCCACGCCTCCAAAAACCACACCCACTCTCCAAAAGGTCTCACCTAACCTTATGCGCACGGCAGGCAATGCGTCGAATAGAGGGCAAAAGGGCAATGGTACGCAGAGTTTACCGTTGGTGTCTGCTACGTAGTATGTGAGTGGCGCGATGGGTAAACGAGTCAAACTTGGATGGTATTAAGGGAATGGGGAGTTATTATGCGTTCACATTGGGTTTGGGTACGGCATCTTTACCAGGCGTTTCAGTTACCTGTTTGCCCGACAGGGTCAGGTTGGCGTTTTTTCCTTCAAGGACAACGTATTGCTTGTGTAAATAATACGCAGCTAGCCTTTGGGACGAATCGATGTTATTGCATTCTTATGCTCACAATTCTTCATGATGTGATGTTGTCTCCTGGACAAGTGCCACCATGTTGTCAATCTGTATCAACTTCTGGCATGTCTGGCTTAAGCCTTTGACGTGATGCGCATCGCAGTCTAGCTATTACAATGCATTTACGAGTTCTGGGGATGTATATTCGAGCTCAAAAAGGACTGTTTATTCAAACAACTTCCGTAGAGCGGCTTCTTGCTGTCACCTGTTCAGGTGACTCTGGACCAACCATTCATCACAGCATTGCTTGAAGGTAAAGGTACCCGGGACCATTTCTTATTGGCTCAACTATATCGCCAGGCTGTTGCCACGTGAATGGCGTGCATGGGGTTAAGCGAACACGGAAGTCTGGAACCTCACTACATCCCGTTGATGATCACCTCTTGTCCGGTGAATCCTTAGACAGCGAAAACGCCCCATGAGGCTTCACTATTCCGAATGCGCGTTTCACATCTTGAGAACCAGGTCGAAAGCGAGAGGCGCCGATACTAGGGCTCCGCACTTGCCTCCGCACGTACAGGGCCAAGCACGGCATATTCGAGGAAGACCCAGCTGAACAGCTCTGGAGCAGCCACGACTTTTCTTTTTCGCTTCTGTCTTCCCTATTCGTCTATTACGGACCTAGTCTGTCGCATTTCTCCGCTCAAAGTCTTGCCAATTCTGCGAGTCTTGAAGCTTAGCGGAGATCAAAATAGTCCATCCTGCAGATCACGCAACTGCAAGCCACATTCTTGGCACAACAAGCTTGTAGCTGAAAGACTTCGCCAGCGCATACAGTCAATGACTTCTTGACTCTAGTGACAACTCCAGTTCCCGCGCTTTGCACCTTCCTTGGGTCGTTTCTGACATCTATCGCGTGTGCGGGATAGTGAAGAAGCATACTCCGTCGGTCGTATCGCTACAGGAGAATGTAAAACCAATGTCAAGAGAACATGATTTTGTTTAAAAGAGAACGTTCCTAGCCCGTGTCGCTAGACTCCGACCCAAGCCCTCAAGGACCTGGATCTTGGGTAATCGTAGACTTGGATACGAGAAGCATTGTCTTGGCGATTCTCAGCCGCTTCACAACCCCAGGTTTCCCCATGTGGGTACGAGGGACTTATCCAGGGTTTGCAAAGGTCCAGATCAACCTTCGGTAGCCTTGCGGCAACCAGGCTAGTGGGACGTCGCAGTGGTAGCCCATTATGTCTCTGAGACTAGGAATAGACCTTGCTTCTCTATGACCAGGATGAGCATTTCCTACCCGCGGACGACTGACTACGCCGCAGTGGAAAGTTCGTGGCAGCCTTGTCCTCCCAGCTGTCCTCGCCACACTTCTTGGAAGTATCGATGGCGGACGCCATGGACATCCTACTGGTCACGGAGACGGCAGTGGGTTGACTGAAGCATTTGCCAAGCTTCGAGACCTACAGCATTCTCTTGACTGTCTCCAAATACCGGAGGAGACGAGGTCTGGGTGTTTATCTTGGCGCACTGGTACTATCATGTCGTGTTGAACTTCGAGCAGCGCGACTAATGTCCAACTCAGATACGGAAAGGTGGGTTCCTTGATATCTATATAATCGCCATGTTTCCCATTCCAGATTGTTATTCACACCAGATCTTCACCACACATTGTCACAATTGGGCAGTTCAAGATGTCTCGTGTATCAAAGGTTGCCTCTTTCCTTGCGCTGGCCTCAACAAGTCTGGCGCAACTCCCAAGTATTCAGCCATTTACTGTTACTGGATCTCTTGATGGGTACGTTTGTTACTTGGGGTGTAAGCCCAACACTAACACGAGATAGTTGTGCGTCCACGGGCTCAGAATACAATGCTGGTGGTAGTATCTCGGTCAACAACTTTGCAATCGAAGTACCGAAGAATCTCATCGTTCAGTTCCCGGTAGTATGGGCACCGTTCCGAGAGCTTTGTGATGCTGGAGCTTTTGGTTTCGAGACTACAGTTGTTGGCAATATTGTCGACGGCAAAGTCATCGCCGGCCAGATCTCAGTCGCTCAACGCTTCGGTCTCGAGGGAAGCCAAGGCTATATCTCAAAGATCAACGACGACGGTACGCTCCAGATAGCTAGTGGGCCGACAGTCCGCATCAATGATCCTGATGGTTTGTTCGGACCACAGTACGACTCTCAAAAGTACTGGATCGCTGATACAGCCAACCCTTCGGTATCATCTTTCTCAGGCTTCCCCATGTGCATACCGTACTCTGGAAACACCGCAAAGTGCTCGAGCTCCAATCGCCCTTCCGGCCAAACATTCATACCACAAGACCCCCTTGCCATGGTACCTCTCAAGGTCGGCGATTTCATCGAATACTCTGGTCTCAAGAACGGTGGTGGCGAGATCCTCGCTTCGTCTATTGTATGCATCAGCTTGCACATTACCACTCAAGCTGGTGCGAACGTACCTAACTACATTCGGGTTGAGGACTTTCTTGTTGGCGTACCAGACAACTCTGCGAATGTGGAGTTTGCCGATATCCGTGCCATCGGTTTCCTCTCCAGCTGTGCTGGTGCTACAGTCACCATCAGTGCCATTGATGTCGACCCTTGCACGGGAAAGGAAACCTATCGACCCATCGGTACAACCCAGCCGAAGCAAGAAACTCGTTGCAAGTGGGAGGCTCGCATTGCTCCGCAAGCTCAAGCTCCTTTCACCCGTGAGTACCGCATCACGACCAACAGTCCAGTCCAGACGACCAAAGATGGCATCAAGGCAGGACAGTTTATCGCAGCTGTTAGCGAGTGGATCTTTCCCGAAGTTGATGTCCCCGGAACAAACCCACCGCCGTACCCGTTCAATGACATCAGAGGCCTGGTACAAGGAGACTTCCTCGACGGCAAACAGTATGGTCCTCTCTCGCCCTTCCCAGGCCCGACTCCACCAGCGCCATCCAAGACCTGCAGTCCCGCAGATATCCCAGATCCGAATGCCACACCCACACCCACACCCACACCCTCACCTTCTTCCAGCCCAGAAACACCTTCTGAACCATCCACACCCCAGACCGCGCCAATTGCTTCCATTGCCACTTTTGCATCTGCGCTCCGTGTTGGCACAGACGTCACACTACTCGGCTCCAACACTGCCTCTGGCCTCAAAGACACTGATCTGAACTTTGCCTGGACCAAGACCACACCCTCCAGCCCGGCCATCAGCATAACCAATGCCAACAGCCCCAGCGCCACATTCCTCGCACCAAAAGTTACAACAGAAACCTCCTTCACCTTCGAACTGACCATTACCTCCAAAACCGACACTACGAAATCTAGCAAAGCAACTGTCACTGTTAAGATCAACCCCACGCTCGCTGACACTGTCACTATGGATACCTACACATGGGAGTCACGGCAGTCAGGCAGTATAACCGCGTCTTGTACTTCCAATGTCAAGAATGGGGATAACAAGAGTATGACGCTGCTTCTCAATGGAACAACGAGACGCACCATGGTGGCCGTGAGTGGGCAGCCGGGAAAATGGACGTACAGCGCTAGGGACACGGCGAGGCCGACTAATGTCAAGTGTGTGAGTGATTTGAAGGGAGAGAGTGCGCTTAGGGCGGGGACTGCTACAACGAGGAAGAGGAGAGCTTTTATTGCCTGATTGGAGAGTAAGGCTGGAGGCGTTGTGTTGCGAAGTTTTTGTATATATTCAGTTTGAGGTTCTCATGCAGTAATGAATGACATGATCTATAAGTAATAGCTGTCAGTGGGTTGAACGTCCATGCTACGTATAGCAGACTGTGAAGATTAGGAAGTTGGTAATGAACACGACCGGCCGGTCGACCAACACTTCGACTGATAAGACTTGTTTGTTAGCAGCGAACGTCAATGCGGGTAGAAACATGGGCATGCCCTAATTGTCGATGTAACAATCTTAGAGATTTGTCTTTGCGGATTGTCCAAGATATGTCGGCTTGTTTGCTTCTTGTCGTTAAGAAACATCACAGGGATGCCTTCGATGCGAATCCGGAGCTAATAGCTGTTCTCGTGGGTCATCCTGTCGCATGATTTAACCATCACGTATGCCCTAGGTACCACAGCACTCCACATCTCCAACGGCAAATCAACAGCATGTTGTGAATTCAGGATTGATTTCTCATTGCATGCAAAGCCGGATATCTCCCCCATTACCCGTAAACAATGTTATGAGGAAAATACGCCATGCAGAAACATCCCCGCCCGACTACAAAGCTCACTCTCTCAGCTTCGCTTTTCCTTAATCTCGAGCCCATTTCCTGTTTTGCTTGATCGTGATGCGGTCGGGTCGAGGGCAACTTTGTTTTATCGTATCGTCAGGTAATCATCGTTCGTCACTTGCGCCCATTTCTACTCCTGCCGTTCGAAAATGAAGGATTTAACGGTGCTGTTAAGTCGTTAGCTTCAGTGTTCCTCCGTGCACATGATGTGAAGTATGGGTATAAAGTATGAAGCAGAACATACCTTGACGAAGCCAATGTCGGAGCTCTTCTCACGGAAGCACTGACGGCAGATGTTGAGGCCGTACTTGCGGATCAGACCAGCGGGGTGGGTGCAGACGCGGCTGTGAGTACTGTGTTAGCCTTCGGGTCCTGGAAAACATGCACCGTTGTATCCAAATCTGTCCAATCCCCCTCCTGCGAGACCAACACGGTGCGCTCGCCCACCCAGTACATATAACCAGCGCTCGCACGCGCATTATCCAGAGTTTTAGACGTACCACTCGCGGGAGCCCTTGCCGTAAGTCCTAGGGCGGGAGTACCAGACCGACTCGTGAGACATGATGTGTGGTTGAGGGTTTTGACGGGGGTTGTCGTTTGCTGCCTTAGTATTAGCAAATTATCGCTACAGTAATTCCTGTCGCAGCTTCAAAAGGTATACGCACAGTATTGACTTGTGTCGTCGGCGGAGATCAATCGGGCGTGCGTAGGCTTGTCGGTTCACAATGGTGGGATTGCGGATTTCGAATGTTGTGTGGGTTGGCCTGTGCGTACGCTAATTTGACGGCGCAGCTCATCGCGACTGGTCGCTGTGCCAAGACATCGACACAATCTACGGTTTTTGTGATAAGATGCCAAATGCGGTAGTTTAACTAGTGAAAAGCGGGGTCATGGAGCATGGCGGGATCTGGAATTGGATGCTGTAACGCCGCATAGCGGCTTGCTGCTTGTACATGTGCGATTTTGTGCTCTCTCGGTCGGTCAACCAGCTATGGCACCATCACACGTTTGCATTCTCAGAGTCGAGAACGTTCTAATAAAGCAATTTCATTATCTCGAAAGCGAAATTTAATCGCCTCATAGAACATCATACAGAGGAAGCGTTAGGAAAGCCGCCTGCAATGGCTAACGCCGGAGCGCCATGCTTGGCTGTACTACACAGCGAACGAATCGATGAAGAAACATCAGACATCTGCCACTGGATATAACCTCGCCGTAAACATGCGTAAGAAGTGACGAAGTAAACAACGAGAAACCCCCACTCAGATCACAATACCTCTCACAACAGCTCACTCAATCCCCAAGGATACTCTCCTCATCGTCGCCATTGGGCTGCTTCTCCGGCTCCTCGCCGTTCTCACTGCTCTGTTGTTCAACACCGTTGGTCTGCTCGGCGTCGTCATCACCATCAACCATTTCCTCATCCTCGATCTCGTCACCTGGAACCTCGTGTTCTGGCTCCTGGCCCTCCTCATCTTCCTCGTCGCTATCGAGTTCTACAACTTCTGCACTCTTGGCCGATTTGGCATCCGACTTGTTCGGCTTTGCACTGCTCTTCTTGGCAACTTTGCGCTGCTTGACGACGTCAAGATGGTTCACGATTTCCTTCCAGGTGGGTGTGAGCTTCATCTTGTTGCGCTCAAGACGCTTGCGTACGGTGCCTGACCCGTCATTATCAAGGGCGCCGACGAGTACGGCGTGAACGATGCGGCCACCGAATGCGTCAAGCGATTGCTCTGCCAAGGCGGCACGTACTCGCTTCTCGGAAATGCCAGACTCGTCTGCAGCGTCTTCTTCGTCACTCTCAGGATCATCGTCTGGATCGATAGGATCATCATCAATGTCTGGCTCTTCAAGGCGCTTGTTGGTGAGCTTAGCCAAGTGGTTTTCCCAAGCCGTGAGGATTTGTAGGATGAGTTTCGTGGTGTTGCCATCGATATCCTGGCAGAGAGCTTCCCAATCATCGTGGGTTGAGTTTGAGGCGCGACCTTGTGTTTTCTTCGGTGTCTTCACGACCTTGCCGTTGTTCTTCTTGACCCGGAGTGTGCAGAACATAGTGTAGATGTCTAGCAAGAGGTTCGCAGCGTTGAGTCGTACTTCATCTGTGCCTTTTCGGCTCTCCATGATGCTCATCAATGTTGTGATGCAGGTATCTCTTCGCTCGACTAGGGACATGAGTTCGTCTTCTGGCATGCTGGTGCCCTCCTCGACATGCGTGGTGCAATCTCTGCACTTCCACATGAAGTACATGAGCATGACCGACATAGCATGGCGGACAAGGGTGTCGTCTGCCTCCTCAATCTCTGCGTCTAGATCCTCGACTGGCACTCCGCGCTCGAGTATCTGCAACACTGAGTCAATAGGCGGTGATGTCAGGGCGGCCTTCTTGCCCCTGCCTTTTGTTTTTGGTGGAGCGGGAAGCTGATCAAGCACAGAAGCGTCTGAGACCGTTACTAGCTGCGCTATCTTCAGTACCACATTGGATACGCCGCGGAGGATATTCTGATCGAGATTACCTCGCACGGAAAGATCCTTGTCTCGTCGAAGAGCATCGAACGTGTTGGTCAAGTCATCCCATAGCGCTTGCACCTTGAGATCGACGGTCTCTCGTAACTCTTCACTGCCTTGGGCATGTAAGATTGACTTGATAGCCTCTCCGAGAACACGCTCGTTGTGATGAGTGAGGAATTGCTTGTTGATGTCGTCGAGCAGGGCAGTAAGAGCTGCGTTCTGTCGCAATTCTTCGAACACGTCCAGATTTAGCTCGCGTTCTATTTGAAGGCACAGTGCTGCTGTTTCAGGCAGAGCACCAAACTTCTTGAGGAGCTGAGGAATCAGCAGTGAAAGCCGCCGAGCCATATCTGACTGGTCTTCCATATCGCTCTCGCGCTGCGTCTTGGTCTTTTTCTTATCCTTCTGTGCCTCCGCCATGCGCTGCAGTTTGCTACTGACCACTGCACTCAGAATGTCTAGGAGGATGGTCTCGTGCTTCTCTTCGAGTTGACATGTTTGACGAAGAACGATTTCAGGGTCGTCGCTCTCATCCTGGTCAGTCTGAGAATGGTCGTAGAGAAGATAGCCAGCCACGACCTCCCACGATCGAATTTCCGGAATCACATCATATAATGCTTGTGCAGCGAGCGAGCGGCGTGACTCCACACCAGAGGCAATCAAAAGCAACTCAGTGCCTGGCGACATGCGTTGAATCTGTGAAGGCAACTCAGCTTCATCTTCATCGTACGAGAGTAACTGGTCGACAAGACACTTCAGCTTCAACCATTCAAGTCGTGGATTGTGGTACTCTTCTTCTTCATCATCAGGTGGTGCCAGGGCTTCGTTAAGAGCCTCTTCACCACCCATCTCCTCGACAGTAGCCTCGTATGCGGCGTTGACGTTCTCGGCGAAGAAGCCTACCACAGCCTTGCGGACTTTTGCGTCGGAATCGAAGATGAGCTTGCCAACCGAATCGATATCGTCAGGCTCCAGGAAGCCAGCCTCTCGGAGTATGTCGAGCAGGTCGACTGCTGCAGCACGCACATTGATCTCAGCGTCTTGTGTGGCCATCTCGACGATACGTGGTCGAAAGCGTTCGGTGAAAGTCTTGAGCCCGGCCAGTTTACTCTCGTCTTTGAACAAGCGCGCGAGCTGGTGGAGAACCTCTATCCGTGTTGATGGAATTGGGTCCGAAAGCACCCAACCCAGATAGCGAAGTTTGGTGCCATCGAAAAATTTGTCGGGGTATGTGATGATCCAGTCTGCTAGGGCTACCACACTGTCTACCCTGATCCTGGGATCCACATCACGGTACCGATGCACATAGACGGCCGCAAACCAGTCGTCCAGCTGACTGCCTACAAATTCCAGCTTTTGGTTGTACTCTTCAATCTCATGATCCGCCGCAGAGACACGGGCTTTGTTGACTCTCGATTTCTTGGCTTCCGCTTCGCTTTGGCGAACACGCTTGGCTGTGTTCTCGACAAGGTCAGCAGCAACTTGTGCCAATGCGGTCGTGATGGCTAACGAAGCAACGGTGCTGGTGTGACGGAAGGGACGATTGCCGGTAGAAGACATGGCGCCCAGCCACACTGAGATGTTCTCGATGAGCTCGGCGCTCTCGTACAAGAGGCCTGACTGCGCTACGGTTTGTATCAGAGTAACGAAGAAGCCGTGTAGCGCGTTTCTGAAAGCTTGACCACCGCCGTCTTTCGCCTTTGCGATCAGCGGATACTCTGTGACTTCGTACTGCGATGGTTAGCATATAGAAGGCTATACAACACAGGCCAATGCCTACCTGCTGGAACTCTTCCTGGATCTCGGCCACGCGATTTGGCGCGTTGTCGGGGTCTGATATGTCGTCCTCGTTTATCCGCAGATCGCATCCGGAAGCTTGCAGCACTAAGTTGACGACCTCAGCTAGAGCCTTTGCCTCGTGCTCGTTGAACCGAGAGATCCATTGTGCAGTGACATCTTCGAGTCGGTCTCCGCTGGCAAACACGTCGGCTATTGCGCGTTAGTTTGTGCATGTTCCCGGCGTACCCGCACACCTACCATATAGTCCTTCCGTCTCATCGGGCAGCGCGCTCTTGCGTATAGGTGCCTTTCGTGGGCGCTTGGACACTTTCTTGGTCGCATTGTTGGCGGGTCGGATGGCCAGACTGACGCTGTCGCCATTCGTCTTGGCCTTTTTGGATGCAGGCTTGCGCGCAGTTGCCTTGGCCTTCTTCCTGCGCCTGCGCTCCCTCAATTCCTCCTCATCTGGTTCGCCCTCGCTGCTTTCCTCAGACTCTTCCTCAGATGGCGGCTCAGTCGCGTCGACCCCGCTGTCATTGTCGTCGCCGCGCTTTCGCTTGGTGCTGCCGGTTGGACTTGCGCCTGGCGCGAATCTGGCAGGTTTCTTGGATACGCGTCCGGATTTGCGTCGCGCGGCAGAAGATGCGACTTGGTCAGCCCCCGAGGGCGATTCGGCCGCGCTCATGATGTTTGCGCGCGATTGTTCAGTTGATGGTTCCAGAGGTTGGGGGGCAAAAGCGCGGCGCGATTGGTATGCTTGGAGGCGGGGACGGTGATGGGAGACGCGTTGTATGTCCGAGCACTTTTAGTGCAAGGTTGCGCGCACGTGCGTATGACACTACGCCATCGACGTGTCGCCTCTGGCCTGCATTCACCTGACGCCACTTTACTAGTCCCTGATGATCGGCTATATGGCAGACTTATATAGTTCACTTGGTCGAAATTAGTTCTCGGCTAACATATGTTGCATTATCGGATCAGTCCGTCTATGGGTCTATACGTATATACAGTAGCAAAGCAACCATTCATGGTGGCACAACATGCGCTCAGGCAGCAGCCTTGACCGGCTCGCCCTCTTTGATGTCCAACTTTTCAACACCTTCAACAAGCTCCGCACCCCCGTTGGGTGCGGTACTGGCACCCTCGACTGTTGTAGGAGGCTGGGTAGCCTCTACTGCAGTGTCAGTGGCTGTTCCACTTGCAAGGCTGGGCTCATCACCTCCCCAGAGGTATATCTCGCTCTCTCCGATTATCTTGCCAGCCTTCTCCCATCGCTCCTTCCTTTGTTGTCTCCGCTCATTGGTGAGCTTCTCTAGTGCTGGCCAGTAGACAGAGTGGTCGTACTTAAAGTCGACTTCACCGCCAGAGACCTTCATGAGCTGAGATGCAGGTACATGGTTGGGCAGAGGCTCGTTGGGCTTAATCTTGGACTTGGTGACGGGATCGATAAACGGGTTCACGAGCTTGAGGAAGGCATTGACATACCAAGGGACTGTTTGTGTTGTTAGTATTGCTCTTAGAGAAAAGCAGGAGGACGCTTACGGTGTGTGAGTAATGCCCGGCCAAGTCGCTCTGGATAGTGATTCTGCAGGATATCGAGGACCTGTTTGGCGGTGGCCAAGCTAGGGGTACCACCAGCTCCAGTGTTCCTGAAGTCGATCAACAATGCCAGACTCTCTTGACCAGGCGGGTGCATGTCGATGGTGCGCTCAAGCATGTAGACCAAGTGCTCTACCCGCTTAGGCGTCTCCTTGGTGTTCTGGTTCTGAGGCAGCAGGTACAAGCATGGCCTTCCCTCGTTATCGAAACCAAGCAAGACCTGCTTGCCGGTTGCATTCTCTTCTGAGATGTATTCGGCGGTGAATTTGTCGGTGCCGTACTCGCGACGCCATATCAGTGTCCCGCGCAGACGCTGGGTGGCTTGAGGAAGGTTCCACTTTGTCGCGCGAAGGTATCGAAGGAGACATTCACGGGTGAGCCAGATACGCTCATCGTCGCTGATTGGTGATTCTTCGGCACCCTTTGCTGAAGTTGTGGGCAGAGTTTCCCATGTCCGGACATCGGCGAGAAGCTGGTCGTATTTGGTTTGTTGGTCGGCGGTCAAGGCAGGAGCGGCTGCAGGTTTGCAGCCTGGTGCAGGCTCTGCGAAGGGGCCAATGGCAGACATGATGTCGAGTTTTGGATTTGATCTATGGAATTGACTTTGTCCGTGTCTGTTATCCAAGAATTTTAAAAGACCTCCTTGTTGCGGCGTAGGAGTATCGGTCAGCCTGGGAACTTTTGGGGAACAAGGCGGTCCCTGCATGTACGTCGATCGCCCTAGGCCTTCTTTATGCTAGCCCCACACCGACACGCGCGACGCGTCTTCTGAGTTTCCACGCGCAAAGTGCTTTCACCGTCATCATCCCAGAACATCGACAAACACACACAGAATGGACGACCTCACCACAGAGCTTACCGAGCGCTTCGAGCGCTACTGCGACATGAAGGGGGATCAATTCCCCGCTGACGTCCTCGCTGAATTACAATCGATGTCGCGGTTATATTCCATCTCACCCGAGGAACTGGACTTCAAATGGCAGGCGTACAACATGAAGATGGGTGGAGAAGAGAACAAGATGGATGTGAAGACAGCACGGGACTTCAAGAAAACCATACAAGATGCATTGGAACGCGAAAGCAGAGGGAAGGCACAGCAAAGAAATGAACCCAAGCGGGGTCAGCCAACACCAAGAGCGAAGGGTGGGGACATGTATGACATGTACGTTCGAAGCAGTCATGACCCGAATAAATACCTGAGCTGACTGGAGATAGGCTAGAGGGACTCGTACCAGGCACACCACATCGGCCCGCACCCAGTGGCGCCAATGGAAGTACAGTAAAACGCAAAGCCAATTTCAACACACCAGGAGGCAAGGCCACCAAGGCACATGAGATGAGTACTCCTGGTGGTGGCATGACACCAAAAGCTGAAACCCCAAGTGGACCGTACGTATTCCAGTTACACTGTGTAGACATGCTCTAACATTCAGTCAGTGTCTTTGACTTTGCTTCCCGTACCAATGCGAACGACATCACCGAGCAGTTTGTGCAAGGCGACATTCCCATTCCAGAACCACCATCGGAAGAACCGAAGGAACCCCGCATCAAACTCAAGGCCAACACAGACATGTCTAAGTTCTCATATCGCACCATGGCCATGAAGCTGTCGGAAGCGTCTGAGGTCTTGGATGATAGGATCGACGAATTCCGTGATCTTCTCAGGGACACCACAGGTCTGGACGAAAGTGCATTCGGAAACCCAAACTACCCGTCTCCGAGCGAGATTATCGCAGTAGGGAGGATAGCAAACGATACGAGCGAAGGCAGGCTCAATACAGCTTCAATCGTACTCGAAGGCTCCCGGAGACATGGCTCAGGGCGCCGTGTACCGCTGAACGTGGAGGGGCTATCGTCATACGATTTCTTTCCCGGTCAGATTGTTGCTCTGCGTGGCACTAACGCTTCAGGAGACTCATTTGTAGTTTCTGAAGTCCTCCCCCTTCCACTTCTGAACCCACCAGCCACGAAACCCGAAGAGCTAGATGTCATCAACGCGCGATACCTCGATACCCCAGATTCTGATCCTGACAACGTCCGACCTCTGACCATCATGATTGCTTCTGGCCCCTACACTACTGATCAGAATCTCGACTTTGCGCCGTTGCACACCTTTCTTGACAATGCTGCCGAAGCATATGCAGATGCCATCATCCTGGTAGGCCCATTCCTCGATGCTGAGCATCCTCAAATTCGGTCAGGAGACTTTGATGTACCACCAAACGCAAGCCCAGACCAGGCCACCATGACGGATCTGTTCCGATACCATGTCTCCAGCGCTATTCAGAACTTCAACAAACGTGTACCAACCTGCCAGGTTCTTCTGGTTCCTAGCTTACGAGATGCACATCACCACCATGCTGCATTTCCCCAAGACAAGTTCATCAAAAAGGAGCTCGGCCTGGGTGCTGCAGGAAAGATGGTTCAATGTGTCACCAACCCAATGACTGTCAGTATGAATGAGATGACCGTGGGTATGTCCTCGATCGATATCCTAGATATGCTGCGTAGAGAAGAGCTAGCAGGCGGCAAGGCACGAACAACCAACATCTACGAACGATGCGCCCGCAACGTTATCGAGCAGCGAAGTTTTCTGCCTCTGTTCCCGCCAACTGGAAGGGAGAAGCAGCAATTCATGCCAGCACCAATTGAGGAAAAGGTCATGAAAAGTAATGCAGCGAACGGTGAGCAGAAAGAGGGCGAAGAACCAGAATTGGACCAAGCACCGAGCCCATTCCTTCCTCTGGGCACCATGCTCGATACAAGCTATCTTAAGCTGGGTGAGATGCTGAATGTACGACCTGACATACTCATCACCCCTAGTGTGCTTCAAGGCACAGTCAAGGTATGTTCGGTGGTTCAATCTACTTTAAAGCGACATGCTAATCTCGAATAGGTTGTGGAGTCGGTACTTGTCATCAATCCTGGTACCTTGGCTAAACGCCGTGCGGCAGGAACATATGCCCGCGTTATTGTTCAGCCTGCTGTTGTCAGTGAACCAGAAAGGGAGAAAGGGTTTGCAGTTGCACATAAGCTCTGGGAACGGACGCGTGTTGATATTGTGAGGATTTAGGTGTTTGGTACTGAGCATTGGAGGTGTCTGGCGTTTTCTAGTAGCGAACAGTGGGAAAATTGCATGCCTGCAGGGACACCTGGAGCGTATGAATGTGACTTCGGGATGATGAATGTAACATGTCAGCAGTATAGATTAGCATTTTGGTGCTCCAATCAAAGAACTCACAAATGGCACTTTCCGATATCTAAGTCCGAACGTGGAAGGCGCATAGTCACGGTTGTTATGTTTGATGTTTGTAGTGAAGACAAGAACACATGATGCCGCGTCACTTTTGTGATTTGGGTGCTAGCTTGATGAGCCCACGGTACTCCGTGTCACTTCTTCGCGCCTCCCTCATCGATTCGACTCAGAGCCTGACTGGGTCCACGTCCTCATTCAGAGCTCACCATAGATTTTGGAGAATTTGAATTGGCACAAACAGATTCACTGCGAACATTCAACCTGCTTTGGGAACACACTAGCTGTGTCCCCTCGCGCACGTCGCAGCATCGCTTCCAGTGAGAGCAAGCAGCTTTGTTATGGTATTTGGTGACCTGATACGTCGGTTTCTCTGTTGCAGCAAGCGCACAGATATAAAGGAAACGCACGAGCTTCCTAGTCGACCAAAGCAGAATTCGCTCGTCCCCAGCACTTCGAGTCACAGTCCTCAATACCTCGCTGCACCACAACGACATATACACGACTCAGCCGGCGGCCTCAAAGAATACGACCCCGAATCCTCGATGGCGCCTAAGCGTAAGTCTACAGAAGCCACCGCCGAGTTGGATAGTCCAGTGAAGAAGACGAGGTCTACAAAAAAAGAAGGTAAGCAGTCAAGTTCTCCTCTCATTCATTACTATTCCAGTCCCTGCTTCTGGAGCGACGCACGTCAAGTTGCAGAGCTAGCTTGTCGCCGCGGCCTTAATTCCGGGGCTTGGATGCACGAACAAGGGTGGAGTTGACTCGGCGGGGTCGGCTTTACAAGTGCTGCCTCGTCGGTCGGTGCGTCACATCTCGCCCAAGTTGTCGCCAACAAAGAGATTGCTCACGACGGTTCTGTGAGAATAAAGCGCGCAACCAGGATCTACACTCACTCAGCGTGCTTTGAACCTCTCTCACTATTGCACCATCTGCCTCTCGCCTACTTTCGCCCCCCAGCTTACTCGACCCGCCTGCAACCCCGCGGTTTCTGCTCACCTCGAACTTTCGACCAACCAACCAACACCTGCGATCTGGCATACAGCGCTAACACAAAATGCCTACAGTCTACTCTTCTCAGCAAAAGGCTGCGATTCAGCAATTCATCAGCTTCACTAATCTCGACCGGAACACCGCGATAAGGGCACTGAAGAGCCATGGCTGGGATGCGCAGAATGCCGTAAACGCGTAAGTACTGCTTTTTCTTTTGTTCCGAATATATACACAGCACTATCATTATACCTTTGTCGTATATGTGGGCACGGTGAATCCGTGGGCTACTCGAACGATCTCGATCTATCGACCGACCGACCGACCAACACCTGGACACATAGCAAGTATACTTGCAAACACATACTGGGAAGGAGCAAATTGATACGCGTGGATACGGCTGTAGTAACAGGATGCTGGAGGGAGAAGCAGGAAGTCGCAGTCGCAGCCGCATGCAGGCCATGGCTGGCTGTTGGGTCGGGAGCAGCTGCGCTCTGCGAGGATGCAACAACATCCAGAGGCTCCTGCTCAGAGAGTCATTCGCTTTCCCGGCATGGACCTGTTGCTATTTCTTCTACAAAGCTCCTGCGCCGGCATTTGTTCTTCGACCGTATCCTCCAGCCCACAACAAATCCCTTAACGAGCTTCTTGTCTGTTGCGCCAATAGACTACCGCCCCACCGACTATCCAACATCGAGCCAGGTCAGCGCCATCATCATAGCCCGTCATGTTCGGTTCCTCGCAGGATAGAGCCAGACAACTGGCTGGGCGTAATCGACGAGAGAGGATCAGCTCGATCAGCTCATGTTCCAGCTCTCACTCCATGAGTCTATCCAATCGACCGTCTCAGCGGCGAGATCCCCCACCCGCAGGAGTATGCACGGTCGAATCGACCACAGCTGTCGATGAGCCTACCGCTTGTGACGACAGTGATGCTTCCATCAAACATATCGTCAAAAATGGAGTTCATGCAGTCAATGATGTTCCTATACTACTTTCTGTACCACAACTGGCGAATGGTGTAGAGGCTTCGCACTCAGAGCAACATCGAATTCGAGCAGAACACCTGAGTCAGGTGCTGCATCACAACCTTACTCTCGCGAACGTAACCGATGTATCGGAAAGTGAGTTCACTTTACGTCGTCACACCCGGTACGGTAGTCTAGGAACGCATACAGACACTCTGCAACACTTGCGCAGCATCACGACTCCCGTTCCGCCTACACACCTGGCGAACTCTCCACCTGAGAGTTTGTTGGCGATATTGGACATCAATGGGGCGACTTCCCTCCACGCCTCCGCTTCTGATCGTCAACTGAGGTCACAATCAACTATGTCGCTTCGGGGTGGTTCAGGCTACGACCGTCAAGGGCGACGGAAACCAAACTGGCAGCTTGCCTTAGAAGAGATCATCAGGGACGACAATGCTTGGCTCCGAATGAATCCTGGGCAAAGCTTGCAGAGTCGGTACGATACGCAGACATATATCAACCTTGGACCACGACCCATCCCACTGCGTAGAACAAGCCCGGTTTTGATTTATATAATGCCAACCGCCAACTCATGCAATATATCATCAGAGGCTGACCATTTACACAGTTACTACAGCGGCAACAGCGGCGGCGGTGCGCAAGCTTCATCCGCAGCAAAGGCAAACCTGACCAAGCTCTTCGATCGGTACCAAGAGGCTGGCGCACCCGACAAGGATATTGTTGGCGTAGAGGGTACCATGCGGTACTTCGAGGAAACGGGCGTCGATGCCGAAGGTCTAGAGGCGTTGGCTGCTCTTGAGATTGTGCAGGCGCCCACTATGGGCGAAATGAGCCGCGATGGCTTCGTCAAGGGTTGGTCAGAACGCAGGTGAGTGACACGGCTGCAACTATCTACTTCCACATTACTATGTATCTGACCCATGCAGCTGCGATACCGTCGACAAGCAGAAGGCGTACCTGAAAAATGTCAAGAGCGAGCTGCCTGACAACAAAGAGCTCTTTACACGCATCTACAAATACACATTCACCATTGCCAAACCCACAGATCAGAGAGCTGTTCCACTCGAGATGGCCGCCGTATATTGGGAGTTGCTCTTCAGCTCACCCCTGTCGGCAGTCAAGTGGTCGAGCCCCAATACGCCATGGTTGAGCTGGTGGATCGAGTTCCTCAACACATCGTGGAAGAAGAGCGTCAACAAGGACATGTGGAACGAGACGCTCAAGTTTGCACAGCTCTCACTAGCCGATGAGTCGATGAGCTTCTGGAACGAGGAGTCTTCATGGCCTTCCGTCATCGACGACTTTGTCGAGTTTGTCAAGAAGGACAAGCGCGGTGGTACGGATGAGCAGCCGATGGACGAAGACGAATTGTGATTTGGACTCAGGACTTCCTATGCCTACTAGCGGGGAGTTATGGTAGATGGCATTTTTTTTTCTTGCTCATCAGAAGGCGGCTTTACACTTGATGCATGGTTACGATAATTCATGGGAGCATTACATACATACCCCTTGGCCAGATTTATGGCGCTTCGATAAGAGCATCTTCTAGTAAATAGACTAGCTCAGCATGAGTAATTCAGAGGCTGAGCGCCATCTGCGTTCTGTCGTGCACATGAAGTGATTGTATGAAGAAGATTGAAGGTGATCACCCTGGTTAGGCAAAGCGACAAGATCTAGCTAGTTACAAGATGTATCTATCTGCTGTGGGTCCAAGATACTTTCCAGATTCAGGGCACAGGCAGAAGCAGGACGTTTGCAATTCTCCGTTGATGCATACGGGACTTTCCAACTGCGACGTTCTTAGCCACGCGACAGTGCTTCACCTGCGCTCGCCGAGAATTTTGATGGTCGTTGCGCCTCTTGGTGTGGCTAGGGCCACGGCGTAAGCGAGCTGCACTAGCGTCTTCCACTGTGGTGCGGCGCCTTCGCAAAATCCATCAACGCCAACTTTTGACGACACCCCACGACAACTAACCACACAGCAGTCAAAGTGCGTATACCTCGAGGAATGCTGCTGTAGCTCTACTGACCGCAGCCAGATGGTCGCCGCTAAGAAGCATGTCCCGATCGTGAAGAAGCGTACGCCGAATCTACCTCCATGACCTCGAAAACTCGCGACTGACGTACCGTATAGACCGCAAGCGGTTCAACCGCCACCAGTCGGACCGCTTCATGTGTAAGAGACACCGGCGCTGGGAATGAAAAGATGGGAATCTGACAATGGACAGGCGTTGACCCCTCATGGCGCAAGCCTAAGGGTATCGACAACCGCGTCCGCAGGCGGTTCAAGGGCCAGGCTGCTATGCCCAAGGTACGGACTACCTACTACCCGGATTGAGGAGGATGACTGTCACCGACAGAACGATGGGCGCGACACGACATGTTTGATGGAAAAAGGCTGACGGAACGCCTCACAGATCGGATACGGCTCCAACAGGAAGACCCGCCACATGATGCCCTCCGGCCACAAGGCTTTCGTTGTCAACAACGTCGCCGATGTTGACCTTCTCCTCATGCACAACGCCACCTTCGCCGCAGAGTACGTGCACCAAGTCTCCCGTCGCTCAAGCAAGGCACTAACAGCTCCTCAGGATCGCCCACGCTGTATCAGCACGAAAGCGCATCGAAATCATCGCCAGGGCGAAGCAGATCGGTGTCAAGGTTACCAACGGCAAGGCCCGCGTTAAGACCGAGTCGTAGATGGGTGCGGATTTTTACTTTGGGGCGGGGCATACAAGGCGTCTCTCTGATTAGTTACGATCTCAATGGGAAGGCTTTCCATCCTCTTCGGCTCACAGTACCCCTCGACTACGGTATGGGAAGAGGCATGCACTTCAAAAAGCATTGCGACATGTTACTGCGGAATGACCAAAGATATCAAGGGACACGAGCAGTAGGAATGCAATGAAAAAACGAGCCAAATCAGGATTCCTCGAATGACGTAGGATTTGTGATATGCTGCTTTTTGGCGCGTTTGGCTATCTGTATTGCTTCGTCGATGTTGCAACCCAACCCAACCCAACTCAACTGCCGGCCGCGCAGGGTCAAGCAGTTGTTTTGCGATATCATCCGCAAGGTACATTGTATGCTGCATGGTGCTCTGCGCCAAGCATCGAATGCGCACGTCAATCAGGCTGATCTTCATCACATGCTAAACAGCAGGTGATGCCAGGTTTAACGAGATGACGACTTCCCGCGTTGGTTGTTGCCCAACCTTGACAACCATCGACCTTTCTATCGCTGTAAGCACTGATGTCATGTTGCTCATAGTGAATATGTAGTTTTTGGATGTAGGATGCGGTCTGATGTGACAATGGGATCACGTAGCGATCAAGTACCTCTTGTCGACATTCCGTGACAGCGAGTTTTTCGAAAACACCAAGTTTTGAAGCAGCTGTACCGGGTTACTATATGGATGATGACAGGTGCAGACATATATTCAATTCAGGGTAACACAAGATCGGACTTGACGTTACTCATCGAGCATGATGCATATGCTTCTTGTTGGACGGAGTGTTGTGTTGGCGGCTATTTCAGTGCAATGCTTGAGATGCCTAATCATCGACCCACCTGAATGGCGAACTTCCCCATGCGCACACCACCTCACGCTGAGATTATCTATAGCTCGCTACGGAATCACATGCATCCGTAAGCCGTCTTTGAAATCCTCAGCCTTACCTACTCACCGCCATCATATTTTGATGAGATGGCATGTCGATAAGGAGTGTGATAGTAAAGCCGTACGAGTCAACACAGGGGCAAGCGCAAGAGCCATGGTTGCTTCTTGGCGCGTGTCGCACGTACGCTGGGTGCAGCCGAGTAGGAAGCAAGTGAGGCGTCGCGTGGGCTCAGAGGTAAGCTGGTATTTGTCGCGTGGTAGTGGCAGGGTTTGTGCTGTCTGTTTGCTTTGGTCTGGCATGGGTGGGTGGAGATGTGTCGTGTTTCACGGAGCAGGACGGAGTTGGAGAATCGGCGCGAATCCGATGGTGAGAAAGTAGCTAAAGTACGGGGAAGGGCAGGTCGGGAAAGTTGTAATTGCGACGCTGAATCTTGGAACTTGGAACCTTATTGAGCCCTGACGCTTTCAGTCAGATTGACGAGATGTTTCGAAGCTGGCTAGAAGGCTGTCTCTGTCGCGGAATATTCCAGACTGCTGCCATTGGTGGTCCGACCGTCGAGTTTTTTCGTCGTTTTGTCGTTTTGTCGCGGTTCCTGGTTCCATTCATGGATGTGTTGAGCGACTCGCTAACGGCTACGCTTACGGAACTTCCGCGCACGATCTAGTAACGCTTGCCGGTCCACTCAGTTCCTTTCTCATCCGCACACCTCAACCCAGCATCACACCGCTCTGAAGCTGCCATCTGTCTGTGCCTGCCCTTGCAATTTCACACACTCAGGCGTCTGCTGGAAACAATCGCCCTTTGTGCGTCGCGTTATCAGGCATTATCCGTCCACGGGTGGCTGCAAGACGCGGTGATTGGCCCATGGCTGCACTTTATCAACGGATGTGGGTTGCTGCGAGGGAGGTACGGATGCGGAGCCTGGCATGCGACCACGACAATCAGCGGATCCGTGTGGGCGCAGGAGAGGAAAGAACCGGGAACGTGTACAGCTGAGAATAGCTGATTGAGGCAGTGTGCCATGACGAATGCTTTGATGAGGCCCGTTTTCCCTGATGAGAGGGTCCGATACGCTCGGAGGCGACGTACGACCTCGCATTGGCATATGAGGTCTGACTATTTCTCCCCCGGTCCATGGCCCACACTTGTACCCACGGTAGGTCGAAGCGCATCCCAATTTCCCTTCCGTCAGCCTGGGAAAGATTTTCAGACCCAGCACTAAACTAGCTCCCGTCTTTTAAATATTTCGACACCCCAGCTGTCTTTGTTTCGAGGATTCTATCTCCCTTTCACGCGCTGCTCAGTGAATCACGTCTCGTCGAAGGCTTGCCGCGCTCCTCATAGCGACCACAGTCGTGCATCTGCACGCAGTGACCGGCGGTCTTCGGCTAGTCACATTCAATTTTCGTTGTCACGATACCGGATCTTCAACCTCGCCTACGGACCAAGCAGAATCTCTGAGCATCCCACATCGCCACTGACGATCACCATCCACGTGCTTTACTTCGACGACAGATCCTGTGCAAGGACTTTCCTCTCCAACCATTTCCAAGTACTATCAAAATGGCACCCAACCTCTTCGTAGCCACTCAAAAGGCCTTTGCGCCGCACAAATGGTTCAAATCAAACAAGATCGATCAGTCAAGGGTCGTTGAAGAATGGTCCAGTCCAGTACCCGGACAGTACGAGAGCATCCCCGGTCGAGGCTGGTTCCTGATCGCAACTCTCAAGGACGAATCCAAACCAGAAAGCAACCCCAAGCCATCTGTAAAGTCGTCAAACGGCAAGGAATACACTCCACTGGACCAACCTGTTCCACTCAAGTACTCTCATGCCATCGGCCGTTACTTCCTGGAGCCTGAGTTCAACAAGCGAAAGAAGACCGTCATGGTCAAGAACGACAAAGGCAAAGAAGTCAAGGCCGGTTTCTTCCGGGTTGACGACGTGGCTTGGGTCAGATGCTGGGACGAAAACGACACTTTCATCCCTGGTAACGCAAACGGCGCTGCGGGTTATCAACGGTGGGTTCTCGATCAGCAGACCCAACAGTTTCGTCACATGATCAAGCGCGATGACCCCAACTACGTCCGGTCTCGAAAGAACTCCCCCGCTCGCGATGCCGACAACCGCAGCCAAGAGTCCGTCAGCACTGAGTACCGCACTAGCCGTCCTGGTAGTACCAAGAACGGCTTCAGCGTTGCTAGCACCCGGGCCAATAGCGTTCGCTATCAGCCTCCAACTCCAACTTCGAACCCAGGAAGCCAACGCCCGTCGCGACAAAGCAGTCCCAAGCGCAGCGACAGTATACCTCTTGAAGAGGCCAAGATCGCGCTCCGACGCTTGGCTCGGGAACACGAAGAAGCCGCAGCCGCCTTGGCCCGATCCCGCATGAAGCGCTCCGACTCTTCCAAGGATCGTGTCGAGCAAATCGAGACCCGCGGTCGTGTTTCGGAGCGAGTCGGCAGCTAAACTAAAAGTGTTTTATCCCCTTTTGCGTCTGGCATGTTCGACGTGCATGGCGTTCGGGTATCTTCCAACGTGGGGTTTGGTGTTTAACACGTGGCTGTGTCCGTTGCTTCACGGCTGCCACGTCTCTAGAGTCTTGTAATCCTTTTTAGAGTTTACGTCTTCCCTTTTTACGGCCTCAGATTTAGCGAATATGGGTTTTCGGTAACGGGCTAGGCGGTGTTCAGTTCTGGGCTTCTTCTTCTTCTTTCAACATGTCTTGCACTTCTTCTGTAACGGCGCAATACTACAAGGGCATCATAGCACGGTATACCCAAATATGGTTTGTAGGCCCCATGAGCGGCTCTTGTTGTCAAGCGAATATACTCTGGGTTCTGTACGCGTAGCGTAACAATTGTATCTTTCTCTCAACCGTTTGCGTTTTCCTCCACGTCACCATATCAGTGACTGCTGTACACATGATGTTTGCCACTTTTTCGCACGTATAGGGTGGATGTGGGAATCTTCACACATTTTCTCTGTTTTTGTATTCTCATTTCCCTGCTTCCTGAAAATCATTCGGGATATTGTTGTTCAACAGAGCTCATCAGTCACAACAACGACGCTTCCATTAGGCGCGTTGCTTCAAGTATACTACGTGGCTTCACGCCTTTTTGTCTTCTCTTGAAGAGTGTGCCATACTTGACTGGCTTCTCTTTCTCTACATAAAGTCATTGTATTCCAGCAGTTTTCTTTGCATATTCTCTTCCTCTTGCCATATTAAGCTCAACACTTTGACAGCCACGAACTCAATACTTCAACCTAATACCTCTCCTCTGCGAGAAGCACGTTCTATACTTGCTCAGACGCCTTTCTTCTACTTACATTTCGGCCTGCCTACTAGAAATCACTGACCTACTCCTGGGAGAGGATTATGACACAACCATCGCCCCCACCGCCTGCGAACCATCACAGCGGCCATAACAACAACAATGACCCAATCCAACTCGATCGGACTGTCCCGACCCACTTACGTCCTACACAGATGCACCCTGACAACCTCCGCGACCTCTATGAACTCATCGCTGCAGCCAAGCACGTGGTTGATTGCTGTGGCGTGTATACCCCTCGACTACGAGAAGCATTATCTCACGAACTCATGACGGCGAAAACTCGGATTGCAGAAGTCCAAGGAATAGAGGAAGACCTTAAGCAAGACATTATCACACTGAGAGATGAAAACACGATGCTAAAGGGGAAAGATGAGACGTTGTCTGAAGAGAATGCGGCGCGGGATGGAGATCTTGATGCTGGAGGAAATGTGATGCAGGTGCTCGTAGATGAGGTGTCTCTGAAAAAAGACGATATGCAAGAGAATGAGCATGAGGCAGCTGGTCGCTATTTCGAGGGTGGATGGGAAGATATGGCGAAGTTTTGGCAAGATGGTATGCCTATGGATCATGCCTCAGAGCCAGAAACCGAAAACCGACTTGCAGATGCGAATCTTTCACACATGGCATATTGGTTCGAGCGTAGCAACGCGCCTAGCCCCGAGCAGCGACAGCCACGACACAACGACAGAGAAACACTACGGCAGATCGAAACGGAGAGGTCCATCCTCAAGCTCCAGGACCGCTTAGAGAGAACGGAGATGCAGATTAAGCATCTGACAAACCGACTCGATGCCCAAGAAACAGAGTGGAAGCTGGCTGTTGAGAGCATACCGGTATTGCTTGGGGCAATCTATAGCGACCAAGAAGAAGAAAAAGACGACGACGATGACGATGAGCCGTACTATACATGTAGTGAAGGCTTGGACGAGTTTGAAAGCGTAGATGAGAACATGCCGTTAAGAGGTGGTATGGGTGGCCGGGACGAAGACGAAGAGTTTGTGTACGACTATGGAGGGTACACAAATTGGGATCAGGCGGATTTACTGGCGCAGGGCGAATTTCCGAGTATTAATGACAAGGATGAGATTATCCAGGAGTTGAGACAAAAGGTTGAACGATTAGAGGCGCAGATTCGAACGCTCACGGTAGCGGCGCACCGAGAGGATCTCTTCCAACCAACCGGTTCCCATATAACGGCCAAGGACGGCGACAGTAAAGCAGCGAATATTCCCAAGCAAACTCCTTCTAACCCGATCTTGACGCCCATTTTCTATCAAAAGAACAAGGGAGACATAAATATCAACTTACGTGGCGGCAGTGACGAAGCAGAATGTGAAGGCAATGGCAGTTGCGATCATGCTAGCGCTGAAGTTCGTAGCTCCATGTCAGTATCACCGCATCTCCTTTGCCAGCGAGCCACGTCACGAGTCGGAGATTCGACGATCAACTACATCATCGTATACCTGCCTCCAGGGTTCATCGTTCCCGGTTGCACGAAACCCGAGCTAGTCTTTCACAGCGCCGCGACAATTTATTATTTCCCCACAGGAGCAGCAGAAGAAGTCGTGCAACAGGAAGCATGGAAGCAGAAAGGTTGTGGTGATGGGCAATGGCAGGATGTGGAGCTCCACAAGATACAGTCAAAGCAAGTGTTCAAGAAAGCGATTGCAGATATGTGGGAAAAGATGGGACTTAGTTGGGATATTCTGACACGGAGATACTGGGACTTTGGTGAAAAGAAGGATGATGGAGACATGTATATGGTCAACGACAACAACCTCTTTCTTATGAACCGCACACGGGAGGTAGCTGTTCCACATATCCGTGGCGGAGCCGGCGATGAACCAATCCAGACCCCATGGCCTACCGACGAAGATGACTTATTAGATGAGTTTAAGCGTATCTACGATAGCCTCATGGAAGAAGCTAGGATCGCTCTCATGACAGATTCTCCGGAACAACGCGTACAAGCTTGGATGACCGTGGCCACAGCGGCCGAAACGCGCAATTCCTCTCTCGAACGCGAACTTGAGACCTTTCGGGAGATGAACGATAGCCTCATTCAAGATCTACAGTGGCATATGAATGTACAAGTGGACTTGGAAGAGCAGCTCGAGGCTGCAGAAGCAGACAAGAGGGCTATGGCTGACGAGTACCAGAACCTTAGGACACTTCTTCATCATCTAGTGGCGGATAGTGATATCTCTGTCGCTTGTACCTGTGGGGAAGAAACAATTCCAGCTTACGAGGATCGCAATAGGTCACCGGGTCTGGAAACGATACGAGGTGGTGACGAGGAAGCATTGCTACAAACAAGACCGACGAGTGATGCTGAGACCGGACAGAATGCGGCAACAACAGCGCCATCTGATTCTTCTTATTCGAGCACTGTTACTACAGCCAACTCTTTCGTCTATTACCCACAAAGATCTACGATCGTCTTTTCCGATACTCCTCCACGTATCTACCTATTTTCCTACAACTCCACATTACCAGAGATCCACGAGATGCTCAAAAAGGGGAGTGAAAGAGAAGATCTCCGAGATGATCCGCACGTTGCGCGCATCCTGGAAATTATAAAGATCCGTGAAGATATGGGTATTTATCTACCTGAAGATGTGAGCGATGAGCGAATCACTATTGATATACCAGAAATTCTTACAGGGTGCCAACTGGATTGCAAGACGAGAATAATTGCGTGGCAGGTGTCGAACGCAGATGCGGGAAGCCTTGAGAAGCCCATAGAAAAGCATGATTTTGAATCGAGTGCAGAAAGGTCGAACGATGATACCCGGACTAACAGTACGTCGAGCGAAGGAGAGAAGGACTATTACCAAGACATTGGGGACTTGGTGAACTCGTTTGATGATCCAGTCGATACCGACAATACGATCGACTGGCTAAGATCCTGCGCATGCCAGACCCGTTCCGTGTACGGTAGCGAGTCGTACTATAAGATTCCCCATCCGCAATCATCAACTATCTCTGAGCCATCACCTATGGTATCGGTCCGTGGCGGTGGTAGTGATCCAGAATATTGGTCTCACACTTCACATAGCCACCAAAAGTCTCCGCTCTGTCACCCACAGCTGACTCCTCCGTCAAGCGCACCTCCGAACACCCCAGCGTCTTACGGCACTATTGAGCCACCGCCTTGTCGCGTACTCAAAGGTGAAGAGATCGCCATTGGAAAAGGACCATTGAGCCTACGACTTGGCCGTTTCATGTTCCCTCCCAAATTCATGCAACAGCGTGAAGATGATATCCGTCGCTTTGACTGGCAACATATCAGGAGACTGAGCCCTCAGTTCAAGGACAAAAGCTCCAGAGGTTTCAGGTACACTAAAAGTGCACACTGTGAGGAGTGGGCTACACAGTTAGATAAACATCGAGAACATTGCGAATATTGCCAAGGAGTCTTTCTTGAAGAAGAGTATGCCTCTAGTGACCAGAGTCTTAGGCATGAAGAGGAGGCTCCGAAGCCGAAGAGCGGAGCTCGTAGACCATGGAAGAAGAGCAATTTGCCGCAGAAGAGCGTCGTCGCATCTGTGAGCGCTATTGTAGCGGATCCCGATCCGCGGTTGAGGGGTGGTGCTGGTAGCGAGGCAGATCTTGAATACGACAGCGAGGACTGGCGATGTGAGTGGGATGATCTGGCCAGCCAAACGCGAAGCGCAGGCTACCGGCTTCGTGCTTTCCGCAACTCTAGTACTCTTTCCACAGAGACAGTAAAACCCCCTCCTTCGCCTGTTGATCGCGCCGTCACGTTACGTCGCTGGCCTCAGCAGTCCGACCTGTGTACTGCCATGGAGTTTATAAGGGACGGACCCACTGTCTCGAAGCTTGAAAAAATGCATATGAATATATCAGAAGCACGTGCAGGTAAGTTGCTCCTTTCGCCGCACTACATTGGTTCTGACAACCTGACTGGATCAAAGACTAGACACCCAGTGTTACTAGAGACAAGAGCAGCAAAGGGCGGATTAGTTCGAGAGAGGCCGTTCACGAGACCCCGACGCCTTCAACATGGAACTTCTGAGGGTGTGTTTGTTCCAGAAAGCGACAGCGTGTTAGATCTCAGAGCTGAGAGTTGGTTGGAGAATCCTCGGCCAGCTCCGCCTCCGCCATTCTACCGCCGCTCTGCGTCATCGAGCCAATATCACCAGCAGCCACATGATATCGGTCTCACGAAGGTGCACGAATCGGATTGTTTTATGCGATTTGATGCGATTCCAAGAGAATTATCATTTCGGAGTGACCGACACCAGGTGTTTCCGGCGAGAAGTGATTTCCCAGGGAATATACTCAGAATTAGAAGTCAAAAGACATTCAGAAACGCAAGTCTGTCAGCAATGCGGAGTGATGAGGTGTATGGAGAACATGTTAGCCCCAGGCCCGTGGAAGAGCCTATGCCTTCATCACCTAAGCCGCGACGACTATTAAGGAAGATATACAAGCAATATGCAGAGCTTTTGGCCATGTTTCTAACTTGTCTCAACAAGCTGAGACAAAGACTCCTGGCGAAGAAGCCAAAGAAGAGTGCTTCGAGCTCGCCCACCAGAGCACCAGCAGCGCCAGCACCCTCGCGAATGGGCTGGGAGGCTCGGTGCATGAATCCTGGACGTCATCCCTTACTATTCGACAAGTCACTTCCGCCAACACCTCACGCATCGACTTCAACCTTTGATCTGCATCCTGAGCCTAAGGGAAAGTTTCCTGCCGGGCTCCATCTTGAACATAAGGAGAAAGCGCGTGCAGTGTCTTGGGCATCCATATCGACTATCGAACACGCACAACATATTGCGCAGGCACAGGATCGTGCTAACGGGGACTTTGTCAATCAGGAAGGGGGTGAGTGGCGTGTACCAACTGTGGCCGGACCATCGGATTTAGTAAAGGAGGCACTCATGTGGCTGAAATATGAAAAGGAATCGGGAAAGATGGGAAAACCAATGTTTGAAGGAAGTATGAGAGACAATGATTTGTACGAGTATGCTCGCAGTAACGATTGGGCTGTACTATAGAGCAAGACACGAAGAAAAGTAAACATTCCCAGTCATAAGCTTACAGTTCTCCAGCACCAGCTCCCCGGAATTTATCAGGGTTTCGCTCCATCTCTCCTGTCACGTTCCGCATCACTGTCTGTACAAACTCCGTTTTGACTGCCCATGAAGCCATCATGCGTAGGAACTGCATGGTGAAGACTGCCCACACTAGCTCAATGGCTTCGATGAAGAGGATCTGCTTGTACGCTGGGACAACGACGAAGGCGATGAGGCGAACAAACGGCGCGACGGAGAAAAATGTGCCTAGGAAGCCGAAAATAAGGTGCTGATGATGGAGGTTAGTTTTATCCCGAAATGGACGGCAGGCATAGGATCTTACGCTTTTCAGCCCGACAAAGACGGACATTGGCGAGTTCAACTTCAGAAGCTGCCGGAGTACATGCTGCACCGTCAAAAACCACAGCGTCCCCACCGTCAGTTCGAGCACCCATTTCAAGAATGTATTGCAGATGTTCAACGACGCCCGATTCACCCTACCCTGTGCGATCCACTTCTTAACGACTTCTTCTTCTCTATCCTCACTTTCTTCCATCTTCTCTTTTCCCTGATACGTGACATCTCGACGTCTAGGTCGAGCGGGCAGAATCTTCTCTAGTCCAACGAACCACCAATACTGAAGTATCACGAGAATGAATACGATCAGCACCTCCCTTGGTAGTTCTCGGCCGTAGAAAGATTCTTTTGTAGCGTTTTTCGTAGTGGGGATAGCCTCGGTTTGATTCTTCGGGACAAAATAGCTCCACGTGGTGCCGTTCGTCTCGTTGACGGTGCGCATCACGTAATTATCAGCCTCGTCTTTGGGAATCACACTCTTCTGCATCTTTTCCAGACGCGCATTGTGGGCCTGCTCGGCAGCGGTCGCATTGTCAAACATCCCAGCCAGATGGCTGAAAGTCTCGTCATGGATTACTGCATCGAACATGTTTTCGGAGACGTAGTGGGTGTAAAGCAACGAGATAGTACAGATCGCGGTTGCTTGGAGGACAACATTGCGCATCGTTGGTGAGAAGCGCATGGTTGTGACTTGTGTATCAGTTCGAGATGGATGATGGAAGAATGCAGAAGATGAGCTTCGTAGCTTTAGATGTAAATCAACCAAGGCTTATATGAATTCTGCGACTCTAACCCAAATGATGGAGGGTTTTAGGCCTCTCGCGTGTCTGCCTAGCAGCAATGCCACATTGGGCGCCTTATCCACGATTTTTCAGGAAGGGATGAAACTCAAATAGAATCCGTAGTCGTAGATCGCCACATCAGACCGATAGTGCCGTGAACGGCACGTCTTATCCGTTGTTTCGACGTGGTTATCATGAAGGCCGCGTCACATTCGTCGAAGGTACGCGGGTCTCGGAAGGCTTAAAGCGCTATCCTCTTTTTGAAGTGGCTCATCTGACCACGTGATGTACATTATTTCCGAGATCCGCCTTGCCGCCTCGCAACGTCATATCTCCGCACTCTAAGTCTCGAGATGTTACGACTCCGTGCGATATGGTCTCACATATTCATCGATCCAAGCGCATATATCCTTCGCGACATGTCTTTATGATTGATCGAGATGGCGCAGCAGTATCTGCACCGTAAAATTACAGCTACCAACAAGGCCCGAGACTGTGAATACCCCTCGCGTACACGCTCAGTTATACTTACAACTTAGACATTATCGTCATCTTACATGGAGATAACACCAGAGCAATGGACTACGAAGCACTACTGAGGAACTAGCCTGGATAACATCGAGGCCTAATAGTCTATTCCCGCGAGCGCTGTCCAGGACTTGCACAACACGCTTCCGACGTGCGAACAGCCGGTTCTTGACCACATCTTTCATGGAGGAAGCAGATGAACGCCAAGAGTTGCGAAATTGACTGTGCCACAGTAACACATGATTGCTTGATGCACAGCGCCTATCCATCTCCAAACGAGGATATATAACCGGGGAAGCGAGCTAAAGATGCTGTTGGAAATCTGCGAAGGAGTTTCGTAAGAGGTTATCGCACTTTCTCTCGGAACAACTTTGGGATGATTGCGCAACCTGGACATATCGTATGGCTACCATTTCCCAGGAGGTGTTCACGACTATTGACTGTTCCCTTGGCCAATTTAGATGTCCCCATATATGTGCTATAGACATGTTGTGCCGAGATGAACAGCGAGAGACACCCAGTGGCCATTATTCATGAATACTCATTTTGAGAAGCATGTATTCTCTTTTCTAGTCTTCTGTCGTCAGTCACCAATTGATACGAGATATACGACACCATCACCCCCATACTACCTTGCCAAGCATGCGCTCATCAATCGTCGCCCTCTTTACCTTCGCGGTCGCAGCGGTAGCCATCCCGGACTCATCTAAGGAAAAGGTCAGTCCCCCTCTCCTAGCCTTAAGCTGGCCTTGTACCTGATGAACGAGACATAGCGAGGAGATATATCCCCTAGGCATCATCCGAGAGACTTGTTGGACATAATCGAGAAGCGACAAGCGTGCTACCAATACGGTTGTATAAAGGATTCTGATTGCGTTGACAACGGCTGCGCCTACTGCGGTCATCCTGTACACCCGGGGCCTGCTCTCGGTCTTTGCGTTCGGTATGCACCTGCAGCAGGGGAGTCTGTGTAAGGGCGAGGAATATTATCGCGATGGAGAGTGCTGTGGGTAGGGAGAGACACATACTAGTCACGAAGAATGAATGGCCCGTAGCTTGATCAGGTAGTGAAAGATCTTCATCGTAGTAATCTTTCCACGCCATGCCAAAAACTGGCCCGTAGCAATGCCTCACTTGTACCTCTTCGCTCACACGAATCCATAGTGCTCTTTTGGCGGCCGTCCACTACCTCAAAATCTGATCTCATCATTTCAGTTTTGAGTAAAGAAAGCGATAGTAGAGGCTAACATCTGATCAGCGAGTGCTGCACTCTGTGAATATGCATCCATTGAAGTTCGGATGCGCACATTTGACCTTGTGGTTCGTAAATTTCCCCATTCGTCCCCTTCCTCACCTCCATCACGACAGCCAAACAAAGAGCGCCCTACTCAGGCGCAATATGCTCAACATGAATTTTCTTCTCTATGTAACTTTCATGGAGACAATTGAAAGCAGCGCAGCCCACAATTACCCATCCCTGCTTCAAGGAGAGTTCTTGCAGTACGCAAGCTTTGCATTAGTTCCAGAGGACTACCGCGCCGATGCAGTGTAGGTGTTGTGAGTTAATTGAGATGAGCGACGATTTTCTCCGTGCTTCTTAACTCATTCATGATGTATACAGTCGAAGGTGTCTGAAACGTGATAACCTCAAAAAGCTCGACCAATGACCGGAGCTCGAACGATTAGCGCAACTATCCCCTTTGGGACTAGTACCCCACCAACGCGCCGGCAATTTTGAGCAGCTCGAACTTCCTGCGCACCGCGCGACGATTTCTTATCCTTCAACCCCTCTACGACAGACGCAGGATATCCATTTCTTTGCGCTCCCCACCTCCTCCAAACCGCCAAAATGTCCACAACCGTACGTACAACTGCTTTGCTGTCCAGCGCAAGGGAGCAACAGCACCCCGCGCACAAATGAACAGTAGGCTAAGTACCTGTATTACAGAAGCGCAGCACCGCCGCCAAGAAGGGCCAGAAGATCACCAAGAAGTTCATCATCAACTGCTCGCAGCCCGTCAACGACAAGATCTTCGACATCCAGGCTTTCGAGAAGTTCCTCCACGACCGCATCAAGGTCGAGGGCCGCACTGGTAACCTTGGCGACACCATCCAGATCAGCCAGCAGGGCGATGGCAAGATCGAGGTCATTGCGCACCAGGAGTTCTCCGGCCGCTACTTGAAGTACCTGTACGTTCAATTCTGCATCTCGCAATGGTAAAGGGTACAAGCTAATGCCATGACAGCACCAAGAAGTTCCTCAAGAAGCAGCAGCTCCGTGACTGGCTCCGCGTCGTTTCCACCTCCAAGGGCGTCTACGAGCTCCGCTTCTTCAACGTTGTTAACGACGAGGCGGATGAGGATGACGAGTAGATCTACGATACCACTTGATGATACCAACATGGCTTGCATAGAATGGAGTCTAAGGTTCGGAAAATGAGATGGGTGGAGGTCTACATGGCATATAGCACGATCTAATGAATTGATGCATTTGCCAACGACAAGTTATTATGCATATGTGCCTGACTTCTGCACTTAGCCGTTGTTCGCATTTCGCTTTTGGAGAACCATTCTTGAAGGATTTTACTAAACCTGGTCGCGGGGAATTCATCTCAGGCACACTTGGAGGATTAGGGATCCCTGAGAAAAGTCTGCGATGTCACACGCGAGAAGCGAGTTAGCTTGACGCCAAAAATTTACCCACCTACTCCACACGATGCTAGGGAGGAGTTTGCAATATCTTCCGTACCAGGGTTGACGAAGTGGAACGCGGATCGCACCTACCCATCATCTTTCCTGGAGTCAGCTGTGGAAGAAGCTTGAGTATAAGTCACCATGGACGATACTCCAGATGTCTGCTGATTCTGAAGCCGAACTGAAAAATTGTCTTGTCCTGGCTCAAAACCAACGTAAGCAGCACGATTGCAGTTCCTCGACGTCTTCAGGTAATTCTCCTAGAAACAGGAACCGTGATATTGCGTGCTTGCGCTGCCTTGGTGTTTTGTGGAGAAATTGAAAATCTTGCTGTAAGTACTAGAGGGAACAGTTGCATACTTTCTACGGCAGATCGACAGGTGTAAAAGGAGATCGTAGTACTGTTTATGCGCGGGTACTAGCGGTGCGCTGGTGTGGGTATGCTCGTCGCGAAAAACCATTCCTCGCGAAACGAGATCCACTTGGTGTAAGGCGTGTGAGGCGTGTCCGTGAGACGTGTTCTCCTGACGCGCTTGCGTGTCACACCTGTCATTGACATGTGAAGAAATTTCGCATGAGCCAGGATGGGGTTCCGTGGACTTGGAGCATAAAGCTTGGTGTTACGGTATTGCTGCCGCCGGTGTTCGGAATGAAAAGATGTACTTCGGACATTTACTCCGCATACAAATCCGGGGTTCTTCGGCATTCCATAGAGAAAAGCGAAGCCGAGGGCACTAGAAGCGCTTTGGAAGACTACTTTGGTGCGCGATAATAATAAAAGGCTGAATACGACGGAGGAGACGCCGATATCAGGAGCGCCACAGCGGAAGCGCCGTACGCCATCGACATGAGACGGTTGATGAAGTTCGAGAAAGGTATACCGAATCGGGCCGTCCTAGATCGAAGCTTTGTGCCCTAATGAGGCTACGAAGAGCCGCAATGCAGGTGCATTCACTAGAAGTCTAGACACCGCGAGTTATGTCTGCTTCCAGAAACCGTGCGAGCGGTGAGACGTTGTTCGATGCTGCCAACATGGTGCCATAGCACGTTCACGGGCCATTGGATGGCGCCAGGTGCACGTCAGATTTCGACATGATGACTCTGAACACGCGTGGCATGCCAGCCCAAGACGCACATGTCGACAACGGGAATGAGATCCCTGAACGAACCATGGGTGCGCCACACGGGCTCAATGCACCGGTGTAGAATGGTACGAAGAAGTCAGGGATGCAGAGGTTGCAATAATTTTACCGGATCGGGAACCCTGCTCTTGGCAGATCGCGGACGCCATGCAAGCGTCACCGTTGTTAAGCGTTAAGCGAAGTATCGTGAGATTCGCAAGCTGGTGTTTTGGAGCCTGGCCTGCCCTGACCCACATGTAGACGTCGGGCCTCTCCGACGCGAAACTGCTTGCGTGAGCGGAACCGCTGGTGTTTCCATCGAGTAATGTAGACCAGTCTGGTCTCCCAACAGTGGATGCTCTCACACGAGCCACCTCAGGTAACAGCCAATATCGGGCCGGAACGCCAAAGTGTGTAAAGAAGCTGTAAAGGATCTGGGATAGGTGGAGTACCCAGTCAGCGTTTGTATTCGCACCACGGTGGGTGTGAGGAAAAATTCAACGCATTACCTAACGACGGCGCGCCTTGGCATCGATGAACATCGCGATGCACGACCAACATGACTGTGAATTGACGAAGACGTTGCACAATTAGCAATACGCAATGTAGGCGAGTAGAGCACACGGTGATTGCCCAGACAAGTGTCAGGTGCACATTCTGCGGTGACGGTTCGCGCCCCTGAAGAATGCGGGGAGGCGCTCCGGTGATGGGCAGTCCGAGGAGATGCTCGAAAGTTCATCCCCAGAGTCACACTTCTGAGGCGATCATAACGCCATGTTGCGGGGAACAGCGCATCAGATGTGCGTCAGCGAATGAATGCTAGCGGGCGGAAAGTCTGCCGTTGCGATGGACGAGAGCCCCAGGGTTTTCCGGTGGAGACAGTCTGGTATAATGTGTGCTGGAGAGAAAGGCCGTCGGCGAGTCACATATGTTGGCCGGTGATGCATCAAGCCACCACGGTGCCTTGTTGGCGGCGGGAAAAGCACAAGCTGAATTTCGGAGTGCATTCGGCTATGGTGATCAATCGGCGGTCAGCATAACAGCGTGTGCGTGGTGATGCATAGCAAAGTTAGTTGGGCGTGAATAATCACTCTTTCTGGTACAAGCTCAGCTGAGAAGGTTGTTGACGTCTTTTTAGTCGGCAGGCACGACAGTTACAGGACGATCACGAGAGCGGCAGGCCGTGCGTACCTTCCTCCTGACCCAAAAATTGTATGGAAGGCGCAGGGGTGGGCTTGCTCGAACCCGTTAGCGTGGCGTGCGCCATCCCTGCATCTGGCGTTAGCGATGAAATCATGCGAAATCGAGTTTCTCTCATGTAAAACTTCCATGAAAATGCGTCTACGCCTTTAAATAAGGCCACGCCCTACCCCAAGTAACCCCCTTGGTTACTTTGCAAGTCAGAACATGTTCCTGCCACAGACACTTATTAACCACCTACACTCCCACAAGGTCAACTCTTGAACGTCGCACTTATCAATTACTTGCATATCGGATCGCGGCCCACGCCTTCACACCATTGGCCAGCCCCTTATCTCGCAGATTCTCAACTACAATCATCCACTCACGTCACTCAATCTCAGCCCTACCCCGGATTCTTTATCATGCCCGGTCGTCTGTTGAGCACCCTCGCGAGGGTTGCGCCCACGCCATTGCCTAAACTGGACCCCGTCAAACCACACGCCGAGGGCCTGCTCCCGCCAGTCTACTCATACGACGCACCCCGCGTAAAAGCAAAGTCCAAGTCGGAAGAGTCGCTCGTCATGGATATCTTCAACCGCCACAAGCATGACAAGCACGCGAAGGAAAAGGAAGAAGTCAAGAAGAGCCCCAAGGTTGAGGCTCAGGGTGCGGCTTCCATGAACATGAGCGTCGAGTCGCCACCCATTGTCTTCTACAACAGCCCGCAAACTTCGACTGGCGCAATTTTTTCGGGTCAGCTCGTCATCAATGTTCATGATCCCTACGTCACCGTGGAAAAATTCGAGATGCGCATGCTCGCCATCGTTTCCACTAAGAAGCCTGTCGCCCCACACTGCGCCGAGTGCAGCACGCAAACCACTGAAATCCACAAGTGGGAGTTCCTGACGCATCCTACCACCCTGCGTCATGGTCCACACACTTTCCCCTTTAGCCATTTGCTACCGGGACACCTACCCGCGACTACGCATGGCAGCCTCGCTACCGTCGATTACTACCTGTCTGCTGTTGCCACTACCTCATCGGGAAAGATTACCTACAAGCGTAACCTTGACATCAAGCGCGCCATCTTCCCGGGTGCCGAAAAGCACTCCATTCGAATCTTCCCACCCACCAATTTAACCGCTTCGGTTAAGCTGCCACCGGTCATCCACCCGATTGGCGACTTTCCCATTGAGATGCGCTTATCCGGTATCGTTCAGAACAAGGCGGACTCACAGACGCGCTGGAGACTTCGCAAGCTCAACTGGCGTATCGAAGAAACCCAGAAGTTTATCGCTCCAGCTTGCGCCAAGCACATCTCCAAGGTCGGTGGTGAGGGCAAAGGCGTCCTTCATGAGGATGTCCGCGCCATCGCTAGCGAGGAGGTCAAGACTGGCTGGAAGACCGACTTCGAGAAGGGCGAAATCGATGTAGAGTTCCAGGCTGCCTGCAACGTCGGCCTCAAGCCTCTATGCGACATGGAGAGCCCCAGCGGAATGAGCGTTAAGCACAACCTTATCATCGAGATGGTCGTTGCTGAAGAGTGGGCACCACTGAAGAAGCTCAGCCAGGCTACTCCTACTGGTGCTGCCCGCGTTCTCCGTACCCAGTTCCACCTCGTTCTTACTGAGCGCTCTGGTATGGGTATCGCCTGGGACGAGGAGCAGCCCCCTCTGTACGAGGACGTTCCCATTAGCCCGCCCACTTACATCGAGGACTGCGAATTCCCATGGTCCAACAACAGCTCTCGTTCCGGTAGCTTCAGCCTGGAGCAGTAGCTTTGACCCTTCCATTTCTTTTCATTATCTATACCCCATTTACGATGCAATCATCGACGCTTCACGAATCTCCTTACTGTGCCATTGGCCTGATTTTGCTTGGAACTATCACTAGTGGACTGTAGGATATACCCGGCGTCGCGTTCATATGCTCGCCACTCTTCTTGTTTGTTTTTGTATGGCGTTTTGGTTCATTGCTGGGTTGCTTGAGTTGGGCCTGTACGGTGCCCCTCTTGCATCGGATGAATATCCAGCAGGCGTTTTGCATTAGCACAAGGAAAAGTTCAACTGTCAGATCACGCGTTGTGATATACATAATAGCAAGTAATACATAGTATCAGCAGAATCAACTTCTACGCTCTCATACCACTGCACATTCCATCCTCCACTGAAGAGACCTCAAACTACGACCAGTGATTGTTTTTCCAACATGCAGACGCTGCTACGTGGCGGAAGCCTGCTGCACCAGCCCCTCAGCTTCACATGTCAGTCGCCAGCACCACCTGCCTCCACCTGCCAGCCAGTCGAGACCTCACCGCTTCACCACTCATCCCCATCGGATACACCTTCCCAAAACGTACCTCACGATATTCGCCCCTCGAGTCGCACTACCGGAGAAAAGTCTTTACCCACGTTACACGGCTAGCACAGCATTCTAGAACACAAGTCTCCCCACATCCCTAATACATGACATGCAACCAGCGCGCCTCGCATCGGCACTTGCGGTACCACGCCGATGACACATAACATGCACTTGAGCGGGTACCTTACTTGCTCGCCCTGGTATGCACACTATACTTCATCCTGGCCCCTTGTCGGGGATCACTCGCATGAGGCAAGGCTCTGTCCCGCCGAACCGGTGGCTTTAGAACATCAGACGTCAGGGCTAGAATGCCTGATCAACCAGGGATCGGAGGTGCGCGATGGGATGGGATTGTTGTATTCTTCCATGTTTGGTGAGGCGATGGGCGGGAAAGGATTTCCTATTTGGGGTATGCAGGGCTGTGCGGCTCTGCGGGGTCTTGGCGGGGAAGAAATATAGGATCTGGAGTGGCAATGCGGGTATGGGGTGATGTAGGCCGAGATGTTGAGGATGTTGATCTTCGTATTGTGGTGGTGGTGATGAGGTTGATGTTCGGTGATGGCTCGGGTGGGTACGGCGAGTAGTGGGTATGCCAGGGAAGAGACGAAACATGGTTCACGCGATCGAGCACTCCTTCTTTGACCTCATGGTTCTCATCCTTCAACTGACGTAGTCATTCCCTCACGCTCAATCTCTCACGATCATCCGATCGAAGCGTCAACACGCACGTCCGACTGCATCGAGTCTTTCATCTGCTCGAATGCATCCGTAAACTCTGTACAATCCCAGACATCGTCGTCTTCAGGAACGAATCGCGAACCTGCGTATTCATCTTTCGATAAACCGGGCGATGGTACCATCTCTAGGTGCAAGATCTGACGCATTCGATCGTCTTCCCACCAAGATCTTTGACCCATCCAAGTAGCAACCAGACCAACACGCTGCTCCCTAGTCTTGTTGGTCACAGCGAAGAAAGCCGGTTTGAAGGTCGTCCCACGCGGCGGCTTCAATGAGAATGTCAGTGTTTCCAAGTTTGGAAACTCTTCTAATATCGCCTCGCCATTGCGTAATACCTCAGGCCAAAACCGTCTCTTCCAGCAATAGCTCACATGCTCGAGAGACTTGTCAAAGATGCCGCGAGGACTTGCTTCAGTTACAACGTGCCTTACTAAACACATGTTGGCAAGTCCGACGTTGATGTTGCCTAGAGCCCAGAAAGAGAGGACGTTCATTCCATAAAATACTGGGCTGCTCTCCGCTCGAAGCTGTCGACATGTTCTCCAAAGTGCGACGGGTATTTGGCCAGTGCTTAGCGGTTGCGGTTCAATCGGTCCGTCACCGCCATGCCGGATGTTCATTGCTCTCGCGACTGGCCGGACAGCAAAGGGGTCGCGCGAGTAAACGAGAATCGCGCCTGGGACGCGAAACGCGAACTGATAGACTAGATCTCGAAGCTCGCGTGGTAGGTCCAGAAAGCCTACTCTAGAATCGTCCTCTTTGAACGATGGCGCCCAGGTAAGCGATGTGTTCGGTTGTTGCTGTGGTTGTTAGCTTGCAGGTGGCCAGGGGGTTGCGACCGATGGCACACACGTTTGACGCCATTGTCAATTGGCGTTCCAACTGAGATGCAGGATATGAGAACGAAGGCAACAGCTTTTCACTCTTCGTGATGACTGCGATATGGTAAAGGGCGGAAGAATGACAGGCAGAATTCCTGAACTAACTGTTTTGGGTACGATGGGCGGGGCTCAATAAATCTCGCGATTGGAGTTGTGGATCTATCCTCGCGTCCTCGCCTTGCGATACTGACTATCTATACAAGCTTTTTCGTATGTCGCGCGTTTGTTCTAATACGGATGTTTCATGCCTCTAACATGTCTATGCTAGCTATCAGAAACGCGTAGACAAGGTTGCAGGCATTGTCCGCGCTTGACGCAATGGCTTCAACCACGGTGTAGGTCTCGCTAAGACGTATTCGTTTGCAACATGACTATATATTAAGAGCGCAAATCTACTCTGCTACTCTGACTTTCAAGTACCGTTTCTCTTCTTTTCCCCTAAAACTACAGACAAACGTGTCATGTGCGCTTCGTTCAAAACGAGCTGAAAAGAGCGACATGAGCCACGCTCCTTCCAACACGCCATCGTGTTTCTTCATGTCAACTCACTATCGCAATGTTAGCCCTAGCCTTTCAGAAAAAAGCCTTCCCTGACCACTTTTTCTAGAACATTACTGAAGAGCTACATGTAGTGTGCTGGGCTAGTCCTCGAAAACACTACTGACCGCGCCCATGTCTGAATATGCTCGAAAACCAAAATTCCTAAGAGCACTCACTACATCTTTCAAATTGAGATGCCTCGCTCGCTATGGCTGCCTGGATTTTGGTGTTGCTTAGTGTATAGAGAAAGGCATTGAATCTGTCTCAAAACCACGACATCATTCTTGTTCCTCAAATTCCTCAAAATTCACTGAAATCCAGGACATGTTTCTGGCATGGTTTGGAGAATCCTAACGAGAACAACGTCATGATCTTGCCTTTGCGTTCTAACTCCAGTATGCTCAGGCTTGTACCACGTGCTCCACTGCTGTTCTCAAAACCTGCGACCCACCGGAGTATGGTCGGAGCACGATGTCGTTAATTTGACTTGTCCGAATAATCGCCTGCGCAAAGACATGCGCCACTACTTGCTTTCCTCTCAAATATCTGGTTACCTTTCTAAAAGAACAAGGTCAGCAATATCCTCGCGCATGGTCGTTCTCGCCGCGGTATTCGCTTAACTCATGCTTCAGAATGAGTAGCTTGACAACATATAAAATCGTTGTCTCTTGAATCCCTTCGTCACCTCACCAATAATTCTCAGATATCCAAAATATGCTTAACAAAAGCTATGGTAGACCTATCGATGGCTCTGCTGCCGCTGCCGCCGCCACCGACTACCAAAACCATCTTTGAACTATACATGATCTGCGCGCTTGCTTTCTAGACATTGCGAAGTCGGCTACTGCTCCAATCGCAAAATGTATGCAAAACTAAAATGCAATGGCATGTCACCTAGGTGGACTGCGCGCTTCTTCTTCCCTCTGAGAAGAAGATCCGCTGCTACACATGGAATAGTTAGCACGTTCAACCAGTGCGTATAAGATGTCTCGCTGCCTCGGTAGCTCTCTCTCTTCCATCTTCTATTACGTTTACCAAAAACACCAAAATACAGAGACACCATCATGATGTTGTTTTCCGCGCCGAGTGGTCTAAAGCTTTTGCATTCAACAAGATGCCTCTGCGTGTCATCATCCGCCTCAATTACCATTATTCCATGTTTTTGTGAATGGAGAAAATGACAAAAAAGCCGGAGTGGTCATAATCATGTTCTTCTCTACCTTGTGAACTGGTCATTTGATCAAGACGAAAGAAGATACGAACATGTTTGGGTGGAGTGAGGAGAGCATGTACAAAAATCTCCTTGTGAACGCATATATGTCCGCACCGGAGTCAATCCGGAGTTCATCATAAAAGAACGTACTGAGCATAGCATGAACTCGAGGCCCGAGATTTAAGGATTTATCACACATACCCTTTATGGTCTTATTCGTCAGTTCTTCCTGACCTCGCTGCCAGATACCCTGGCAATAGTATCCAAAGCCGTTCCAAAACATTGCGGCTTTGAGAGTCCCATGTTTTACTATCCCATTTCTTTTTGAAGATCATATCTTCCGTCGACTATACGCCCAATAAGCCTTCATGGGCAACTTCCAATCCACCTTTCTGAGACTCGCATCGAAGACATCAAAGTCTACGCCCTGTAACCTATCCAACCAACTCTGCGTCGCGATACTCGGCATAAAAACCCCAAAGGCTTGTTCCACCTCCGCCAATTGCGCCTCCTGCCCTGTGTTCATCTGCTGCACACTATACTGATGATCCTCCTCATTCTGGTGTTCAAAGTCATGGCCAAGTGTACCCTCTGATCGTAGTTTCGAAAGCATCTCGCGCGCAGTGATGAGATGATCGTTTGCGCGTGTTGCAACTGTGAAGATGGCGTCGCGCAGACCGGGAGCAGATGCGCCTTGTCGGAAGACGTCTTCTTCGCGGACGTTGGCTTCAGCCATTACATCGAGGGGAAGAAGTACGGCGCCTTGGGTTGGGCCAGATTGGCCTGTCATGGAGTTGCTTGTACCTAGTGGCTGTTGTGGAGGGAAGGCGATGAGTGGGATGCCGCGTAGTACAGCGGCGATACCCATGGCCTTGCCGATGTGCGATGCGATGTGGTCTGTGGTAAGGGAAGCTTGAGGGAGTGCCGACAACGTCAGATATAGCATTGTTGAGTACGTGTTCTCCGCGTAGCTCTCCAGTGCGGTCAAAGTGGGGTATGGTGGGTTGCCTAGATACTGTTCCCTTGTATTGATGATGCGGTGGAACCAGTTCTTGCTTAGCCGTGCCTTTCCATCAGATCGCTCGTGTAAATCCTCAGCCGCTTGTGCTAAGAGAATGGCAACTGGCTCTTTCGGCGGCGTGCCAGCTAATGCCTTGGTAACAGTATCTCTCCAGAACTGCATGCGCATCATGCCAATTGTGGGTGTACTGGTGGTATCGGCGACGCGAGCGACATCGACGTTGAAGGCGCGGATAGCGAGGTAGGCATCTCGGGAGGATTGTGGTATGAAGGTTTGGAGGATATGCGAGGGTGCATCGTATGTTCTGACTAGGTTTGCGCAGTATGCTCGAGCACGTGCGATTTCATCTTGGGAGGGACGAGCCGCATCCTGCAGACAGGGCGTAGTGTGGAATTGCCTCCGTCGTGGGCTGGGGTAGTTGTGTATGCGCCGAATGGGAGCTGTGCGGAGCCTGGGAAGTGGCATTGAAAACTTTTGAGATAGGGGAAAACTATTGTACAAGGCAAAAACTCATGGCAGACCAGACAGAGGGTCAAGGAGAAATTGGGCAGTTGTTAAAGAATGACGAGATGTATGCACAATCTGGGGTAGACACAATTGCGCGTGGTAAGGCGCAAAGAGTGGATGGCGACTGGCTGGTTGTATGACGCTATCACGTCGATCACCCGCAGTCGCCACGTGAAAGCGCGTCGACGCGTCGAATTGCATGCAGAGCGGCGAATGCGCAACACCAACAACGACATCGCACAACACCATGGAGTCGCCACATCCCGACGAGAGACCTGCAAAAAAGCCCCGATTCTTCATAGAAGATGACTCTTCACCTCCACAGGTCCGCTCAAACCCCACCGACCCTCCTCCTCCTCCGTCGTCCCCGCCACTATATGGCGCAGGAAGACCAGACGAAAGCAACGGAAACGACGAGGAGACTGATTTTGGTAGCTTCGATGTCGCCATGCTCCAGGCAGTTGTAGGAGAGCTTTCGGCCACTGTACTACGGAAGCTGAAGGACGTGAGCGGCAGCAATGTAGAACGAGGTATGTAAGCAGATGAGCGACTTCAGGCGTATGGCTTACAATTGGCAGCAATAAACCTCTATCTAGACGGTTCGTGGAGTAAAATGTCACCGCCAATTCCTGCTCCCATCTTCCAGCCCCGCCGGCAGCCCGTCCAGATGACAATAGCGAATGCCATGAAGCGCACCGATTCCGAAATGTCAACCGCATCCACACCAGGCTCGGGGACGTCTACACCAACAATACTGCGAGAGATGCCTAGCAAACGATATATTGGTTCCTTCGGTGTTGCAGCCTGGGCCACCAAAAGCGGAAGCAACTTGCTGAAACACGACGAGATGATTCGGATCGAGCGTATGAAGCCACAACCCAAATTAAACAAGGCGAAGAAGGTTATCCAACTCAAGAAGCCAGACATCATAGTCAGGTTTCTGAACGGGCGGGGCGAGGAAGTTGGCAGGTTGGACAAAGACTCCGCTACTTGGGTGTCGGTACTACTCGACCAGCAGGTCTGCTCTTTTGAAGGCTCGGTCGTGTACACTCCGGACAAGCTACGGACCGGCGACACCATATATCTGCAGCTGCGGGCTTATTTTATTCGCGCGGCATTCGACAAGCGACAGTTTGCCAAACCGGACAACAACCGAGAGATCAACCTGTTCGAGCAAAAGGAATCGTCCGATGAACGAGACCTTCGCCTGCGTCAAATTGGTTTGGTCAAGCTTTTTGAAAACATCAACCTCCAGCCAACACGCGAGAACGAGACGACAGCGAAGCATAAGCGACAAGGCCTACTACAAGCGGCAGAGAGTGAGGAGAAGAAGAGCGATAAACCAAAGCCGAAAAGTGGCACACCAGCAACGCCGATGACGCCTGCCGATCCTACATCTTCACCACCTCCTGATGAAGCCGAAGAAGGAGAAGAGCTGGAACAAGACCAGCTCGACTCGCTGTACAAGAAGGCGCAATCATTCGATTTCAACACTCCGACCATGGAGCCAGCCAGGACTTTCCGCATGGATTTGCGAAAGTACCAGAAGCAGGCACTATACTGGATGGTCAGCAAAGAGAAACATCAATCGATAGAGGATAAAGAGACCTCGATGCATCCATTGTGGGAGGAGTATCAATGGCCAGTACAAGATGCAGACAACCAGCCGGTAACGGTCATTGAGGATCAGACCATGTTTTACGTCAATCCCTACTCCGGCGAGCTTTCGCTAGAGTTCCCAAAACAGGAGCAGAATTGCCTCGGTGGTATACTCGCCGATGAGATGGGTCTCGGCAAGACTATCGAAATGCTCAGTTTGATCCATACACATAGGACAGAAGTCGACGACGATACATTGGCGACACCGAAACGTCTGCCGCGGTTGCAAAAAGCGAGTGCTGATGTCGAGCCTGCGCCATACACTACGTTAGTCATAGCGCCCATGTCACTACTTGCGCAATGGCATAGCGAAGCTGAAAAGGCGTCCAAAGATGGTACGCTGAAGGCTATGGTCTACTACGGATCGGAAAAGGCTGTGAATCTGCAAAAGCTATGCTGCGCATCGAATGCAGCTAATGCGCCCAACGTTGTCATCACGAGTTACGGTACAGTACTGTCAGAGTACAATCAGGTCATTGCGCAGGATGGAAATCGAGGCTCACACGGTGGCATTTTCTCGCTCGACTACTTCCGTATCATCCTTGATGAAGCACACTATATCAAGAACCGACAATCGAAAACAGCAAAAGCTTGCTACGAACTCAGCGCAAAACATAGGTGGGCGCTTACTGGAACCCCCATTGTCAACCGTCTCGAGGACCTGTTCAGCCTAGTCCGCTTCCTCAAGGTCGAGCCATGGGCGAATTTCTCCTTCTGGAAGTCGTTCATTACGGTTCCTTTTGAATCAGGCGACTTTGTGCGTGCTTTGAATGTGGTACAAACTGTGCTAGAGCCATTGGTACTTCGTCGAACCAAAGACATGAAAACACCTGACGGCGAGGCCCTGGTACCACTGCCCCTACGGACAATCGAGGTTGAGAAGATTGTGTTATCACAGGCTGAGCGTGACGTGTACGACCACATCTATCTGCGAGCAAAGAGCTTCTTCAGTGCCAACGCAGAAGCCGGTACACTGATGAAATCCTACACGACAATCTTTGCCCAGATTCTGCGACTACGGCAATCATGCTGTCATCCTGTCTTGACACGCAAAGCGAACATTGTCGCTGATGAAGAAGATGCTACGCTAGCATCAGATCTCGCAAATGGATTAGCAGATGACATGGACCTCTCTTGTCTCATCGAGCGCTTCACAGCCGAAGGCGATCAGGATGTCAATAAGTTTGGCGCACACGTCCTGAAGCAGATCCAGGATGAAGCTGCAGCCGAATGCCCGATTTGCTCGGAAGAACCCATGATCGAACAAGCAGTTACTGGCTGCTGGCACTCAGCGTGCAAAGAATGTCTACTAAACTACATAGCCCACCAGCGCGACAAGAACGAAATCCCCCGCTGCTTCAACTGCCGCGAACCCATCAACGCACGCGACGTCTTCGAAGTAGTCCGCCACGACCATGTGACTGAAGATGACGAGAAAGAACATCCCTTCGGCCTCCGTGCCTCCGTATCACCGCCTCCCTCTACACAAACCCCCCGCATAAGCCTACGCCGCATCGGTCTCTCCGGCTCCGCAAAAACTCAAGCCCTCCTAGGGCACCTCAAGAAAACTCGCAAAGAAGAAAAAGGTGCCAAGACTGTCGTTTTCTCCCAATTCACATCCTTCCTCGATCTCATCGAACCGGCTCTAACACGAGACCACATCCCCTTTCTCCGCTTTGACGGCTCCATTTCACAGAAAGAGCGTGCGCGGATACTGGCTGAGTTTACCACGTCGCATAAACCTTACGTTTTGCTACTGAGTTTGAGAGCGGGTGGTGTGGGGTTGAACTTGACGTGTGCGAATAAAGTGTTTATGATGGATCCGTGGTGGAGTTTTGCGGTTGAGGCGCAAGCTATCGATCGAGTACATCGGATGGGGCAAGAGAGGGAGGTCAAGGTTGTGAGATTCTGCGTGGAGGGGAGTATTGAGGAGAAGATGCTTAGGATTCAGGAGAGGAAGAAGTTTATGTAAGTTTGGGGAAGTGGTGTTGGTGGTTCGGGTATATGCTAACGTCAGACAGTGCGAGTTCATTGGGTATGATGAGCGATGAAGAAAAGAGAGTACAGAGGATTGAAGATATTAAAGAGTTGTTGAGTTAAAGGGCAGGTCGGCTGGAGAGATATCGAGGGAAAAGGAAGAGATGTTTTTGCATGGATATACCCTTCTTTGGTGGGCCTGAGACCTGGAACTGGAAGCTACGAGGTTCAAGCAGCCCTGTCGAGATATTTACGCGCACATACGAACCGGCATTGGCTTTTACACGACTCTATACATGGTCTACATGGTTGCCTGCCACGTATCCTGTGGACCGTATGCTTGCATGTTACCGTATTGAATGCTATCGCAATGTAAAATCATGATGACAGGACTGTGAACACGGCAAACTATTAACTCGCTATCTACAGAATGGTTCTAATCTGTGTTGATCTTTCGTACCCACAGGTCCATTGAGTTCAACCAATAAAATCTATTCTCCCAGTTATCTCCATATGCATCCGCCATGAGCTCATCCTCGAGTCCATGGTCATCGAAACCATCTTGCGCTTTTTCATAATGGTTTGTGAGGAATCGTGCGACCGCTGGTGATGCGCGATTGCTCAATGAGTATTCTCGCTTCTCGACGTCGACTGTCATGATATCGCAGATTATGGCCGCTGGACCTTCGGTTGGGTCTTTCGAGAACAAGTCCGCTATGATTTGAACCAGTGGCATCTGAACGGGGAGGAAAGCCGTGACTACTAGTGTACCGGCGTCGATCGCTAGGAGACCTTCTGGATCGGACACGAAGCTGATATTATCGCCGTCATTGGATAATCTCTTTAAAATTTGATGATCTTTAATCTCGTAGTTGGGGTCTTGTAGCATAAGCTTTATCGCAGGCCGGTTCGAGTCAGTTTGGCGGTAAAACTTGTTCAGAGTTTGTATGATGCTGAAAACGGCCATGTACTGGATAGCCGAATGATAAAACTTCTTGTTCAGATTCAGCGCACCCAGTCCAAAGCACACGACCTGCGTAATCGGTGTACATCTCTTAGCTGTTTCCTTGAAGTTTTCACGAAGCTTCCTCCTTGAAGAGCTCTCTTTCCAGAGTCTTTTCGTGTGCATCATAGCTGCCCAATATTCTTGCATATTAGCAGTATCTTGGTGTTCATTCAAGCACTGCCGATCGAAGGTTATGAACGTGTATGGTGTGTCGATGCAATCATTTTTGCTATCTTTGTTGTACTCTCGAAGCGCTTTGATCTGGTCAGAATGTATACCATATCGATGCTGGAACTCAGGATTCATCTCTACCCGGGAAAGATATTCAACCTGGATGAAGTTAGAGTTAAGATTGTTGTTATCCAATCGCCAGATCTTGTAGCTATTGTGATTTAGCCCGTAACCATATAGATTTTGAAAGCCTCTTTGATCAGGTCTTATAGAAAACCCTTCACGTATCTGGTCGACAAATAGTTTGACATCGTTCAGCAGTCCGCGCGT